CAATAAGGCTTCTGTTGGATGAAGGTTAAACTGAAATTAGTATTAATGACAATTTGTAACTACTTTAAGTATGTTTATCTCGTATTACGTGTTATGTCGGTTCTTTAAATAATTTTTATCATATTTTCACGCTTTTGTTTGAATGAGATGCTGATTTTTGAGTTATTTTCAGTGTATAATGTTAAGTAATTTTCAAGCAAACTGTTAGTATTTAATTATGATTCAATAGACAGTTTATAGATTTGAAAAAATTTTCAGATCAAACTCACACATCCACCTGTAAGCTGGTTAATCACATTGACTTATGTTGTGTAACACCGTTAATGTTAACCTAACTGGATAACTTTTAATTTAGAATCAACAGATTTTTGTTATCCGACAGCATGAGAAAGAATGATAGACTAAGTGGTTTGTTCAAAATAAACTAATCATTTTGGGGGGGATTTTCATCTCAAAATAAATTCATCTGGAAGTGCTGCGCAGTCATTTTGCACATGCTTCACGCTCATTAACTTACATGGCTTCATAAAACAAAACCTAAAGCCAAATAACTTCAAACATCACAATAGGAAAAAGACAACCCTCCTCACTAACTCAGCCAGTCAATGATATTCCACACTAGTGTGAAGTGTCAACTTACAACAGAAACGTTACCTAGCGTTTGATGTTTTAAAATGACTGTCAATATGTCATGTTTTTTGCGGAAATTATTTTTAGAATCTGTGAATTTTCCACTAATAACTCCTGTCTAAATATTATAAATCTATATGGCACATTCAGAAACAAACATGAACGGGTAGTCTGACTGTAAGGTATTCATTTCCCTTTACATTCGTCCATGTTGAAGAAAGAGTGGAAATCATGCGTTACACAGTATTACATGCACATTTCAACAGGAGCCATTCCGTTACAGTTTTAAGTTCAGGTTGTTGTGTTTGTTCATAATGTGAACTCGATATGATGCAGATACTTTTGACGTTTTCATCATTAACTTCAAAATGATTTATGAGAGAGAAAATAACCCAACGCAACAGTTTTCTTTTAAAATTCGGATCAGAAATGATGCATATTCAAAACGTTGTTCAGTAACAGTTATAAACTAATCAGAATTATTTGCTTTGAAAAATTTCAAATGTCAATTTTAGAAATTCAATCTAATATACATCCAAACCAATTTATACAATAACACTAATAAATTAAGAAACAATAATTATTGTTATTTATTAAAAGTATTCTTTCATGCAAAAAAGTGAAATGAAATATTTTATCGGTAAACCAATTGTTTATTATGATGACAAAAAAAGAGAACAATGTTGATCATATGATTGTTTGTTTTTTTTGTAAAAATGAATTATTGTTGAAATGCATTGACAGCGCATATACCTACTAATACAGAATACTTCAGTATTCATTTTCAAAACATTTTTTTGTCGACTAATTCCTATTGCATTGCGGGGTAGTTGTGAAGATTGTTAAGTTTTATTTGTAACCATGAATCGATCAATGTTAGACCATCATTAGAAACCTGGAAGCACTGAACGGCCGTTTCGTCCTGGTATAGGACTCATCAGCAGTGCGCATCCACGACTCCTGCACCATGCAGGATTCGAACCCAGGAACTTCGGTATCGTGAGCGAACGCTGACGAAACGGCCGTCCAGTGCTTCCAGGTTTCTAATGGTGGTCTAACATCGATCGATTCATGGTTACAAATAAGACTAGTTCCTATGTTTGAATTGTATAACTAACTATACACTTACTTCCATGGCATATTTCACCAGTTTACATGAATCCAATATTCACTAGCCGAATAATTCAACTAAATAATCATAGCAAACTCACTAGTGAATAATTCCATGATAGATTCTTGAAGTTCTCTTAACAGTCATGATAGATGAAGCTGATCTTGTAGCGTATAAAACACTCATTTCTAATAATATAATTGAACAATAATCTATTATATCACAGTTATAATATGTTACGTAATTAAGAGGGATTATATACTTGAATATGAATTGTTGACTTGATTAATGTTTAAAGAAAACTGCTCATATCTGATGAGCAAAATTATTCAAAGAAACAAATATCAACTTTTGTCTAGAAACATTCATGTTGAATTTATTGACGAGATGATCAAAGAACTTTCTTTTTTTTATTATTTTTAAATTTAATTAAATTAACAACTTACTAATACACGTAATAACCAACGACGGGCTTTTGAATGAGCAAAACTAAATGGATTGACTAGATAAAGTGTCATGAATGAAACTAATGCCAATGGTGATGCATAGGCAGGTGAATGTAGAACTTCACTGTATAAGAAATAGATTAACGCACAGCCCCAAATTGTGGCAAAGAAAAATGAAATCTATGAGGAAAAGAAAAAAGTGATAATAACTATGAATTATTTTGAATAAATAATGACAATTATCAAATTTATAATAATAATACTAAATTAATCTGATAATTGTAAATGGAAACAAACAAATCAAGCTAAACAAAACAGGAAACAGTTCAGAGAATTCCGTAATTGTATTCACATTAACTTTCTTTATGGTTTGGGAAAATTATACATAGTTAAACTATGACTTCCTGATTTATCGATAATTAAACATACTCCCAAATGGATTGAAAAATGTTAACAACAAAAATTGGTATATTGTGAGTCATGAAGTGTCAGAAAAATTCTGACTTTTCTACTCATTCGGATTTCTATTATTAGGATTCCCAGTAGTTGTTAATTTACACGTCACAAAAAGTTTAAATCAGTAGGTGGTAAACTCAGTATGTGTGAAATAAACGCACATACATCTAAAGAACAAGGCGATACATTTAAGTTTTCTTTTCAAACTACTTCTATGTCTACTGCTTTCAAACAGATGGTCACTTACTACTCTTAGTGTCCGTTAGCAAATATAATATTCATTTGACAGGTTGCAACACTACAACTCCTTCATCAAAGTTTTTCCTAAACATGAACTATTCATAATTTCTTTCAACTGGGGCAAATGTACTACGTTAAGATATGTAACAGAAAAAAAATATTTTCCAACTAAGAACCAGTGAGATAAAAAAAACTAAGCCATAAAGTATGCTCATGAATGATTCATTTTGTAATGCCAATCATGTAACCAATCTAAGTAAAATACCATTCCTAAATGGTTGCAGAAAAATTGGTAGTAAACACTATAATTATGTTTCCCTTTATATAAAGCTCATCAGTAAAATGCATGTAAAATCTTCAATAAACTGATCCCTTGGAAACATTCAAACTAGTGTTACTTAAGAAGATGAGACCACTGAACAATTCAAACTGCATTCGATATTTTAAAGCATTAAAATGATTAGTTTAGTTGACAAATCCTGAGCCACAGATATCATATTGTCTAGTCTGTGGCTTTGATAAAATTCTAACGATCATCTTCAATCATTCATTGGCTGGAAGTGAAAATGTGTAAAGTCTAAGTTCAAAGTTTACCAATGATTCCAGCCGACTATTCAGCAAAAAAATAAAAGACTATATAGTACCAATTTGTTAGTGATGGATTAGTGTATAGTGAATTTAAATTGAAAGCCTATTTATCTAAAACACTGTTTTCTTCAATTCAGTACAAACTCCTATTCGAAATTTATCTCTCATCAATAAATGGACAGTACACATTGAGATTATGATACGCTCTTAAATTAAGAGCGTATCAGTAGTTCTCAATGTGTACTGTCCATTTATTGATGAGAGATAAATTTCGAATAGGAGTTTGTACTGAATTGAAGAAAACAGTGTTTTAGATAAATAGGCTTTCAATTTAAATTCACTATACACTAATCCATCACTAACAAATTGGTACTATATAGTCTTTTATTTTTTTGCTGAATAGTCGGCTGGAATCATTGGTAAACTTTGAACTTAGACTTTACACATTTTCACTTCCAGCCAATGAATGATTGAAGATGATCGTTAGAATTTTATCAAAGCCACAGACTAGACAATATGATATCTGTGGCTCAGGATTTGTCAACTAAACTAATCATTTTAATGCTTTAAAATATCGAATGCAGTTTGAATTGTTCAGTGGTCTCATCTTCTTAAGTAACACTAGTTTGAATGTTTCCAAGGGATCAGTTTATTGAAGATTTTACATGCATTTTACTGATGAGCTTTATATAAAGGGAAACATAATTATAGTGTTTACTACCAATTTTTCTGCAACCATTTAGGAATGGTATTTTACTTAGATTGGTTACATGATTGGCATTACAAAATGAATCATTCATGAGCATACTTTATGGCTTAGTTTTTTTTATCTCACTGGTTCTTAGTTGGAAAATATTTTTTTTCTGTTACATATCTTAACGTAGTACATTTGCCCCAGTTGAAAGAAATTATGAATAGTTCATGTTTAGGAAAAACTTTGATGAAGGAGTTGTAGTGTTGCAACCTGTCAAATGAATATTATATTTGCTAACGGACACTAAGAGTAGTAAGTGACCATCTGTTTGAAAGCAGTAGACATAGAAGTAGTTTGAAAAGAAAACTTAAATGTATCGCCTTGTTCTTTAGATGTATGTGCGTTTATTTCACACATACTGAGTTTACCACCTACTGATTTAAACTTTTTGTGACGTGTAAATTAACAACTACTGGGAATCCTAATAATAGAAATCCGAATGAGTAGAAAAGTCAGAATTTTTCTGACACTTCATGACTCACAATATACCAATTTTTGTTGTTAACATTTTTCAATCCATTTGGGAGTATGTTTAATTATCGATAAATCAGGAAGTCATAGTTTAACTATGTATAATTTTCCCAAACCATAAAGAAAGTTAATGTGAATACAATTACGGAATTCTCTGAACTGTTTCCTGTTTTGTTTAGCTTGATTTGTTTGTTTCCATTTACAATTATCAGATTAATTTAGTATTATTATTATAAATTTGATAATTGTCATTATTTATTCAAAATAATTCATAGTTATTATCACTTTTTTCTTTTCCTCATAGATTTCATTTTTCTTTGCCACAATTTGGGGCTGTGCGTTAATCTATTTCTTATACAGTGAAGTTCTACATTCACCTGCCTATGCATCACCATTGGCATTAGTTTCATTCATGACACTTTATCTAGTCAATCCATTTAGTTTTGCTCATTCAAAAGCCCGTCGTTGGTTATTACGTGTATTAGTAAGTTGTTAATTTAATTAAATTTAAAAATAATAAAAAAAAGAAAGTTCTTTGATCATCTCGTCAATAAATTCAACATGAATGTTTCTAGACAAAAGTTGATATTTGTTTCTTTGAATAATTTTGCTCATCAGATATGAGCAGTTTTCTTTAAACATTAATCAAGTCAACAATTCATATTCAAGTATATAATCCCTCTTAATTACGTAACATATTATAACTGTGATATAATAGATTATTGTTCAATTATATTATTAGAAATGAGTGTTTTATACGCTACAAGATCAGCTTCATCTATCATGACTGTTAAGAGAACTTTTAGTGTCGAGGTATTGCATATGATATTTATGTTGAATTATTCGAGTCTACGGTGAACTATTGGTATTCATGTAAATCTGCGTGAATATAGTGCCATGGAAGTCAGGGTATAGTTAGTTATACAAATTCAAAACATAGGAAACATCAGTCCTTATTTGTCCAACCATGAATCGATCGATGTTAGACCACATCTAGAAACCTGGGAAGCACTGGACGGCAGTTTCGTCAGCGTTCGCCTCAACGATACCGAAGTTCCTGGGTCGAATCTCTGCATGGTGCAGGAGTCGTGGATGCGCACTGCTGATGAGTACCTATATCAGGACGAAACGGCCCTCTTTCAGTACTTCCAGGTTTCTGATGACTGTCTAACATTGATCGATTCATGGTTACAATAAAACTTAACAATCTTCACAACTACCCCGCAATGCAATAGGAATTCAGTCCCCGCTCCCCAAAAAAATGTTTTTGAAAATGAATACTGAAGTATTCTGTATTAGTAGGTATATGCGCTGTCAATGGATTTCAACAATAATTCCATTTTTACAAAAAAAAAAAACAATCATATGATCAACATTGGTTCTCTTTTTTTTGTCATCATAATAAACAATTGGTTTACCGATAAAATATTTCATTTCATCTTTTTTGGCATGAAAGAAATACTTTTAATAAATAACAATAATTATTGTTTCTTAATTTATTAGTGTATTGTATAAATTGGTTTGGATGTATATTAGATTGAATTTCTAAAATTGGACATTTGAAATTTTTCAAAGCAAATAATTCTGATTAGTTTATAACTGTTACTGAACAACGTTTTGAATATGCATCATTTCTGATCCGAATTTTAAAAGAAAACTGTTGCGTTGGGTTATTTTCTCTCTCATAAAATCATTTTGAAGTTAATGATGAAAACGTCAAAAGTATCCTGCATCATATCGAGTTCACATTATGAACAAACACAACACACCTGAAACTTAAAACTGTAACGGAATGGCTCCTGTTGAAATGTGCATGTTAATACTGTGTAACGCATGATTTCCACTCTTTCTTCAACATGGACGAAATGTAAAGGGAAATGAATACCTTACAGTCAGACTACCCGTTCATGTTTGTTTCTTGACATGTGCCATATAGATTTATAATATTTAGACAGGAGTTATTAGTGGAAAATTCACAGATTCTATAAATAATTTCCGCAAAAAACATGACATATTGACAGTCATTTTAAAACATCAAACGCTAGGTAACGTTTCTGTTCGTAAGTTGACACTTCACACTAGTGTGGAATATCATTGACTGGCTGAGTTAGTGAGGAGGGTTGTCTTTTTCCTATTGTGATGTTTGAAGTTATTATGGCTTTAGGTTTTGTTTTTACTGAAGCCATGTAAGTTAATGAGCGTGAAGCATGTGCAAAATGAACTGCGCAGGCACTTCCAGATGAATTTATTTTTGAGATGAAAATCCCCCCCCAAAATGATTAGTTTATTTTGAACAAACACACTTAGTCTATCATTCTTTCTCATGCTGTTAGGATAACAAAAAATCTGATTGATTCTAAATTAAAAGTTATCCAGTTAGGTTAACATTAACGGTGTTACACAACATAAGTCAATGTGTATATAACCAGTTACAGGTGGATGTGTGAGTTTGATCTGAAAATTTTTTCAAAATCTATAAACTGTCTATTGAATCATAATTAAATACTAACAGTTTGTCTTTGAAAATTACTTAACATTATACACTGAAAATAACTCAAAAAATCAGCATCTCATTCAAAACAAAAGCGGAAAATATGATAAAAATTATTTAAAGAACCGACATAACACGTAATACGAGATAAACATACTTAAAGTAGTTACAAATTGTCATTAATACTAATTTCAGTTTAACCTTCATCCAACAGAAGCCTTATTGTTCTTTTTTTTCTAGTGCTATTAAATGATGTCTGAAATATTTTTTAAAAGAATTGAGTGTATTAAACATGCTTTCTCAGTTTGATATGTGCTATAATGTTAGGTAGTTTTATTATGATAATCGAAACACATAATTATTGGTACAATGGGTTACCAAAAGATATATACACCACACAAATTATTTAATTTGTGAGTTGGCTGTGACACTGTCTGGATGCTTAAAAACCTAAGCAAATGGTTTTCTTAAGAGATTACTCCTTAAGCCTTTAACCTCCAGGTCTAATCTACAAGGCAGTGGAGCAGTGTTGGGAGATGCTGTCCCATGGCAGCTAGTGACCTGGAAATGGTTCATACAACATTCATTCCGTCAGGATACTGGCGCCCATATGTACAGCTACTGTGGGACAGGGGTTTTATGATCTCCATTAGCAGGTGGTTCACACCCACCGACCTGGTCAAAGCGCCGGAAATTCGCTTTTCGTATTCTCAGTTTCTTAAAAAACACTCCCACCACGGAAAGGTAGAGAGTAGGACTTCCTTGAGTGTGACTTTGTAGGTATGGCCATACGAAAGCATTTCGAAAGGAACTGCGAACACTCTACACTCTCAGCTGCATCAGGAGGAGGCATGTCAAGTGGTTACATGTACTTTCCAGGAAAATACTAGATTTAGGTTTCGCGATGGTTGGTATTAATCAGCGATTTGTGCCAGGAGTCTTTTGATAACGGATGTTCTCCGTAGAATTTAAACTGACGTCATACAGTTTCACAGTCTGAATTGTTGACGATGAACTTTTCGAACAGCGAGTGTCTCCTATGACTCTTCAATAGCTGCTGAGTAGCGACTGATCGAATGTCATCGATCTTTCTATTGCTTTATTGTTCTCAGTCGTGATTGGCTGACCTTATATTATTTGAATAAAAGCTCCAAAATATTGTAACATGAGAAAATTAATGAAAAGGATTTATATCAAATCGAAATAGCTAATCGTATTGCTAACTAAGCAGATGAATATTTACTCATTGTTTCAAAAACATATAAACAGTGTGAACAAGTTTAAGATGGAAAAAACATCGTTTTAACAAATATACAGAATTTAAAAAAGTGTCTTCTGTTTCCAATGTACGGATAGATTTTTTCAAACAATAGTTCTGTGCAATAATGAGTGCAGAGAGATTTCATCAAATGTAATGTAAATTATTTGACAAATTTAAGGTAATTTTCTTTAATCAGTATAACATATTCAATAATCTTTATCTTGATCGAAACAGTCAGTTATCTTTTATTGTGAAATATAGACGGATGCAGAACAATAAAACTATTGGGGATAGCAATGATGATTTGTCTTAGGTGTACTTATTATATGGCACCATTTACTACCGTTCATAATACTTGATGCATATAAAATCAGATCTATTTAGCAAATAATGACAACAACGAGTACATACGGCAATTACTAAATTTGAAACAAATATTTTCGTTTCATAATGTAATTAGTGTTTCAGTCAATGTAAGCTGGTCTATGCTGATTTAAAGACAATACACAGATAATCGTAATCTACCAGACAAACAGACTTATATAGCTCATACAGATTCCTACAAAATAGATAAATTGATTATCATCGCCACACACCAAAACAGCACAGATATAATATTTCTTTTTTGAAAAATTTACAAGACAAAGTACACATGTCACGATAAGAGTTATTGATAAATATGCAAACCATATTCTTCTTGTATAAACGCAGAAAGATATCATACTCTTGTTATCTAAACATAAGGAAAAGAAAGATTTTAAAAAAAAAGTAGAATATTATTTTTCAATAATTATTTCATTACTATTCATGAAGTGAAAGTGATTTTACTATTCATCATTGAGTTATGGATGATGGTATGTGATCTGTCTCTCATAAATTGACATTTTTTCTCTTCACATTGATTGGATTATTTTGTGCCACCGGTGGCTTGCTGATTGGTGGTCATTTTTTTAAATCTTCAAATTATTAAGGAGTTTATTTTGGTGATGTAATGTAAAAATGCATTACTGTTCTGCTTTAACATATTCATTCATACATGGTCTATTCATGATTTATCTTCAAGGTTCATAGAATGATTTACCCTGTTATGTATATATCTAGATTTTTTCATACGTTTTAACAGTTTTTAGTGGTTTGCATTTGCTCGTTTGTGTTAACAAATGTCGATGATCGATCTGTATCGATATACGTTTATCTCTGAGAGAATCATTAAAGCATAGGAGGTGTTCTAAATTTCACTACCACAGTCAGTTAATTCTGTAGCTATATACATTATATGTCACCTATTTAATTCAATTCATATAAAATCTTTTGATATGAGCATTTAAATTCATTATGTTCTTTCATTTTCCTCTTCTTCTTCTTCTTTTCAGGGACGAATTATCAGAGCACCATTTGCTAAAGTGTCTTTCGCTGATTTTTGGCTAGCCGATCAATTAACTAGTTTAAGTTTTCTATTTCCAGATATAGCTTATTTTATTTGTTTTTATGCATCACAAATTGATTGGTCTAATGGTATGAATTATAAACCGCATGATTTTTCTTCTACTCTTTCAACATCCTCTTCACTAGTCATGGGACATAATAATAATAATGGATATGCTAATTCTACACAATTAACAATTCCTTCTTGTGCTTTCCATTCAAGTAATATTATAGGTAAATTCTAGTTGATAATAAATTTCAATGTAAATATATATATATATGTATAAATTAGATTAGTAGAATTTTTTTTCTTGATCCAATGTAAAACTTTTATTATTTGCGTAATTTATAATTCTTTAGAATTTAAAATGTTAAATTATAAACTAAATTGTTTGTTTATCATGACAGATAACATAATCAAGGTTGAATTCATCAATAACACTTTTGTATCATTTATTGTAAGAAGGAAATATCCATGGATCTGTGACAGCAATATCGATTGTTGACAATAATGGAGATTACTCATGAAAATTGTTGTCGATAGCTATGTAAATAGCAGAAAATTCACAATAAATAAGTGTCACAAAAGCAATAGAACTGAGCTGGAAAAGCTCATCACTCTTTATAAAAGATAAAGTATTTGACTGAAAAGAAATTTGGTTATTATCATTATTATTATTCATTCAAGCTATTTTATAATTGACTAAATTTATGCTGTTGCAGACTTTTCACTAATCAGTAAAATTTTAAGATTTAAATATGATCTGTAATTTTTGTTTACAAATAGATTATCAAAAACCCTGTTGTTTATTTCCATTCCTCTACATCAATTTGACTAGTCTTGTTTAGTTAATTGCTTATTTAAGTAAATAACATTTTCTTGCAATTGCCGTTAAGCTGTCTTTTTTCGTTTCTTAAAGTAATTTATTACTTGAATAATTCTCTGAATGAGATGAAGTAATATAAAGAAAACAGTGTGTAATTGACTACTGAATATAAATCACTGTTGTTAAGATAAGTACTAAATAAACTCTAAACTCTATAGTCATTCAATTCTCAAAGCTTTAATATGTAGGTTTTTTCCAGCTTTTTAATTATTTATTTGTTTATTGTCTCCTTAAAATGATTGCTTTCATTATCTATCTTGGGTTCCTTTTTTTCGCCTGATTTAATTTGTTCATTATACTTCGGTACTTGGTTCTTTCTTCCTTGTCCATTAGTCTGTAAAGTAAAAGTTGGACATTTTTTTTGAAGAATAGTCCTCTTTTCTTTGCACGGTCAATAATCATCAATGTTATGTTGAGAAAATATTTATCCATATTCTTGGAACGCTAAGGCTTATTTCATTGAAAATGAAAGTTTCTTTGGTGATTTTTAAAAAAATTCTTATTCATTGATAAATAATGAGTTATTTTCATAAACTAAGGATGCTGTTCTTTCGATACTATTCGTTAATTTTTTTAAAAATTTGAATGAATAGTTAAGACAGTTTTTTCTCTTAAAAAAATAATACTTTATTATTAGCAGCATGCATTTAGACAGACGGATACAACGCAGAACTTTGTAGGTACGTACATCAGTTCAGGTTGCCGTACCACATTAGTACAGAGACGCAAATGTCAGTTCAAATCCCATAGTGGTAGCAATGATAGAAGTATTAGCAGTAATGGAGATTAGGGTTCAAAGATATGATTCAAGAAGTATAATTGAGTGAGATAAATTTAGAAAGAGAAATATAGAGATTATGAGGAATACAGAAGGTTAGAATTTGGGAGAACACAATGAATGAATGCACCTGCGCCATAGCAAATGATTTTGAGCCATGTCATTCAAGTTCTTTTACCATTGGTGACTTATGTCTCGCGGACCCCAACCAGGTAGGATGCATTTAAGAAGTGAAATATTTCGGATATGATTAATATTATTCTCAATAATGAATCAGATTTTATAATTTATTTATTGAGAGCTAATTCAAACATTCTTTTACAATATAGTTTTCTGTGATGTTAATGAGAATATTGTACACCTAACTCTATTTATAAGCTACTTGAAGAACAAATGACAGTTACAACTGGCTTAGACTCTTCCGGTTTATAAAATGTTTATATTTAAGAGAGAAAGCAAATGTCTATTTAAAATGACATCAGAGAAATACACAAAGCAAACAGTTGATAACTATTCAGTTAGGAGTCAGCAAAATACCGATTGTGCTTTTATAAAAGCATAATTGGTTATTATTTTTGATTCTTTTTAGTGTTTGCACTCGTATTAACTTGTATGATTTAATGATTTACTGAGAAATAAATATAGTTAATTTTTAAGACCCGAGTGTGTGTTGAATATTTTTAAAACAATTTTTTAAGAGTGCTATCAATGTAAATTTTAGTTTTGATAATTCAATGCCTTAAGGTTTCTTAAGCCATTATTCAAAATTATTTTTGTTGTAGTTCAGAGAATTCTCCAGTATTCATAAAGAAATCCTAATATTAGTTTTTTATTTTGGATATAATCTATCGTATTATTTCCGACTTAAACATTGGTAACTTAACACCGAACTTATCGAAAATCAAACATTATTTTCTAACCTTGAAGCAGATATGTTAATAAGTTGTATCGTAGGTTAATTTCAGTCTCCCTATAAAAAACATTTTATCTAACTAACTCTAAATGAATAGTTAAAATATCGTCTAACTATGAAATTTATTCTGTTAAGCTGATTCAATTTACAATTTAAGGATGGGATTAATATTTGTAAAATAAAAAACATACATACAAAAAGATAAATTTATTATCTTTAAAAAGAAATAATTAATTTTAAAAACTGTAGTCCAATCATTGGTGGTTATCAGTTGTTACATTTTTATTTTCCCGTAATTTATTGAACTGAAATTTTCATTTCATTTTAACTGAAACTAACTACAGTTATTTTCATTCACATTATACTATGTATATATTAACTGATAACTAACTGTCAGTTATATTAGGGTTTTAGGAAAATCGTCTGAGATGGTGGAGGAAATTTGTAGCTCAGGTCGACGATTGTGATGAAGAATGAAACCCCATCTAGAAAATCGTCAGCTTCTGGATCAGGCATCTATGCAGTTGATCCTTACTCACTTACAAACTCAACAATTTGGATAGTGCACAAGTATTCCTATGTCTCTCTGTCCTCATAAATGTGCGTTTTTAAATAAAATAATAATTATAGGTTTATTCAATATTGATGGGTGGTTTATTTCATAAATCAAAAAAATAAATAAATAAATAAACCTTAAAATTAGAAAGTTTCTTTGATTTTTATCTCTACAAATAAGATATCATAAAATCATTTAACTTAACTACTTATCGGATAATCAAATTGCGGACATAAGTGGGTGTGATTTTTCCGACATGCCTAGTTTAAACATAAGTCTAGTAGATAAGTCAAAGTTGCAATCTGAATGACGTTAATTATTTGTGATTTTCTATCTTGAAATGTTCTATTTCCTTAATTTTCCTTGATTGATTTCCGGCTGGTTGTGACATTATGCTTGCCAAAATATGTCTTGAAAAAAATCTAATCATATTAGATCATAAACAACTTGAAACCAGTACCTTGTGACTTGTGAAATCCACTATGTTGTGGGAAAAACTCAGCTCTCACTAGTTGCAATGAATGATTAATCCAAAGGAATTAAGAAGTAATAATGTGAAGAAATATGGATTATTTACGTTTCAGCTAACAATACACTTAAAGTGTGTTAGTAGAGATAATTTAAGCACTAGAATAAAACAATTATACAGTCTTTCTTGCCTTTCTAGTCTCTATCAGTTTATAGTGAAAATCACTGTCAAATTGAAATGATGTCTATCAAAAACTTATCAATCCTTCTTTTATTACCGCAATTTAGGTAAGTTAGTCTTAGATAGATTATGTGGTCATGTTAAGAAACCAATATCTTACATGGAAATTCAGTCGTTTATAGGATATTACTAGCTTAAAAGTTACCGAAAATTTGAATGATTAAAATTGGTTCAATGTTAACATTGTGTCGAAAATATGTGAATCCATGTTTTCCCATAAGTTGTTTAAATATATAGGAAATCAATGTACATATGAAATGAGTCATGTGACTGAGGACATGATATATGTATGTATAAACCAAAGTGCAGCCATTTCTTCTACGAACTACTTTGAGTTTAAGAGACATCTAGAGTTATGCACGTTGTTAATTTATGTTGTTTTCATTTCTCTGATTTTCCTAAATTTACATTTGTGATTTGGGATTTGTTTAAAAGTCAATAAATTGTATCCTTATTATAGTTGAACATTATTACTTATTTATGTAAATATGAAAGTGTACATTTTCTCTTTGTTGATAATGAGGATTGGATCATTTTCTTTTGAAATATAATCCTCCTGAATAGAGTTAATATTGAAATCTTTGAATTAGACATTTTCCTTTCTGAGGCTCTTCAGACGGGCTCATCGTATATCAATCTCGATATTCACGCTGAGACTAGAATCCAATGCTTGTTCTATCCACTGAGCCCCTAATTCCATACTATTGATACATAAGAAACCTGAGTCAAGAGTTCCACTTCCAACATCAGTCTGGTGTATTGATATGATAATTGTTTGCTAATCGCACACTTAATTTGAATACAGATATAGAAATAATATTATTGAAGCATCATGATGTAGAGTTAGCTATGATGGCGTTCATCATGAGTTAAGGAGTATTGTTTATCTTATTGACGACACTAACTGACCAAAGTTCAGCTCCCGTTAGAAACCAGGAAACAATGTATATCCATTTCGTTCCACGATGGAACTCCTCAATAGTAGATCTCGACCCAGCATGACTCGAACTCTGAAACGTCAGTTTAATGAGTAAACGTCTAACTTGATGATTAAAATGAATTACAGTGGTGCACATGTCTAACTTCAATCATTTTATGATGTAATACAGATTTATGTTGGCTTATAATACAAATCACATCCAATAAACTAACACAAATGTGTACTGATAATATACTTATTTTTAAAAGCAACTTAGTGAAATCTTGTATAGCCGTTTCAAGTGTATATTGCTAGTTTTATCAAAATACTTTTACTAATATCCATCTATATTTGAACAAATTGTTTGAAAAAAAACTTTTGGTGCCAAATGTTGTTTTTTTGTGAAAATTGTATTTCAAATAATCACAGCGATTGAAATTAAAATCACTTCAACCTTTTGGCCAATAAACTTGTTCGGACTTCCCCAGGGTACCCTAGAAAAATGCCTGAATTATTTAAATTCTAATCGCTGAGATTATTTCAGATATATATATATATATATATATATATATATACATATATATATAATTTCCATGAAGTATTCGTATTTTATTATTCTGTATAACATTATATATTTACAAAGCTTTTATGTTTATGAACTGAATGCATTAGATCTTACAATAAATAAATAAATAATTCAAACTGATGGCCCTAAAAATTATTTTATTATCATGATCATGTGTTTTGCTGAAAAAATGTAGTCTTCTTTTTTTAAAACAAAAAAAAAACAATATCATAGAACATGGGTTAACATGGTTAGCATGTTTTGAAGTAGTCACTATAAAGAATAAGAATTTTGTTACTAAGACAAATAACCAATGGATATGTTTACACACACAAGCCAGCACACATGTAAAAGGGTTCTTCAGTTGGATGAATGCAACTGTTCAAAATATTTTGAATATATTGATCTTACTTCTTTTTTCTCATCTAATTAGCAATATTTGAATTTTTTAGACTTGTTTTATATTTTTAAATAATTTTCCTAGTTCAACTGAACTATTTCTGCTGTAAGGTTGTTTATAAGTTGGCATTTCATTATCCTCTTTTCGACAAACACATTGAAATAACCAAATATTTAGGTAATATTATTCTGAAAACAAATACACCTCTATTCAATGTTTACAAGTAGTGTTGAGTACTATTGTGTAGTGTAGGAATGATAAACAAGTTGTTAATTTGATTGCTTGACAAAAATCAGGACATTTTCGTTTTAATAAAACATTTAAATTAATGAGAATGTATTTTAAATAGTTAATTACTTTCAACATACATTGAAAGTTGCAACAATTGAACAAATTAAACTTATTTAAATAAATCATAACAATTAGAGTACATGAATTGTTTTTGTGATTGTTTACACTGTAAATGAGAACAAAAAAAAACTACTTTTGAATTCTTTATGATACTTTTTACGCCGATAGTTTTGGTTATGTCTGTCATGGGATTTATTTTGACAATTTCATTTCATTTTAGTAAAGGGTAATTGTAGCAACCTTAACGTATTTACACATGTACCAGTTTTAAACGATGTATATGGCTATTGTAGCTAATCCATGCGAGGATTCATGTTAGTTAGAATTTCTTGAAAAGTTGTAGTTCTTTTAAAATGATTTATACAATCTACTAAAAGGTATCATATGATGCAAAACATAAGTATAACAAGATGTACATCTGCATTTCTATAACTATCTAATTATAACAACCAAAAAGGCATTTGGAGCTAAACTATTATTTGCAAAAATAATTTAAAGCTAAGAAAAGTCTTATAACATTAAAAAGAAAATTTACCGACATTAATGAAGTGTAAATTGTGATTAAAAGTTAAAATGAATTCATAAGATACACTGATAAGGTATCGTCAATTTAAAATGAAAAAAACAATTGGGACTGATAATATTTATTTAATTTCAAATGAAATAAGACAGATCTTTAGATCATTAAATATTTATAGTTATTTTGTATGATTTTAATTTATCTAAAATTATGTTAATCAGTGATTAATATTAAGATTACTAAAGTTCATCAGCTTTGATGAGTTAGTGTCTGATGGAAAATCGATGAAAACTGTGAAACAATATGTCAGTGTTCCGTTCGAAGAACTTCAGTAATAGTAAGTAGTAAACTTCGAACCACGTGGTTAATACCATAGCTTGAGATCACGGTACTGACTGACATTTCCGACTCCAGTTAATTTGTTATACAATATAGAAATCACTTGATAGAATCAACCATGACCACAATTTCATTAATCCCTAAAAGGTATTCAAGTTAATGCTTGTACTCAATATGTTCAGTTGGCTATACGGTCATTAGAATTCCAAATTTTCGATGAATTATGGGTGAAATCAGTCTTGGAGGATTCTTAAACATAATCCTACCTGGTTAAAATTGGTTATACCACCTCATAATCAAATCAAACAAACATTAACACGTTTTTATTACGTGTTTACATGGCTATATTGAATAATAAGAAAAATCGCCAAGCTATAGTTGTACATTTTATAAATATCTTATTTATCTTATTCGATAATTACTGATTATTTCACCATGAAGGCAATATGATAATTCCATTTTTTTTTCTTTAAATATTTTATTCATGGTCATAATTTAGCATCTTTTTTTTAATAATTGGTTTAATTTACTGTAGACGTCTACTCATTTCTAAAGGCCTTATTTAACACCCTAAAGTTTTCCATTTTGTTATTATTACCTAATAATATCATTGTGAATATTCCAGAATTATGACCGTGAACAACTAAAAACCCACTGTTAAGAGCTGACTTCCTATACATTCATATTAATAATCTTTCTATCCATTATTGACTATTCACTTTCACATTAAGAATAATGAAATATATTAGGATATATGCTAGCAATAAATTCTTCATATTCTGAACATATTTCCACCTTTTTTCATAATATTTTTTTTCTCGTTTAAATATTTTTTTTTCTTTTCATATTCTTAGCTAACAGTTGTCAATGTGAAGGTATTCTCTTTGGTTTGGATCCAATTTTAAGGTTGTTACCAGCTTGGTTTCGATTTGCCCAATGTTTAAGGCGTTATCGAGATATGGATGTGAAAAAAGCTAATCCACATTTATTAAATGCAGGAAAATATTCTACAACATTTCTAGTATCTGGTTGTAGTGTTTGTTTAGCATTCGATCGAGGTTAGTTATTAATTGTATGTTCATTATTTGTTATATGATTATTATTATTATTATTATTATTATTATTATTTGAATATATTTCAAGTTACATCTTAATACTAAAACAAATCAGTGGACCAAAATTTATGTTTCATCTATGTTGAGTAGTTTAGTTTCGTGTATTTGTTCTCAAGATATATGTATCGAAAAGTCAGTGATATAGTTAAACAGATGTTACGGTTGTTGGATGATTTCTTAAGAGAAATAAAATCGTGCTTGGAATTACCGAAAATAAAATATTTTTGTCAGGTACTTCATCTTAATCATGTGAGATTAACCTCTTTTATAAGTTTCATAAAAAAAATCCTTAGTCTTAGCTAATAGTTCACTATTATATGAGCTGGTTAGATATTTAATAGAAGATCACTCAAATCACGATACTTTTAGTGCAACGATATTGTTCATCAGTGACAACTGTTACCGTTATCCGAAATAACTGTAAAAAGGTCAAACACTTACAACATTTACTTATGCTTTAGTCATTTGTTTCATTTGTGTCCTATGGTGGTTCCTAGTTATATGAATATATATTAATAATCTTTGTTATATTAGATTTTATTTCAGTTTCTTATATTAATGAGTCTTAACTTGAACACGTACATAATTTGTTTTTGTTGTATCCCAGTTAAAATTTGTATAGAAACTTGTTCGCCTAGTGCTTTTCTCTTTTCTATAAATTTACGCATAGATATGAATGTAAATCCTTTCATTTTTAATACATATGTAAAGCGACTATTTCACTGATAAATCGTAATGCTTTGTTTAATATATACCCTGATAAACAGTTTTCACGACACATTATCAATGCCATGTCCCTTGATACTCTTTGTTTTAGAGTTAGCTTTCAAATAAATATTTTATAAAAGTACGGCTAGGAAAATTATCAAGCTGACAAACGGAAGAGTGCGATTGACTGAATTTACCAATATAAATAGTAGTTAACATTTACTCATTACGTTCAAGGCACATCAGGAAAACATTGGACTGAAGTTTTTATCACTGTGTGTACCCATGGTCCTATCAGGGATTGATTTCAGAACCCTTAGGACTCACGATGAAAGTTTGACCATTAAGATTATTGGACCATGACCCTAATGGTTATAAGAACACACTATTGAGAATTTTCATACTAGATTAGAATAACTGTTCACTAGTGAATTTGAATAGCCTAACGACTTATCATCTGTCTCAAATACTCTAGGACTTTGAAAACATGCAATGAAGAAGTTGAATTTGAAGTGATCAGAGTCGAATTTTGTTGTAGTATTATAACAGATTAAAGCATAACATAAAACGTTCAAAGCTTGAATCACTAAGTACTCTTAAATAGACAACCATTAAAGACCCGGAAACACTGAACGATTGTATATTCATATTATGTTATTAATCACTAGTGTGCATCCAAGATCCTAGATCTCCGAAATCGAACCCAAAGCCCTGGATCCTGCAACTGAATTCTTAACCTCTACAGCTCTAAGTTAGTAGTATCCAACGTCGTTAATATCTAACTTCGATCAATTCATGATATTCTGGATGTACTAACACTTTTTTGAGATAAATATTTTTAGTTGATATTAATACTAGCAGTCTTTTTGATGCATATTTTTTAAATCAAAAATAATTAAGACAGTTGATTATTTTTAACAAATTTACGACTGCAAAAATATCTAGCTAGCTTTGATCGACTTTCAAACTGGATACATTACCACATTATTGATGTTTTTAAAGAAAGGATCTTACTTTTCACCAAATTAATGGTAACAATTTATAACGTTTACGTTATCTCGTTAATTGGCAGAATTTAAAACTATGAGCTATTGAATGCCAGCTAGCTGGCTGTATCATATGTTGATAAAAGTGTAATACCAACAGATTGTACAGAATTTTTTTTAGTCTTGAATGGCGTGATAATCGATAAGTCCGACACATTCATATCCATGCCCTCTGCAAACACACACGCATTATGACTATTAAGTACTAATAACGAGATTATGTTATTTGTATTTACTAATTAGTACAGTATGGATGGTGTATTGATTTTTACATGAACCTACAAATACTTTATGAAGTTATGCGAAGTTTAGCAGAAAGGAAAATATATGTATATCACTTATTTAACGGTTTCTTTTTTTGCTAAAACTTTAATAGTAACTACATAGAAAAAAAAACTGTCAACTAGTAAATTATATTATTTCATTTGTGGCTTAGATATACTAAAATAAATCATATCACAAATTTCGATCACTGTTAAACTTTCCAATAATCCAGACTATTACACTCGTTGGTTTATCCTGGAACTTACTTCAGTATTTTGTTTCTAGGCGTTCTAAGAAAATTCAATTTTCTTGATGCTTCAACCATTTAGAACTTTGCTATCTGTTTGCACATAATGAAACGAAGTATATTTTAGAAAAAGAAATCAATCTTTACTTTGTTTTCTGTAGACTAAGATCAATACCAAACTTGGAAAGTGATATCCACAGCAAGCACAGTTGACCAAGATTGATTAAGACGAAAACTCATCGGAGATTTTTATGACATTAAGAGCCTCCAAATATAAATACATACCTTGGCAATACATTATAGTTGCTAAATCTGAAAAATGCTGCAAGGCCTGAATATACGACTAAGGTTTTAACCTTAATTGATCATTTGTAAGAATGTCCCAAAATCTAAAAGGTGTTTGATTGCTTTTGAAGCCCTCATAATTAGTTCAAGACATCACTGTGACAGTTTGTATTTGATATTCTCTAGCCAATGTCATGTATTAAAAAACTACAGATAATAAGACTATTGCAATAGTTTCATTGGTTTATTGTCTTGTTACTAAATAAAGGTTTCGTATCATTTGTTAATTAGTAAAATATACTATATAGGCCAATTTAAGTAAGTGATTATACTTAATTTCTAAACTTTAGATAGTTTCTGTATGAATAAAAGTGTGAAATCTTAGGCAAATACTCTAACAATTTTCCATGGCTAACTCATCATGTTTGTAAATTTGCGAAATTTGAAGTTTATTACCATTTTCCTAATTGTGTAATAGAAATGTGGAAAGACTTACAGGTTGCATGGAGGCCACCTAAACGTTTCTTTCACTTGTTTTATCTGTCACTACAGTCATTTTTTCTCCCAGAGTGAATCCATTTTTCTGAATGTTAGAATCATTCATAAGTGCAAGATAAGTTCCCCTTGTGACTTAACACTAAGATTTTTAAATAGACCTGTTGCAGATTCCTAACTTTTAGATTAGAAACTTCTGTATAGTAATTTCTTCTTAATAGATTAAATGTACTCTTAAATTCTATAAGTTTAAGATGAGTTATTTTATAGCGTAATAACTGATGAGTCAGTTATTTTTTTTAATCTGTGTACTTGATATTATTTTATCATTAGGGTTTTTACACATTTGAAATCATCAATCAATCATTGTTAGACCACCATTAGAAACCTGGAAGCACTGAGAGACGGCCGTTTCGTCCTGGTATGGGACTCACCAGCAGTGCGCATCCACGACTCCTGCACTTCACAGGATTCGAACCCGGGACCTTCGGTATTGTGCACGAACGTCTAACCATCGGACCACAGGGCTGGCATCCAACGGTGTTAATGTCTAACTCTGTTTGATCTACGCATTTTATCATCATTTGGGTACGACGAATAAACATAATGGGTTATGAATAGAATTCAACTATATACCATAGATGACGTAACAATTCTTTATGCATTTTTTTTGCACACTAGTTAATAGATTATTGTTTGATTTAATTCAATGAACACTAGCACTCGTCATGTTAGCCAGGATTGCTTTGTTTAGATTTTAAGTTGAATTTTTATGTTGATCATATTTATTGTCTGTCTACACTCATTTATTGATCGTTCATATTTAATAATCAATTATTTCTATTTATTAATTAAGTATTATTTCTTCATAATTAGTAATTAGCTAGCTATTTGAATAGTATTGCAACATTAAACTATGTCTTGAATGGTTATTTAATTATCAGACATTATATTATCACATAACTTTCTTTTTATAATTAGCATTTTCAATTTATGACTCAATATTATTAATTAACCTTCATAATTACTTAATATTTTTCAATTCGACAACTATCTTGCATCTGCAATCTATTTTGACCTTGATTTACTACGTCATCTTTTCAAGGACTTTTTCAATTGCATGCAGTATTGTATTATAATATATTCTAATGTATTATAAAGACGATTGGATAACTTTAGAAAATGATATCATTCAAAAGAAAGCTGTCTTTGATGAATTGTCTTAATTTCAATTTGAACATAGTTTGTTGGATAAGTGTATTGAGGATTGTTTTTCCGTCTTTTAAAACAAGCTATTGTTAATCATATATGTTAACTATACCATTTATAATAGTTATTCAATATAAACTCTTGCAATGTTTATACATATTGTTCTATTAGTAGGTACTTTACCATTGGCAGCTTATATTATATCAAGTATTATACGATCCGGTTACACATATGCATGGGATATTCTTATGGATTGGGGTTTATTAGATTGTAAATCAGAAGATAAACTATTACGTGATGAACTAGTCTACAGATATAGAGGTTATTATTTTTTTGCAATGATTGAAGATTTCATTCTACGTTTAACATGGATTGCTCGTTTAAGTTTTGAACGTATTGGATTTATACGAGTAGAAATCATAACAACAATATTTTTGACAGTTGAAGTTATTCGGTAAGTTTAACATTTCTTTAACTGCTTTGATAATAAACTTTTGTCACAATACAATTTCATATGTTAATTGAAATACTACCGAAACATGACATATTAGATCATTAACTCGAATAATGACCGTCTGATATAGTAGAGATTCTAAAACATCTATGGATAAGAAAAATAAAGTGATTATATATAACTAAAATGTAAAAAAATGTATACCATATAAGACTATAAAAATAAGATAATTAACTAAATGTATCTGTAGAAAATCCATGAAGTCACTGACAACTGGACTGAGTCATTTTGGTTGATGTAGGGTACCTGGTCAGGGTCCGCGAGACGAAAGTCACCAGTGATTAGAGACCTTGAACGACATGGCTCAAAATCGTTTGCAATGGCGCAAGTGCATCCATTCGTTGTGCTTTCTCAAATCCTAATCTTCTGGATTCGTCAGCACATCTACCTTTGTCTTTCTAACCTTATCTCACTGAATTATACTTCTTGAATAATATCTTCAAACCCTAGTCTTCTTCATTACCATTAATACCTCTACTATCTCTATCACTATGTGATTTGATTTGACATTTGCGTCTCTGTGCTCATGTGGTATGGTAACCTGAACTGACGTACATACGTACGAAGTTCTACGCTGCAACTGGCTGACTGACTGACTGACTGACTGACTGACCTGTAGCAAATTAATTATTTTTAAGTCAGTCTAATAATGACTTGCTTTTTGATATTCTATGAACCATGCGAAAAAAGTATGCACTTCGTCATATGGTTAATATCAAAAGTTAATACATTTATGGATTGATGCTAAATTCCTGTCCGATTAACTCAGGTTGTTGTCTCATTCTGATTTGAAACAGAAAACGGATGAAACTTGTATGATCCATTCTCAAAATATTATGATCATTTAAAATTACATAGAGCTGGTTAAGATTTGTAGCTTAAAAAGGTGGTTTCAGTGGATTTTCAATTATCTGAACTGAATGGTTTAATCGTAAAACCCTAACTGTTCTTTTTCACAACAACATCAGCACCAACTATAGATAAAAATGAGGTATTTGAATTTCTCCATCCATGACTGACAGTTTGTTCTGTCCAGGTTGACCCTGATTGATCGTTACTGACCTTTGAACCTGTCGTTGTCTGCGTATTTAGTTCGACTGTTACTTCCTTTGACCTGACCCTCAATCCTATGTTTGTTTGTGATCTTTTCAATTAATCAAAAATTTAGATCGATTTTAGTGTTTTTTGATTGCTGATTGACCTGGATAACAAGCTTCAAATAAGAATTAAACCGGAGAAAGAAGCTATAGAGTAATGTACTTCTAGTACTTGAACTTTGAGTACTTCTACTTGATTTCTTGTAACAATCACTTTTGTTGATCAAAATTTCTACTACAGTTATCAGTTCTTGAAGCGAATACCTAATTATAACATGAAGTTTCTAAAGACTGAGGATATTATGTAAAAGCTTAATGGGAGCTTAACGAATGAGATGCAAGCAACCGATTTCTTTGAGTATGGTTTCTTACTGTCAACAATGAAGAATTCCGTTTTTAACTTTTCATCATACTCCTCTGCTTACGATACATAAAAAAGGAATGGTCAAATAGTATGCTACATTCTCTATTATATTTAGGAAGCAGATCTATCAAAAATATAATATCTTTACCCTATCATAATGATATGTTTTTTAATTTGATGTGAATTGGAAAATTTTTTTAGTAGATTCTAAGTAACTACTTAATTAATTGCAATGAAGATTTAAGAATACTATAAAGTTGTCAAGTCACTAGCATGAATCCATTGTCTCTTTTGTAAACTAGTATTAATCCATTAAAAAAATCACATAAATTTATATTATCTCTATTAATTTCATTCAAGACGTTTTATATGGAATTTCTTTCGTTTGGAAAATGAACATTTAAATAATTGTGGTCAATTTAGAGCAGTTCGTGATATATTTATTACACCTCTACCTAAGAGACCACCAAGAACATCATCATTAACAACATTTGAAAATTCTAATTCACCTGGTACATTTAATTCAAAGTCGATTCGACCGCATATTCACTCGAAATTTCAAGGAAAACGGGTTGGATATTCTCCGGAGGATAGCCGAAGAAGTGTACCTGATTTTACCAGAGATAAATCTTTTAATTCACCACATAATTCCAGTCCTTTTCAAGCAAGTGATTCAATGAAATCTAAAAGAATACACGACGATATTATGGAGACTGAGCAGGAAAACAATTTAACAGAGGTTGAAAGCTCTATGGAAAACAATAAGCTATTTTCACGGGACGATAAACATGCAAATCTATTTCATCGTCTTTGGAAGCATGTGAAATCTGTGGGAAAAAGTTCGTCTGATTCTAAACATGGTAGTCATGAATTGTCAACCAATGAAATTTCCGATAAGCCAATTGAAACTAAACCTACATTTACTTTATATACTGATGATGCAGATGACAATCATCTTCAGATTCCATCCACTCAGTTGCCAGTTTCATTTTATTCTAAAGAAGAAGACCAGCTTTCTTTAGATAAATCAAATGAAATTGCGCAAGTAAAGCTGAATTCTTCGCGATCAACTGCTCCCAAGTCTCAGCCTTACGTAAGGGAAAGACGTGTTCTCATACTAAATCATCAAACAGATAATGAATCTGGAGAACCTTATGAAAAGTGTAGGCTTGAGGTGAGTTAAAATACATATTACTGCATAAATTTCCTTCATTTTAATAATCTACGAATTTCATTTAAGGAATGACCGTTTTTATGTTAATTAAATCTGTTCATAAAATATTTCAATCTTTAAAACCTCAACCATTTTGTCCTGCATTTCATAATAAAACTGTTTTTTACTGAAATATATTATTCACTAAAAATAGCCATAAAACTCAGTTAAATCGAATGATTTTATCTTATTACGATAATAAATCTTATTGCTTAGCTGTGTTCACACTTCAGTAGTTCATAAAGTTATGAAATCTGGTTCGAACTGTATCCAATAATTTGAGCGGTTTTTGAAGGTGGTTCCATTGAATATAAACATGGCTGAATACCGTACCAGTGTATGGTCACTATCCTGAGCTAAATAAAACACATGTTTTTCTGCTTTCATATGGAGCATAGTATTTTTAGATTAACAGGTTAGAAACTAGTAGTTTGTTTTATCAATTACCTTCACAGATTTTTGACCATTTATTAAACTTAGATGTCCATCACCATAGTTGAATACTAGTAAGGCTATCTTTGTTACTGTATTTTAATGAAGTATATGTTCACTCCTATTTAAATAAGCATATGTCTATACTGAAAGGATAATTTACATCTATTGACTAGGCAAACATTCAATTCATAAGACTAGTTCCATATACAATATTACTTTATCAAGGTACTTATTAAATGAATTAGAAATATTTGATTCTTGTTACCACTAGATTGGTTTTTTACACAACAAAAATGAATTAACTCTAGTCCATAAATGTATTTTCTCTTTCATAACATTTTTAAAATAAAAATACAAAACTGACTCATTATAATTGAACGTATAACATGATCATTGATTTTTTTGTCACTAATCTAGCTGATTTGTCTCAAATGGAATGGAATGTCTGTCCTCGATTCCACTACTATTATCTACTATGCAACTTTACGAAAAATCTTGTAATTATTGTTTGATGATAAGGTTGAAACTTTTTATGAAATGGTGGTGAATATTAGATAGTTGTTAGTCAGTAAGCTAGTTTACAGTGGTGTTACATGAATACCATTACTTTAAAGGTGACAAGTATAACAAAAGAACAGAACGCTACATACCTCATTATTTTGTTTATTTGTCAACTATTATTACGCACTAATTTAAAATGAAATTTCTTTTGGTTATTTTTTTATAAGTCATCATAAAGATTTCTGTTTTACCTAATGGAAAAGTTACTCTGTGATTGTTTGCCAACTTACTTATCTATTAACCGAGTGAATGAAAATTCTGAACTCATTTTAAACAATCTAACATTTATTAAGTTATTGTCTAAAAAATAAGACGTACAAACTTTTGCTTCTTTATAGTGGAGGATTATTTTTATGATGCAAAATGAAACATCCATCTTCTTTGTGCTACATAAGCGTAGTTAGTGAATTTGATTCACAACGATATGAACACAGTTAGATCTTATGTGTAGTAATTGAAATAAAATATGATAATCTCAACAAGCTTAACACATAACAGGTGGTTGAACTGTGAAGTTTGTAAAGAATAAACAAAGTTTTCACTAAATTTTCAAACATATCAGTTACTTGTTCATGTATCTTGATTAAATAAATAAATTAAATAAAAAAAACAATCTGCTACTGGATATCATTTGTGTTTTTCGAATAAATGACAGTTTCTAGTGACTGTGATGCTTCATTATCTTAATATTACTTTAATTTCTTCAAAATGTAACTAATTAAAGAACACAAGCTTTTTGTAAAAATAGGTCTGATCTATCACCTGAACTGTCAAAACATTGATTAGTGATATGTTTATAGAGAACCGTAAAAATTAATTTGCAACATAGAAACACGGTGATCAAACTTTTAAGTGGTTTGTTAGTACAAGCAGAAATTAAAATGATCGCCTATGCAAAAAGCAACATTTATGTAACTGCTGTATAAAAATTTTTCAATTTATTCAAATATGACTCCTATCTCACACGATCAGTGTTTTTTTTTTAGTTTGGAAACATTACTATTAGTATAATAATAATAATAATAATAATAATAATAATAATAATCATTATTATCATAAGGTCATTTAGTCAAATCATTTTTTTTTATAATGTGAAGAATGTTCACTCAACATTTCATGGTCATCTAGCCTACTTGTCGATTACTGGTCAATTCTTTTCTTAACTTATTTAATTAACAGTTTGGAATTAGAGTTAAACAGAAAGTTTGTCTGCCATATCTATAAACTTTACAAATGGTTACTTTTACTACTTACATGCCTATTACTAGTTTTAAACAGAGAAACAGACATTTCAGCATCATAGAGATAATAGAAGATTCATAGTTCAGAATATCTCACAACTTTTACTTTTGAGAAAATTCAATAATATAAAGTATTGATATAGTGATTTAGATATAGAAATATATTTTAAAAATTGCAGACATCTGATCGAATGGATTTTACTTTGACATACTTGAATTGTTTGTTTGTATGATAGATTTTAATCAAAATAATATGTTGAATATCTTCAAGCATACAATCAATGGATATCTTTAAGCCATTGTTTGACCTAGGGTAATGTGGTAATTTCCTACCCTTTCTTATTCTCTTCAGATTAGGTTAATTTTCTCTCTCCTTTATTTACAATTATCACTTTATGTCTAATTGAACTTTTATTTAATTGACCTTTTATTAATGTTCATATAAAATGATTTCAAATGTGTAAAAACACAAATCTCCAAAACTCTAACTGAAAATATCGTAACACGTGCTGACTAGTGACTAGCTTCGTGAGGAAATTGTCAGAGTTCTAGTTGAGAAGACTTGATCAATCGAGTTCAACCCTGTCGGGTGTAGGCAGTAACTACCAAAGACAAATCGGTGAGGTCGCGCAAAATCCCTAGATCAATCAGAGTTAGATATTAACAGAGTTGGATGCCGGCCCAGTGGTCCGACAGTTAGGCGTTCGCGTACAATACCGAAGGTTCTGGGTTCGAATCCTGCGAGGTGCAGGAGTCGTGGATGCGCACTGCTGACGAGTCCCATACCAGGACGAAACGACCGTCCAGTGCTTCCAGGTTTCTAATGGTTGTCTAACAATGATTGATTGATGATTTTAAATGTGTAAAAACACAAATCTCCAAAACTCTGCCCCAAAATGCCTTGAGAAGTAAATATGTGTGACCAGATTGTTCGAAATGTATAGCTGAAATACATCATAACATTTTTCAGATCAATTACGTCTTCTACACTATTTTAGCAAAATGATAACATTAAATACCTTCATAAACTTGAACTTTATTACTGTAACTAACTAATAAATCAAACTTTTGTTGTTTTTCATAGCCATCTCAAGATTATTCATCAGCATCATCATCGCCATTGAAAAATTTACCAAAAAAATCTATTTTAACAACAGGAAGAAAGTTTGGTATTTTTGGTGATCCACAATCCATTGATCCAGCTACATTGAATGTAACAGTTGACAATGACAATAAATCAGCTGATTCATATGATTCTGTAAATAATAATAATAATTCTGATTGTCACTTAATTCAACAACATTTAACATTCAATGATAATTTATTCACTACGGAAAATGTATCTCATTCAGTTCATTTCGGTGATACTAATCAATCGGACAATAAATTACCTAATACAACATTGAATACTGATCATAATAATAATAATAATGTTGTAATTAGTGATTATCGAATGACAATGAGAGATCCATCACATATGAGAACTGTACAACATGACAATGAATCACAATCTACTATGCCTATTGTGAAATTAATTTCCAACAATGATAATACTGAAATTCCACCAGTTACTACTACACAATCAATGAATACTTAACATGATACAAGATTACAAAAAAAAATCAAGTCATACAGATTTACTAATGCATTAAACTTATTATGCATCGTGGAAATAGGTTAGTTAGTTTGTTGGTTTCTATTTTTTTTTCAGTTCACTATTCCTCTTTACTTGTCACATATTTTTTCTTATTTTCTTTAATGATCTGTCAATTTGTTTGAAATAAAAACAAATTCCAATTAAAAAACTTAACAAATCATATCTATTTGTTGATAAGTTCATATAGGTAATTGGTTGTAAAACATTATAAATACATTATGCAACTTATATGTAATCTATTATGTGACAATTTGAAATTTGAAACAATCAACATAGGTTGAATGATTATTTTTTCAATAAAATCAAAATTAATTTAGAGGTAAAACCAAAAATGTTTTCAACTGAATGAAATTTCTAATTAGCACAGCTATGGTAATTGTTTTTATTTTTATATTATAAGTTTCAGTTTAAGTTAACTTTTTTTTTTCACAAGATTAAATAAATAAATATTTCTATAAGTTCTGTTATTACAACATATATTTCACTCGGAACTATTTTAATAAATAGGTTTACAGATGCTTTTAACAATGTTTATCTTTCTTCCGTTGTATTACTTGACAATCATATTGAATTGCATGAATTTTATGGTATTCTTCTCTACTTTGTTTTGAAGCAATCCAGAAGTAAAATAATAATCTTAATAATTGTGATAGGTTTGCTCTTACAATAAGGCATTAATTACACTTTATATTAGGTTTTGAACATTTTACAATGTACTTAAATAATTAAATTCTTTCAAATTTGATGAATTTATTTCAACATCTATATAGTTTGAAATGAAATGAGCAGGTCATTATACAAGTTTTTCCCAAGTGTAACACTGTCTACACAAAGTTTCATTAAAAACAACCACTAATATTGTTCTTCTAAATGGATTTAATCTTTAAATAAATCAACACTGTTAAATGGATTCATATTGCGTGATAAATTCAGGACAAACAAATATATAAAACATTATAATTTGTCAGGTTATATTGGCTTCCGTTAATGATTACTCTATTTATCAATTTTGTGTAACAATACATTTTAACATAAATGATGAACTGTAGTGAAATTGTAAATGTTAATTTATTAAACTAGGTTTTCATTGTAAATATGTACAAATTATTGTAAAAAAAATACTGAAGTAAAACTTCAGTTTATGAATATTTAGAATGAAAGCATGTCTAGGATGACCGGTCCAAAACAGGACAAAATATATGTCCTAGACTCCACTACTTGCTGTATTTCATCGATTCTTGTGATAATTTTTACATTGAGCCTGACCGTAGCTGCTGCCTTGACGTGATGTTCGAACTTGCCTATCGTGATGACCCAACCGAGCTTTATTGGTTGGAACATATGTTCCTTTAGGTCTTAACATGCCAGGCAGGACAGTTGGAGAATGGTAAGAATAAATGCAGCAACTCAAGATCTGAGGGGGAAGTCGTACTGCTGGCCGTAAAGGGGTGTGACGACAGTAAGATGTTTCCCTTGGACAAAAAGCAACTGCGGCGATGCCGCCTTCTCACAATGAGGGATGGGGTTCGAATTGGTCCACCTTAAAAATGTCACACCTCATCTTACTCTATGGATTTCCGTCTCCGGCGGTAAGGTCATTTGAAGAACGAAGCTAACGCTTTAAAAACTTCCCGTGAAAGGTCTTGCTTGACCGGCATCAAGCATTTGTCCCTTGGGCTCTGCGGTCATGCTTCCAGGTCCCTTAGACCAATGCTAATCCAACTCTCTCTTCAGGTTCCTCAAGAAACACCTTTCCTTGGTGTGAGGAGCCAGGAAGTGACATCCGCTCTCATACTCGTAACAGCACACGTTTACATTAAGGCAGCATATACATGCTGCTCGTATGCAAACTAAGATTGGTTAAAGTTTAGTCAATAACATCAAAAATGGCATAACATTTCACACAGTTATGGAAAGGCATTTATTTAAGTGCCGGCACTTTTATCAACATAAAATCTCCTACAAGAGATTCGACTTCATTTTAAATTGTGTGCTATTTTTGCGTCATCTACCTCTTCAATTCACCCATTCACATCGAATATACACTATTGGATACAATAATCATGTTTTTACTCTTCACTATGTTCTGAACTAAATTATTTTTTCCATTGTTTTTGTCAATGAAAGGTGGTCACTGTGTTTGATTGAATTTAAAAGATTCACTAAATTTGGTATAATGCCAACAAAGGAAGGAAATCCACTGCGTCTCTGAACAAAATCGATGCATTTCTTTGAAGAAACTTTTCTTTTGAATAAATTTAACAATATAGTAGTGTTTTAAAATATAAAGAGAAATTTGTTATGTCACTAAAAAGATTACTAAACATTTACCGAAGAAATCTTTTTAAGAAAAGAATTTAAGCTGAATGATAATCATAGTTCAGTGTGGAGATAGAATGAAAGCGACTTATAGAAGAGAGATTGAAAAGATAATCATCCGCTGAACTGATGTAACCAAAAGTTGAACACATCAGGGAGAACTTTCAGAATTAGAAGACAGATTGAATTCATAATCAATTAAGTAACCAGCCATGTAATTTTTGAATATAAAGATAACACTTGAATTGATGAATTGTCCAAACCTTTGCAATCCACAAATTTCCCTATCTATTTTCCTTTAAAGCCGGTTGAATTTTTAAATTTGTGGGTAATTTAAATGAAGTCCCTGGTAGAGATAGATGATTTAAAGAATTCATATATATCACATAATGCTTTTGATAAATTCTCTGATATTTTGTTGAATTTATGAAGACATATGAAAGGCGTGCGTTAGTAACTTTTGAGTGAATATTGATCCTGTCCTGCAAATCACAGCTTTCTATCTTCATCATTAGTTTTCAGGTCTACTGAACAAAAAAAAACACTCATTGACCTACATTGTTTGATACACGATATTTGTAGCATATTTGTACATTTGTGTATTGTATGTGCAATTACTTGTAAAGTTGAACATCTCATTGTTTCTTGCGGCAGTTTCGATGTTTTGTAAATGTTGCTTTTCATCTGTTGATTGTTTTGTGAAAGATAAAAAAGAAACAAATGGTACTTTATGTAATATGATTTTTTAGTTTATAACGAAATATACCTCTCGTATTGAAATAAGTGATTTAATGTTAGTGGAGTTTTATCCTTTTGTTGACTTGATTCACTCGATTATTTGACTTCCATAAGTATCTTTTAGCAAAGAGTTGATATGTTTATCTGGAAATTAATTTAGTAATGCCAAGTCTAAAGATATATCATCTTAATTATTAAATTGATTTATTCACTCGATCGGTAGTATGTACGCGATGACTGGATGAGATTGCAATTTCGTTCAACTTTAGTTGACAGTGAATAAGTCAGATAATTTGAGAGTTCATAAGACTTTGAATAATGCTGATGCCAGTAGTTGCTTCATTTGAAACGATTTTCAAAGTCACATTGATCCATACTAAGTGATCAATCATCTATGAATATGTTAGTCCTACAACAGACTGATTACTTGCTGTTCGAATAGCTCGATGGTAATATCCCGAATTATGAAGCTAGGTAATGAGGGTTTGAATTCACTGGTGAACACTAGGTTCCTCCTTACTGATGAGAGTCAACTAGCATCAACCTAGATCCAGAGTTTCCAGTCAATTGCTTCCAAGCGCTTTATATCTCAGCACAGTTTATAAAAAACCTGGTCAGTAAAACCACACTGTAACTTGATCACTTGAATTAAATCAGCTATAAAACAGTATATAAATACGACATTAGTCACTGCTTATTGATTATTTAATGATAACTTATCACACACACTACACGTTAACTCAAAATAAAGTTGAAGATATTTAAGTTACTGCAAATAATTTGCGGCTGATTTTCAACCTTAGTTAATTACAATTCATTATTACATTTTTCTATAATTTATTTCTATACGTCAATCAAGTCTATCCTTAACAGTTAACAATTAATTAACTATATATAATAAATTATAATTTGGATCAATTCAGATAATAATTATTTTAATGAGACCAATGAATTATTAAAATTTTATAATAAACAAATGAAGTTGGTTATATGATAAAATACGCCGGGAAAATCAATAAAAAACTATTATTATCCATCTTATTGATCATCATCATCATCATCATGTAGATGAAGTCAAAAGAACAAATTTAAACGATGGTTTGTTTATTTGCTACAAAAAATAACACAAACAAACAAACAATCAACACTAATAAGTTTCGCAACCCAAATACAAAGTGAATGAATGACCTTAGATAAAGAGAAAAAAAAGACTTGAAAGAAAAAAGAGTCCATTTTTTATGATGATCAATGAAAAGAATAAAAAAAAACATCCTAGAATTTCTAAAGGTTAAAAAAATTCAATATGTTATTATTAAACATATAAACTCTGTGATACTTTCTCATTGATCTTTATTCTATAAGTGTTGATTTATTGAAATGATCCGGTTTGTTTCATTTTCTCTTGACTACTTTTTCTATATGTGTATGACAGAAAACTTACATTGATAATGTCTGGCGAAGATTGTTTTATTCTTAAGTTTCTGTGATTAGTACTTTTAAAATCCATCTTCCTTGTTATGCGATCACTTTCATTCGTTCAAATATCAATCATTCTAAACATGTTGTTGTTTAGAAGATATGTCATTTGTTAAAATCTACTTCACTAATTCACATATTTACTTGTTAGGAGTTAATTTATATTAATAAGTACTAAATAGAGTAGTAGCATTAAGAAAAAAGAAGCCAAAGATAAATTAGTGAAGAGAATGTTTTACTTTTCAATTGATACTTTGCCAAGCTTTCTGCAATTCATAGATTTTTGAACCATGCCCCCTTTAAATCTGTTTCTTGATGGTGATATTTCTGAAAAGCTGTATTGATGAAGGTACGTCATATTTGTTATTCTATTACTCTTTTGACCTTTATGGACACTAGAGATTGAAAAACTTGACTCTGAATCGGGGTCTGAGAACAGGTTTACGGGAATAATATGAATTCATCATAATTGAGGGATTTTCTTTTAACAAAGCCAGCAACAATATTCTTGAGAAATTAAGATGATAAGAATTACATGTGTATATTTTAGCTTTTTAAATATCTATTTGTAGTTCAATGCAAATTCGAAATGCTTATGAACAGTAACCATATTGAACTTTGTGCCTAGAAAAGTGATGTTTTTTCACTGTTATTTAAGGAAAAGAAAAAAAACAGGATAGAATGATTTAAAACAAATAAGTCAACGCAATTTAAGTCTGGTCACATATACATTGATAAACTAGAGAGAAGGGCTGTAACTGTGGAACCTTACTTGTGTAGCAAGACAACCAAATATCCACTGGACTACATTTTCATAAAAATATGCGTCAACATAACAGAAGAATTACCAAAGATATTTCACCTGATTTGTAACGTATTTTGCTTTAAGAATGACTCTTATTTAACTAGTCTTTGTCTTTCAGAGCTTCTAGGTAAACACTTAACTCTACTCAGATTGATAAATGTACTCATAACAAGCATTCATGTATTATGTCATCTCTGTTTAGAATGAAGAAAGAATAATTTTATAGTGCTTATTTACATTTTCATAACATAACTATATATTTACCTCTTATAATATCAATTCATATTCAACAGGATAGTCTTTTTACTATTCTGCTATTAACGAAATAATGTGCAAAGCTTTTTATTTTTATGATAAAAATAGGATCTTAGAAAAAAATTGATAGCAGAAACAAACATTGAAATTTTTCTCTATTGAATAGAAAAGACAATGATAGGGAAATAGAAAGAAGAATTTGATACAAAGTGTACTCTTGTTTATTCTTCACTAGTGAGGAGGTCATTTTTTGAATTTACTGTCGTGTAATATTATCTGTCCAATTCATCGAACTAACACAACCGATGTCGGTTTAGTTGAAAGCCTAACTGTGTTGCTCGGGAATATTTATACATGAATATTTATAAATAATAGATACTTCTACAAAAAATCATGTCCGGCTTAGGTTGAATTCTTATTCAATTTGATAAATACACCAATAATAAGCAGTTAAGCACAAAAATGACAAAACATCTGTTAGCCAATAGGAAAACAGTCGTTTTGTCAACACCTAATTCACTCAGTAAAATACAAAATAGAATTGATTCTAACTACTCATAAGTAGCATATTTATAACATATAAATTTCACAACACCACTCTAGGTATAGATTTACCTAAACTGAAATTTGTGTTAGTAATAGAATAGTATGTTGTCAAAGATCGGTAAAATCTAATCTGACTTTCCTTGATAACATTCAACTCATAAGTTACAGGACCAGATTTCCAGTTGTTCATTTATGTCTTACAAACCAAACAAAGTCGTGTACGAGGTACCTATTCTTGATTGTTATTATTCAACGTAATTCGAAACAAATAAGTTACTCAACTGCATTTGACAGAAGGTTGATTTTCCCATTTTTGAGCAAATGTTAGAATGAACTTAATAGTTCTCCGGATAGGATAATTTATCTTCATTGGCAATTAAGCTAAGTAAGAGTTCACTAGATATTTGGCTATCTATTGTCATAGTCTATTATATAGTTTAATAATCGACGTTAATCCATACCTATATATATATATATATATATATATATAAAGGTTTTTTTGTTGAACAAAATATTTTAGAAAATATAATTTCGCTTAACAACTTTAATGCTTTTCCTGTCTTCAGTTATCATTTTTCGCATGGCGTTAACCTTTTTTTATATTCATTCATAAGAAGAATTATTTTTTCATCTTTTTTCTTCAGTGCATTTAACAATGATAATTTTTAGCTAATTTTATTTGATTCTGATTTTTTCTAAATTAACTAACTAATATGATTTTTTGATGTTGTCTTGATTTAAATTTAAAATTAAACTACGAAAATTAATTTATCTACATGAATTTCTCATTGATTTATTTTTCCTTTTGTTTTTGTTTTTATCATCTACCACTTTCTTTATTTTTTTTTGCTACAGCATATTCATATAAAATAATGGTTGTATAAAAGCAAGTTACATGTGATAATATCGATAATCCGTTTTGTGTGTTCAATCGCGAAATATTTCTACTCTGGAATATAATGAATCAATGATCATTTGGAATTGACATTAGTCTTTCGTTAATTACTTCTTTTTATACATATAAAAATATCTATATATATAATATTATGAATTATTTAATTCTGTTAAAAATAAATAACTTATGCGTTATACTACTTTCTTTCTCTTTCTTTTCATGTTTTACATGTTTTTGTGCATTAAATGAACACTTTTCAAATGAGTCGTCGTCCATTCAACGTACACATTTCTACATGTATATTGACTGATTGATTGATACCGTTTTAGGTATTATTAGCAAAGTACTTTTTTTCGGCCTTCTAGAGTAAAAATTTACAAATTATTTTCTATTCTATCGGTTTATCTTTAAAATTTTTTTCAATGTTTCATTTGTTAATTGTGTTTGAGTAAAAAATGATTTCATCACCTAAGTAGAGATGTGAATGAATTATCTAAATAAATTGGTAGAATCTTATTAATTAAAAACTATCAAAATTGTTTTAAACATACTGTACTGTTTGTGAATGATTAGTCTCTAACTAACTAACTAACTCACTAACTAACTAACTAACTAACTAACTTACTTACTTACTTACTAACTATCCTATCTATCTATCTATCTATCTTATCAGAATTCCATACTAATGTTTTGTTTATTCCTCAAGTTTAATTAATTACCATCATTTCTGCTCTTTCTCAATATAAAATAATATTATCTATTTCTTTGACATACAATACTATTAGATAACTTTATTTTGTTTGTACTCAACTATCAGATCAGTGAGACAATGCACAATTGTGCATGTAAACATGTATTATTATTGTGTGTTTTTTTCTAAAAAAAAATTAAATTATTATAAGAATAAACATAAAAATCATAACAGCGAATTAATTGGCAATTGCATATTTCTATTTTTTGTTTGTTTTGTTTTGTTTCATAGGTTCATTACTCATTTCTTTCCTTATTATTTCTAATTTCTATCCTTGTCACCTAGCCACCTTCCCTCTTTCTTTCTAATGATCCCATTGGATTTGTAGCAGTTTCATTTTCTCTTCTCTTCTATGATTATAAGTCATTTTTCTCATAAAAATTATATTTTATTTCATTTCACACTTTAATTACATAATTTATGACATATATATAAATATTGTTCTTTGTTCTTTTTGTTTACAACAAATAAGATGATTATCATTTCAATGTTTACAACGGTAATGTGTTATCGATTCTTGTTGTTCTAACAACAAACAGAAATGACATATACAAATATAGACAGGTCTATTTTTCACCAGACTTCAAGCATATCGGATAATTTCATTTCCATTAATATATTGAAAGTTGATCATTTTTTTTGTACTGTTAACATTTTTTTATTTATATTTTTAATAATCTGACTACTTTGAACCATCGAACACATCCAGTATACAATGCGTCTATTTATGTATATACATTATATATATATAACAATCTATAAAAAGACAGAATAAACAGAGAAGAGTTAATTTTCTATTTGTTACTTTTTTTCTTTCTGTTTATAAAATACTTCAAATAAATAATGAAAATTATAAAGTAGTTAATTAGTTTATTTCCTACAAATATCATGAATTGACACATTTGATATTGTATAGAAAAAGAATAAGTGTATAGTATTGATTTGTAGCGATTGTTTACATAACGTTACAACATTGATTCTATTTGCCAGCCAATAAAGATACATGTAAGTTTATTACGTTGATGTGAATTTCAGTCACTTAAGTAATCACATTTTGAGAATCTGTTTGCATATTAACATGCTGGGATAGTTTTAATTATTTCTCACCTCCTCACTATCAGCCTGAGAAGTGACTGTGAACACTTGTGAAGAAATAAATCTCCATTGGTCGATTTTGTCGATAAAAATTGAATTAGCTTATGAAAAAGCATTGCAAATGTCATTTTATTTTATGCAATGATCACATCAAATTATCTGCACCAATCTATGCAGAAATATTCACAGATATTAAACTGATCTATTGACAATCAACACTTCGTATTGAGGTCTACAAGTATCGGAAAGAAATTTTATTGATTAATGAATATACCATGAATGCGTTGAAACAAAAAGATTTTGTGTAGCTGAACATAAGTGATGCCGTGTTGAATTAAGTTGCGTTATTCTAAACATGTTACAAATTAGTTATTTTACCCGATTACATTTTTAGGTATAAAAGATCTCACATCAACTTTTTGTTTCTAGATTCTGATTTCATCTACTATTTATTATGGTTAGGGTGACATTAGGACCAATCGAAAGTGATGGGTAGAAAATTCAGAATTAGAATGCAATGGATTAATGTATATATATATATATATATATATATATATATATATATATATATTGTACAGAAGAAAGTAATACATTCTATCATTTATCGCAAATGTTACACTATACATAGGATTTTTAAAACAGCCATTAATAACAACGACAACAACAATTCTTGCTATTAAATTCACCGAATGCACAATAATTAACGATTTTAAAAAAATTATCTGATAAGCAGTCAAAGCGGATAGTTAATACAATTTACAGTTAGAGTTTTGGAGATTTGTGTTTTTACACAATTGAAATCATCAATCAATCATTGTTAGACAACCATTAGAAACCTGGAAGCATTGGACGTCCGTTTCGTCCTGGTATGGGATTCATCAGCAGTGCGCATCCACGACTCCTGCATCTCGTAGCATTCGAACCCAGAACCTTCGGTATTGTGCGCGAACGCCTAACCATCGGACCAGTGGGCCGGCATCCAACAATGTTAATGTCTAACTCTGATTGATCTAGGGATTTTGCGCAACCTCACTCATTTGTCTTTGGTAGTTACTGCCTACACCCGACTGGGTTGAACTCCATTGGTCACGTCTTCTCACTAGAACTCTGAGAATTTCCTCAAGAAGCTAGTCACTAGTCAGCACGTGTTACGATATTTTCAGTTAGAGTTTTGTAGATTTGTGTTTTTATACATTTGAAATACAATTTAACATTGGAAGTCGAATGATTGTTGTTTATACTTACTCCACAATGGTTAACGGTGATCAAACTACCTTCATGTCAAGGTTAATTGTAAATGCTCAGGTCAATCAACAGTTTAAAACAGAAAAAAAGAACTTATTAAAAATTAAAGTGCAAATGCTATAAAAGCTAAAAACAACTGTTGGTAAAATAAATAAATTTAGTTGGTAAGTGGCTAGAGGAATTCAAAAATATGAATATACAATATGGAAAATCTAATTTCACCTGACTAAACATACTTTCTACATAATAATAACTTCATTCTAATCAGACATTTATTCACCTGCAAAAAGTATAAATGTATTTAGTCGTTGTGATTAGTTAAATTCTTTATTTTGAATGTGACTTCCTAAAAGTCAGTTCTTAATACAATCTTGAAGTAATCTACACTTTTAAAGTATTAATAACTAGATTATATAATTGCATATTATTTATCTGATAGTCACAACTGTTTGTTTACTATTTCAGGTGACTTCATTTTATACAACAAGTATATACACATTACCTGACACAAAACATTTATTTCCAAATTTTATCGATCGTCTATTATTATTATTATTATTATTACTTCTACTAAAAATTACTAAATAGACATTACATTGATAGATGTGAGAAACTTATTGATTGATTCACTCAATTGTCAACAAACAACCAATTGAATAAGTGATTTATCATCAGGTCGGATCAATTCATTTCTATTAAGCATGATGAGCATAAATTAGTCAATCATAGTAAATATTTTCTTTGAAATTTAGTAAATGACAATGTAAATAGATACCAGTGAAATGTTTCCATTGGAAAAAGATTATTACGGTGTAAAATATCACAATGTTTTCACAATAATCATGAGAATAATATAACTTGATTAAAAATGTAAGCACATTTTATTGTCTGTTATGATTCAAAGTAAAACAAACACAATTAGTGGTGATTTTAAAAAAATATTGTGTTGCTTCAATGTGATCAGTTTCAAATCAGTTTATTTTAAAAGGAGATCATCAATAGAAGAAATTATGAAATGTCAGAAAAAAACTTGGAAAGAACATTACATAGTGGTAATCTTGATCGATTATTCTCAGTAGTTTGAATTTATTCAGAAACAGAATTTCCTTCGTAAATTTTTTTTGTTGGATAATCTGTATGCTAAAATTTTGAACGGATTGTACAATAATGACTGAAAAATATTTCAAATCAGATAACTGAAACTAAATAAATGATCATTTCTTTAATGAGTAACCATATTTTAACCTGCTACAGGCGGTGTTTGTTGCTAAATGTCAACTGTGAACCTGCTCACTGTCATGATCCTACTAGTTATTATGTGAAAAGTGAACATTGAGAATAAATGTATTCTCAAACGATTCGTTTTACATACACTTTAAAGCTTTATTCGAGATAGAGACTAAATCTATGGGTTCTGTATTTCTTCTCCCCAGCGGGTTATATTTTCCGTTCACTTTAAGTTAGTTGAAAGCATTATTATGCAATACTGGTCTTAAATAATTGAAGCTACGGAACGATACTGTCAGAACAACCCCGATAATGTGAAATTAGTAAGGCTGGTATCAATAAAAACTCAGTCTGGAGGCCTTTTGGGGCTACTTCTGGTCCCAAGATCGGATAATGGAGGAGGGTTAGGAATCGTGCTAGCGACCTCAGCCAGTAGAAATCAAACTTGCCAAGAAATACCGACCAGGAAAATCATTTAAATCATTTAAGTTTTACCAAGGGAGTTGAAGGGCGTTCATTTAAAAGAGTTATGACTCCTCACAATGAAAGCCAAGTTTCTTCGGAGGCCACAAGGTTGATGCCCTTACTGATAGCTAGAGCAACCATTAATACATGTACATAGAATGTTTTCACAATGTATGAAATCGGGAAAACTATTCAAGTTGCTGCCAAAATGAAAACACACAACTTGGTGGTACTTGGAAATAGTGAAACACATTGGACAAAGACAGGACAAAACAGAATCGCATCAAGAGATGCTGTTGTAATTCGGTCATGCAGAAGAAAAATACCTCGTACACAAGGAATTCGAGGTAGGGCTTATTACTTTAGTGGTCCGCGATGATTCTTTTATTTACAACGATCGAGTATGCTATGAATTAAATCTCCCCTTCAGTTTCCGTATATCATATTTAGGAGAACCCCATTTGTGCAATCGTGGTAATGAGAAGCCGAATACGGATTCAGTTGGATGAGTTTATTTCAGGAAGTCGTTCACGCAGACAGATATGAGAATTTAAAGCATTCAAGCAAAGTAGAGAGAAGTGGAGCAGGTGAATAAGCCAACTCAATGTAATGAGGCATGACTAAGCATTTATAGTTAAACAAAATAAGATAGGTGTGTAATAAGTGAAGTAAGCAATGCATACACCCACTCGAATACAAACAATCAAGGTATGAGCAAATGATAGACAAGTTCAAAAGGTATATGAATAATAAATCAGACAGGAAAGGTTACTTAGTTTGTCAGAAAGCTAGGACAAGCATTGTGAGCTTAACGTAAAAGTACACACACTACACATTCAGTTGTATGAGCCCACCAATGATATCAGTGAAGACGATAAAGATCAGTTTTATGAAAGGCTGTAGTCAATGTGGTAGAGGAATTCTCATACAAGGGACGTAACAATCCTAATAGGAGAACTGAACACCAAGGTTGAAATGAGCAACACTGGATACGAAGACATCGTGCGACAACATGGACTAGGAGAAAAGAAAGAAGATTGGTGACAGATTTGCAAATCTATGTACTTTCAACAACATGATGTCATAACTTCTTCCACAAATCCATACGCGAAATCTACGTGCGTTTAACTAGACCACGCTAAGGAGTCAATTCAGTGAAAATTCAGAAGGTTCAGGGAGGACATATGAACAAAGAATGGAGCTGATATAGCTTCAGATCGTCCCACGGTGGTGACCGAGATGAAATTGAAACTAAAGAAGCACGGGCAAAAGTTTGATACAGACTTTCTTCGGGATACTGGCAAACTCAGTAAATTCGAGACAGACCTCAGTAATAAGTTCCTAGCCTCTCGCAATCTACTCAGCTAAGAAGAAACTATCATGGAGAAAGTCTGGAAAGGAGTTAAGGAAGCTGCAGTGTATAATAATATGTGGAGCCTAAACGGCTTGTCCCAGTCATTGGATAAGTTGATCAATGCAATCTTCTCGAGTTATTCAAATGTCTTTCAACCTGGTCAATTATTTACTTATAAATTGGTTGATTTTACTTAAGTATGTGGATGGATTGCTTACTTCATTTATCACATGTCTAGCTTATCTTTGTCTGACTATAAATTCTTAGTCATCATCCCTCATCACATTGAGCTGGCACACTCACCTCCGCTTCAATTGCTTTGCTTTTCTGTTTATTGTCTTTTTGCTGAAGCGAATGTATGAAATAAATTCAATCAAAATAAACCATACTGTGCTTTTAATACCCACCGTTGTACAAACGGAGTTCACCGAAGAATGATATACGGAAATTGAAAGAAATAGTTATTACATAGTATGTCCAATTGTTCGCCCGGATAGGGGTCAGATCCTATGTCACTGAATAACATTAACTTCAGCATCTCGTGAGGTTTTAGGCCATAAGAAGCACCATCCTAAGAAATGGATCGCTGTGGATACTCTGGATAAGATTCAAAAAAGGAAGAATAGGAAGACAGCAATCAATAACATCCAAACAAGAGCAGATGAAGCTAAGGCACAAGCTGAACATACAGAAGCAAACAAGCAAGTGAAAAGGAGCATTAAGGCTGATGAGCAAAAATATCTGGAAGATCTGATGATGATAGCAGAAAAATCTGCAAAAGAAGGAAACATGAGACAACTATATTATACAAGGAAGAATCTCGCTGGGAAATATGGTAAACCAGAACAACCAGTCAAGAACAAAGAAGGTAAAGCAGTAAAAAACATTGAAGAACAGTGAAATAGGTGGGTAGAACACTTCGAAGAACTTTTGAATAAACCAGTACCGTTGAAACCGTCTACAGACCTTCCTATTGGCGTCAACCCACCAGCAATCTACGACGTCAGCAAGGCCATCCGACCAATTAAGAATGTCAAAGCACCAGGACCAGACAACATACCAGCTACGGCACTGGAAGCAGACATAGCAGTTCCGTAGGAATCGATCGTGTACCGACCAAATCGCGCGTGACACTGCGGATGATCGTGGAACAATCAAGTGAATGGAATTCACCAGTGTACATCAACTCCAGTGACTACGAGAAAGCTTTCAAAAGCATGAACAGCATGACACTGTGGAGGCTTACTCGACACTAAGGTGTATCTAAGAAGAAAGTCATCACACACGAAACTTACGGTGGATTAAGCTGCAGAATCATGCATTTAGGGCAGCTCACAGACTCATTCTAAGTGAGAACCGGTGTCAGACAAAGTTGCTTACTCTCCATTTTTATTTCTTCCGGTGGATTACTGGATCACGAGCACTTCAACTTCTCAGGAGAAGCATGGAATATAGTGGACAGCTCGGGTGAGGCTTGGCGACTTGGACTTCTCAGATGATCTGGCTCTTCTATCCCACACACGACAACAAATGCAGGTAAAGATGGTCAATGTAGCAGCAGTAGGTCTTAACATACCCAGAGGAAAAAGTAAGATCCTCCAATACAACACAACCAAATCATAAGGCAAGTCCTAACTTAGAATCTTCAAGTCGAAATGAAAAGAAGACTAAGGAACTCAATGCCCTAGGAATCGGAGGCGAACATCAAAAGTATGAATAACACTTGAGAACGACTGGGAAGGACAACCTAGGACAGTTGGTTGGAGAATCCTGGCCAGCGGCCTATGGTTCATGAGAAATAGTAAACGTCAATAAATCTTAATAAAATCAACTCACAAGTGCTTAAATATTTACTAATGTATATTTAATGAAGAGGATCTACAAAGATTGTATCATTTTCGTAGTATATATGTTACATGAGTTATGCTATATATCTTACCAGCGACTTTTCTATATGATAGTATCAACTGTATTGTTTTGTTAATCAGTCACGAGTATCTTATTATGTTTAATTTTAGTCCTTTTTCAGCATAAAAAGCTTCATTTTTTATTGAATTTATGTTACTTTTTACAACCAAGGCAATCGATGGGAACTATTTATCATTTGAAACAAATGAAGGTGTTACATCTAACAGTGATCTTTACAAGTGATAGAATTCATTGAACTGTTAGTACCACAAAATTAAAACATCAACAATTTGAAATTATTCAGCACATTACATACATTTCTATCACGTATTGTGTGTGTATACTATAATTGAACAAGTAGCTACGTAAGCAAAACATTCCGGCAATATTGTCACCATTTTCTTAAACAATGTCTATTGTAGTCAAAGAGACTACAACGATCCAGCACAGAGAACGAAATTCCCACCATGAACTTCAAAGCGTTACATATTAAAGTGCTGAATAACGAAAACAAACACCTTTGTTGTATTTAGTGGATTGATTTTTTTTTACAGCCTAATCTATTATTGTTTACTATAGTAATAACAGCTTTCCAGATAAATATCATTAACTCATCTCTATTTTAAGCCTGTAACCTACATGAATTATGACAACTACACTATTGTTGTGCCAACTCAATCCAAGTTTATTTTCATTGTCATGAACTTACAAAAAAAAAAAATAAGTTGTTTTAGAAAGTGATCATGGAATGCGATTATTTATTTGCTTATAACAAATATAACTACTTCTTATTACAAAGGTATATAATTCATATTTCAAAAAGTATGCTCATCATGTGACATAGAAATGTTGTTTATTTTTAAATGTGATCAAAATTTTATGACATTATTAGTGTAACAACAATGAATAGAGCACAGATTGTTTTCTTTCGCATAACTTAGAGTTAATTGTGTACTTGATAAAATAATCGCTCTTTTTTCTAAGAAAGTATTCAGTGAATCTTCGAATCCATAAATGGTTAAAACGATCTAAAATAACAGCAATTAGAAAACCATTGAAAATGAAGTAAGACGAATATGTGTGTACGTACTATTGCAGAGTATCAGTTCAATGCATAAAATAGAAGATATACTTTTGTTTTCTAGTTTTCTATGCTTTCCCAATCGATCCATGTGTTGTTCTGATGAACACGAACTTCAAAATGAATAATCTACACTGACCATCTTATATCACATTACATTGAAAATGTAAACTTATTTTGTCCGCAAACTAGGACGTACCTTCATTTTTAAAAAAAATATAAACATTAAATGGATAGATAGAATATACTTCCCGTCTTTTCCCCATTCATTGATTAAAATGACCTAAACAGTGAAAAGAATTGAATGACAGCAGAAGTTTTAAATAATAAATAATTGACCTTGAAAGAAACTGATTGATTGGGTAAGAAGTCATAAGAAGTGAAGTTTTTTTCTTTTTCGGAAAAGATAATTTATTTTCCGAATTCTTTCAATTTATTGTATCCTGAATTAATGTAATATATATATATATATATATATATACATATATATATATATATTGATTTTTACTAACCATACGCTAAGTGATTCTTTGAAGAAAAAAGACTATTTTGAAATCGATTAGTGCATTGAAATAGTTGAAAAGAATTTGTTATTCATTTCGTTTTCAGTTCAGAATATCAACATATTTTCATTGAATTGACATGGTGTTAATGAATATCAGTGAAAGAATTCACTGTCAGATAGTAGGATTGAATTAAAATATCTTTGAAAAATTTATAGAATAAATTTGTTTTTTTTTAGAAACACAAATAAGAATATTTTCAAAATTCTTTTCAAACTGTAACACTGGTTTTTTTTGTAGAATTAGAAAATTTCCAAAAGAAAAACAAAGTTTAGCCGAAATTCAATGAGAGTATTTTATGAAATGATGATTAGTTTCAAATGTTCACGCAAACCAAATACAGTCAATATAATCCATAGTGTACCTACCATCTCTGAACAATTCTGAAGTAATTGATGGGATCAAAGCATTCAGTTTATTACAAGGTAAAATGATACATCACAGAGGTAGGTGAATGGAACAAGTGACTAGGAAGAATGCATCCGTTATAATTTCACTATTTGTACACCTACAGCCCCTCATACATTTTCCACTGACTTTAGTTGATCAAATGTTTTCGCAAATGTGAACAGATGTAAAAAACAACCGAACCTCAACTCTTAAAGTAGTCGTAGTTATCAAATTATGTGGGAAATTATTAAAAACTTTGTAATTTTATCCTCATTAATTCTCTTGTATAACAATAATACTTAAAATTTTATTAAGGAAAGTTGTTCAAGTGAAATAAATTTGAGGCAAACTATTCATACTGTTAAAGCTACTCATTAGTTAATATCAAATTAGTTAACTAAATAGGTGTAGTACATTCTGTTACCTACAGATAGATGTGTACTTTCAAAATGATTTCCTCTTTTGCTTTCAACTCAACATGTTAAACTTAATTGTTGCCAATGAAGTTGCAGTATTAAATATAATCGGTTTATTTATTCATGCCAGAAATTCCATTTTTTTACTGGAGCACACATACACATGATTCGGTTAAATTTGTTTGTGTCCCGTGCTATTATTATCTGATTTTTATATGTGGATATTGCGATTATCTGCTTCCTCTCCTTCTTCTTCTTCTTCCTCTAGTCGGATTATTTGACTGCTTCAACTTTGTTTTTGTTTAGTTCGCAATCAACTTTTATTGATTTATCGATTTTCATTGTATATTTTGAAAATTCCTTAACAGAGAAGTACTACAGCTTAAGGATTGTTATTCATTTAGTTGAATGACATCGAGATTTGCTTTATTTTATTAAGCTATTGCTTTACTTTTAAGAGGCTGCTATCTTTGTGTTTGACAAGATTTTTCTGAGATCTTCACGAACATACATCAATTCAGTAAATCGTATAAATTCTTCAGATAAAATGTTAACCAATATGAAACTACAGAGCTTTTAGAAACCAGTTATACAGTAGTCACTTATAACTGGTGACAAAAATCTTAATTACATGTAAAATCACACGAGAATGTTGACAAACAAACAAACAGGAAAAAGGTGATAATGCTAAGAGAAGTGAACAGAGCAACAAAATGAAAGTTTATCCATTCGGCTGTTGAACAATTTCATTGATCGATAAAATATCAACTGTCTCGTTCGTTTGGAAATTGGAAATTTACAAAAAAAAAATAATCATGTTATGCTATCATACTTTTTACCGCTTTGATATAAACAGTATGCATCAATTACAAAAAAAAGAATATACAAATGGTTAATTTTTTTGGGGGGAAATCAATTGTTTATATTCATTCCCCTAGGAGCATATTGAAACACTAGTGACAACAATGTGATACGCGTAAAAGGTAGCATGAATATACATCTCTCCAACTGGTTTTAAATATCCCGTTTATATAGTTAGTTGTTTAAATCATAACTTAACACTAGTTAGGGAATCATTGGAATTAACTGATCTAATTCACAGGATCAGACATCATTAAAAATATCTATCTGTCCAAGCGGCATCCAAAATGTTTCATCTTTCAACAATCGATAGCAAACCTGCGATATTGGTTACTCTCTCTAAAAGAGACATACGAATGCCGGAGTATCTCCGCGGCCCCCCCCCCCTCTTGACAAGCACACACACGCACTCAATGACTAACGCTAAACATTTACTATCAAACAGAAATACCTACATCATTCGACAAAAATTTTACTGCATTACTCAACACATAAATAAGCAAAACAAAAACAATCCAATTTTATGAAATGATATTATTAATGAGAAAAAACGCCAAAATAAACAATACTGACCTGAAAAAATTGCAATAACACATGAAAGTGACAAGAGATAAAGAGAGAGAACACAAACGACAAAAGTATTTCAAGAGAAGTAACGAAGGAAAGGAAACAATGCAAAGAGCTACACACATACACACAACCGCATTGAAGTATGTCGATATTAATATATATATGTAGCGTAAACTAATATAATAATAAAAAGTAGGCAAATGTGTCAATGGTCATGAAATTATCATGGAGTTTTGAAATGCTCAACTACTTGATAAGAATGCTCTTTTTTTTTCTTTGGTCATGAAAAGTTATCTGTATTATCTAATTGATGGGTTGAATATTTTCTGAAGCATTTCCTTTATTCTCTTCAACTACTGAAAACAGATTCGATGTATCTGCCTACAAAAAACAAAAAGGGAACAAAACAGAAAAGTGAAGTGAAAGATTGTTAGAATATTCAATAAATATCCTAAGAGAATTAATTTTGTAAGTCTAATTCTCATTACCGGGTTGTCAAGATTGTTAAGTTACACATTTTTGAAACCGTGAATCGATCGATGTTAGATCAACATTAGAAACCTGGAAGCACTAGATGGCCGCTTCGTCCTGGTATGAGACTCCTCAGCAGTGCGCATCCACGACTCCTGCACCCCACAGGATTCGAACCCAGGGACTTCGGTATTGTGCGCGAACGCCTAACCATCGGACCACTGAGACGGTATCTAACGGTGTTAGTGTCTAACTTGATCACTTCACATTAACACCGTTAGATACCGTCTCAGTGGTCCGATGGTTAGGCGTTCGCGCACAATACCGAAGTTCCTGGGTTCGAATCCTGCGAGGTGCAGGAGTCGTGGATGCGCACTGCTGAGGAGTCTCATACCAGGACGAAGCGGCCATCTAGTGCTTCCAGGTTTCTAATGTTGATCTAACATTGATCGATTCACAGTTTCAAGTCTAATTCTGTTGGTCAATTCCTACTGGTCAATATTACGGCCGTCCTAACTATCAATATCAGCGACTTCCATGTTGTTTCCTATTCAACCTAACTGTATAAATACGCATTATCTGTAACGTTATACGACCAGGATCCGGATCGCTAGTCCGAGATCCTGATTCTCTTTTGCACTCGGACCTTGTACTTTCTGGATGCTTGTAGAAGAATACACGTTCTACTTCATATCAAGTCTTGTTCTTTTACTCAATGGAAGTTTGGACGCTCAGATTAGAGTAGCCTGTCGTGTCGCCGGATCCTCGATCCTCGTTCTCGTTTTCCGACTATAGTAAACTCATAATAGTTCAAGCATATCGAATTGACATGTTTACGTGCAATCGTAACAAAGAGAGAACATCAAATAACAAGTAAATTAACTTATTCATAAGGTACTTAAAAATAAGTCACATTTAAAATGAAAGAGCTAGTGAGGTTATTCAGTTATCCAAACTAAAAACAAAAACGAATTAGTGATGTGGCCATTTGAACTATGAACTCAATGAAGAATTTCGTTAATTTGTTCTAAGCAAATTTTCATTATTGAGATGTCTTCTTTTTTTCTTTTTTTTTTGGTTTAATGGAAAATTGAAATTTTATTCACCAATGATCAATTGATTTATCACAGTTAATCAATTATGATAAGCACCAGTCAGTCAGTCAGTCAGTCAGATGCAACGTAGAACTTCGTACGTAAGTACATCAGTTCATGTTGCCATACCACATCAGCACAGAGATATAATTGTCAATTCAAATTCAATAGTAGTAGAGGTAGTAAGGGAATTAGAAGTAATCGGAGAGGTTAGGGTTAGAAGATACTATTCAAGAAGTATGATTCAGTGAGATAAGCACCAACAATGAGAAATTGTTACGAATAACAATCGTGTGATGATTTTGTAAAACAGTCTCCCAATAAACGAATACTTTTGGATATGTCATCAGAATAACAATAAGACAATGAATTATATTATCTCATTAGTGTTATAAAACAGTATGTTGAATAGTTGAAAAGAAAATGTCGCTGGGAATACTACTACTACTACTACTACCACTACCATTACAATGATAATGATGATAAACTTACTGGTTTACGTGTTTTCGACTTTTTCTGTTTCTTTTCTGCATTATTAGTTTTCAATACAGATACTTCTTCATCGGTTCTATTCAATTTTTCTGTAATCTAAGTATTCAAAAATAACATGAAAATGGGTTGGGATTATTTCAGAATAATAACTTTGATATGTTGTATGCATAGTGAGTATGAAGTAAACAATTGATAACCAATGCATTAGGACTTTGATATTCTGTCATAAATAGTAGTGAAGGGAGTTTTTGACATGATTATGGTTATTATTATTACTGTTATCATTGTTATGAGTACAGTTCATGTTAACAAGTTCACAAGTTCACTATTTCATGCTAAAATAAGACAGAACCCTTTAAGAACAAAATAACATAATCAACAAGTCATATATAAAATTATTTCATTCAACCAATCTGATAATCATAAAAAATATACATAAAAAATAATTAATAATAGTTAAAAAAATAGGTGATATTTCCGCATTAGTACTAAACAATTACAACGTATAAAATATCAACACTAGTCAAGTTTGTATTACATCCTATTAGGCTCAAAGTATTAACAAACAAAATTTATGTATAAAGAATATTAGAATTTATTAGGTTGAATATTGTTGTTACGCCCTTTGATCTGTTTGCCTATTGTTAATATACAAAAGGAGAGAATTTTCACAATTTAAAGCTTTGAAATAATAGATTATCAGTACACCTGTTTTCCTATTATCCACTTGAACTTTTGCCTATTAGATGTAGTTACGTAATCTTTTTCATTTCATCGTGATTATCACTCAAATTGCCTTGATTGGTTTAACATTTTCATGTAATAGATTATTATCAAACTTGAGACTCGCAAATGTGTCAGTTCGATTGTGACTGAAGAGGGCAGAGAAAAGGAGATTGTTCTATCACTGACCTATCACTTGAAAGTTTGGTAAACCAAAAGAGAGAAAAAATGAACTAACTCGAACGTTCGGTCGATTTATTCCTGATTCGGATTAACTAGAAAAGACGCATGAATAAACCTATGACTAGTAAGATCACAATGCACAATTAGTGAGAAAAATACAATTATTTCCAAACTAGGACATTAGAGTAGAAAAAAATGGAGTACAAAGATTACGTTTCAATTACAGTAATGTTAGAACAGAAAACGATATGGCAGTGGCTTGTATATTAAACGACAGCTTTTGATTCGTAAAGTAACACAGAAACAAAGCTAAATATTAATAATTTACAGACTTTGAACTAAGCGAAACAATGTCCCAAAAACAGATTCCGCCGTTTGTTAGTGTTTCTTTGTTTTTCTTCACATCAGATAGACAAATTTATGAAAAAAGACAAATCGGACATTACTGTTTTATGCCTGAACGCACGTCACAGACAATATAGTTTACGGGTAACTAATCATATAGTCGTATTTTTTTGGAAAAGAGAACCACCCCCACCAGTGTTTTTGAACTAATGATGAATTTTAGAACAGTTTACTTACACTTAAATAAATAGTTGAACATCTTGCATGTGCTACTATCAGTGGATGTTCGCAAAAGCCTGACAAAATAGTATTGGTGCGAATACGAAATTGTTTACTATGTTGAAGGATGTTTGAAGAAAACACTATTTGGTAAGTAGCTTAAATGAGAGAGTATATTTATCAGTACTGAAACAATTAATTTCATTATTACAATCGCTTTTTAAGGTAATGATCTTAAGGTAATCGCTTTCTCTTTATTTCATCTGCAAACAATGTTCTAATTGATGAAGCATAGTTACATTAAAAGGTAAACAAGGTAAGGTCAATAGATGCTGTAAAAAGCGGTGTATTCGCCAACGCAAATGGTTTAAAAAGCTGATCGAGATAGGTTAGTTAGATAGATTGTTAAAGGTTTTATTAAACCAAAATACAATAGCTGCTAGGACAGATACTTGAATATTTAATTCAGATACATAAATGAACGTCATATCTGCCTACGCTCCCACTGACTACAGTTCAGACGGGCTAAAAGATGAGTTTTACAGAAAGATCTCGGACCTCTTCCAAAAAGTTAGGCGCTCTGATGTAGTAATAATGGCTAGTGACTTTAATGATTACGTAGGTAGACTCAGTGAAAAGGAAAGATACCTGGGTGGATTTTACGGTATCGCGGCTAATCGAACAGATAATGGCGACTGTCTGCTACAGCTATGCTCAGATAACCACCTATTCATAGCAAACACTAACTTTAAGCACAAGAAAAAACATCTTTTGACATGGTGGTCACCAAAGTCGTTCCAACGCTAGACTCAACTAAATCACATTGTCTTCAGCCACCGATGGAGCGTTTCGATAGAGGACTGTCACTCATTATGGAGCACTTGTTCAGATTCAGATCATGTGTAGTGAGTGCTATTATGTCTAGCTCACAGGCTCGTCCCCGTTGTCCTTTGACTTTGTCAGTCATTCGTTCACATCTGAGTTGTTCTTATTCGTATGTGCACCCCTATCTCGTTTGTTACATGTCTTGCTGATTTTTGTCTCACTATAAATTCTTAGTCATGCTTAATCGAATAGAGTTGGCTCTCTTGCCTTCTCCACTTCGCTTCGCTTATATGCTTTTCGTTCTCATTTCTGCATGAACATTTATCTGAAATAAACCCGTTCAACCGAATACGTATTTGGCTTCTTATTACCGCCATCGCACACTCGGGGTTTGCTTCAGCATAATATACGGAAACTGATGGGGAGATTCATTTCACAGCATATTTAAATGTTCATAAATAATGGAGCCAGGTCGTCGGCCACCAAATTAGTGAGCCCTAAATCGAATCAAATAACACAACAAAAATGGTTAACCCTACGTTGAATATAACGCAGCCAACACATGCTCTAGTGCGAGCGCGTATTTGTTTACGGCTTACCGGACGAAGGAAAAACATCGCAAGTAAACCTTTTAGGGTTCTACTTAATGATAGCTTAGCTAAAAATATATTTCAGGAGCAACTAGAAAAACAGTTAGGTGGCCTTTCCATCTCGATACAGCTTGGAATGATAACCAAAAAGCAGTGGAAAGAACAGAGGTATCTGCTAGTAAGGTAAACTATAACATTAGGGAGAAGCCGTGAATCTCAGTAGCATCTGCTGAACTGATAGATGCTCGGAAACTCATACCACTTGGCTCCGAACATGATGAAGAGCGAAGTCAGCTTATTCACAGGCTGACAAGAAGCCTATGCAACGATCGCGAACAGTGTCGGGTAGCGAATGCAAGAGCGATGGGAAAGACAGCGATGATAGGTAACAGCCGACAACTGTTCGGCCTTATCAAGGAAACTGGTATTAGGAATCTGTCTGTTAGCGACTATCTCAGAAGAGGATGCACGTATCATTCATTCTCAATACAGGAGATTAGACCGATGGGCAGAACATTCCAGGGATCAGTTAAACTGGCCCTCAGCCACACTTCAGCGCCCCACGATCTCCAGTCATCCTGAATGGCAAATCGATGTAAGTCCTCCGACCCTTTATGAAGTTGGAAAAGGTATAGTAAATCTGTAGCGAGGGAGAGCAGCGGGCCCCGATAGATTGACTCCTGATATGTATAAGGATGGTGGTCCAGTTTTAGCAGTTAGATTGAGTGAGATCTTGGGTAGCATCTGAAAACTGGGCGTAATCCCATCTGAGTGATCTCAATCGCTGATTGTCCCTAATTTATAAGAAAGGACAAAAATCCTCTTGTGACAATAACAGAAGAATAAATCTAACTAATATGGTATCTAAAATATTGGCCTAAATAATACTTCGACGCCTAACTAGAGCTCGCGAAGAGCAGACTAGAGAAAACCAGGCTGGTTTTCGACCTAGACGTGGATCTGTAGACCAGATATTCACACGGCGTCAGGTCCCAGAAAATAAACGCATGTTCAGAGGTCTTACAATAGTAGTATTTTTCGACCTTAAAGCTGCATTCGACTCGATCGATCGTGATCGTGGATACATTTAAAAGAGCATTAATTAAGTCAAAAGGGGAGGAGACACCAGCGGACGCGTTACAAAATTTCTTGTACGTTTATCGAACAATACCAAATGAGACGTTACCGGGGCAAAAGTTTGATGGGAAGAAGACTGGAAACGATCCACAGCCTGATGCATCCGAGTAATGCATCAAAGTTTGAAAATGAATCCACGTACGAAGTGGGATGTTCTGTGTTTGCCAGTGACTACAGACCAAGCCATGGTCCTTGGACAGAAGCGCGAGTAGTCAGAAGAGTTAGCCGAGTTACGCAAACGGCCAGTCCCAGATCGCCCATCAGCAGGAGAAAATCTTCCCCTTGAGATCCTGTTAGATACCTTCAACTTACCGGCAGCCCCACCACGAGAAAAACTCAACAACAAGCTGATCTGCGTTCAAGAAAATATTCTCTCCGACAACGGCGAACAACAGTCAAGATGCAAGTCTACCCCAGGAACGTACGCTATTAAAAAGGGGAGGAGTGTTAGGGAAGTTAGATCCCCAGAACTAATATTTTCGCGCATAAGTCACTTGGTTGACCTTGAGCTTACATTTCTCACTCGGAAAGTCCTTGACTGTCATTGGTTGATGGGTTATCTTGGTACGCTAGTTATGCGGCCCTCACAAGGACGTTTCTACCATGTATAAATAAACTCTATTTGTGTGCTTGCCAAACTCATATTTTCTGGGTGCTTGTAGAATACACTTTCAACGCCTTATCAAGACTTCTTGATATAGTTAACCGGGCCGGGGACAAACGGATTAAAAAAGCCTATCGTGTCACTGCATCATTTGTCTTCGCTCCGTTTACTGAGTAAGGTGAACTTGTAATAGTTTCAAGCATATCAATTGACGAGCATATCAATGAAGTAGTGAGTGTTCATCAGTTGAGGTACTTGGGATATGTGCTACGCAGGCCCAATCACTGACTGCCTCGACGAGCTATGTTTTGTGGTGTAGGAGTAAGTTAGAATAAAGATAGGGGCGGCTAAACCAAAACATGGCACATATCCATGAAATCACTGACAAGTGGACTGAGTTATGTTGGCAGATGTAGACTGCCTGGTTGGGTCTGCGAGACGATAGTAATCGGTGGTCAGAGACCCTGAACGACACGGCTCAAAATCATTTGCAGTGGCGCAGGTGCATCTACTCTTTGTGTTCTCTGAAATCCTAACCTTCTGAATTTCTCATCATTTCTATCTTTCTCTATCTAAAGTTATCTCATTGAACTATACTTCTTGAATGATATCTTTAATCCCTAATCTTCTCCATTACTGCTAATACTTCTACTATCTCTATCACTATGGTAATTGACCTGACAGTTGCGTCTTTGTACTAATGCAGTATGGCAACCTGAAATTATGTACGTACGTGCGAAGTTCTATGTTGTAACTGACTGACTGACTGATAAATAAAGTGAGGAAACACAGCATGAAAAATATCTTAAAATGTACAAAATAATTTCTTAAATGTAAATAATAAATAGCATGAAACTTACATCTTTCAACATTGATTGGGATTCTGATAATTGTTTACGAAGTTGAATCTGTTCTGATTCACTTTCTGATAAAAGTTGACGCCATTTCCCTTCTGTCTGTTTAACAGATTCTTCTAGTTTGGCTAAGACTTCTTCCGTTTGTATCAAAGTTGACTAAAAATCAATAAGAGTATGAAGGAAGTTAGAATCTTTTTTTTAAAAATACATGTTTTATTTTAATCGATTCGTGAATTCAAAAGTTACTGAGAATGAGAATTTCACGAGACATATTTTAGTCCATTAACACGGCTTACAGCATTTTGTTTTTGAGGTGAGCGTTTCAGTCAGTCAGTTAGTAATTTATAACGTAGAACTTCGTAAGTACGTACATTAGTTCAAGTTGTCATACCATATTTTAGCACACAGAGATAGAACTGTCAGTGCAAATCCGATAGTAGTAGAAGTATTAGAGGTAAATTACCCAAACACAACAATTGACAGATATAATGTAATATTAAACGATATAACTGGACTTTAAATTTGTTACCTTGTAATAATCTATTTCATTTAGGGCAGATTGATAAAGATCATAAAATGTGGTACGTTCTTTTTCAGAAATATTCAAGTTTGTTTCCACTTCGGATAATCGATTGCGTAGATCTTCATAAATTTTATCATGATTATTATTATTATTATTATCTTCATTGTGATTAGTGTGATGTTGTTGTTGTTGCTGTTCATCTTGTTTATCAATACATATTTCATTAGATTTAATACTAATTATAATTGGTTCAGTATTTAAATCATCATCATCATCGTCATTATCATCATTCATATTATTACCATTATGAAATGATTTTGTGACTGATTCCAATTGATATGTTAATTCATGAACTTTTTGTTCAGCATTATTTAATTCATTTGTAACATGAATTAAATCATTGGATAAATTTGCTACTTGTGCTCTTAATTCACTTGATGCTGCTTCATAAGCTAATTTCGATTGATTTGCATTATCAAGTATACATTGTTTTTGGGCATTCAATTCCTAAATTAAAAAAACAAGAATGTTAAAAAAAAAACATTGAAGTATAAAACGAGTAAAAGAAAAAAAGAAAGTGCATTTAAGCAATGTAAAAAAAAAAACTGATGGGAGTTTAATGAAAGCTAATCATTATTGATTATGAATAATATGCTGAAATGGATGTTAATGATTTAAAGGGTAGCACTTGAATCAATCGCATTGTATCAAAAGAGGAAAACATGTTGACTAGAAGGTTAAATTTTACAAATGAGTGATATAGACAGACAGATACAACGCAGAACTTCGTACATAAGTACAACACAGTTCAGGATGCCATACCACGTAAGCACAGAGACGTAACTGTCAGTTCAAATCCAAGAGTGATAGCGATAGTAGAATTATTAGCAGCAATGCAGAAGATTAGGGAGTAAAGACAGGATTCGAAAAGTATAATTCAGTGAGATAAATTTACAAGGAGAAAGATAGAGATTATGAGGAATTCAGAAGGTAAGAATTAAAAAGAACACAAAGGGTGGATGCACCTGCGCCATTGCAAACGATTCTGAGCCATGTCGTTCAAGGTCTCTAACCATTGGTAACTTTCGTCTCGCTGACCCCAACCAGATAGCCTACATCTGCCAACATGACTCAGTCCACTTGTTGATGACTTCACGGATTTCTGCCATGTTTTGGTTTGGCCGCCCCTAACTTTCTTCCAAATGTTTTTAAATATAATTTGTTTGTTATAAGTAGTAGTCACAATGTCAAACATAATGAGAACATGTAGACACACATGGTAATTAGTGATGTGAATTAGTTCAAACTTTTTACAAATCCTGTTTAAATTGCTAGATAAATAATTAGGGTGAATTAGTTACACCAACTTGTGTTATAAAGACAAAAAAACATCTAAAAAAAATCTAGGAAATAGAGTATCTTTTGGTTCATCTATCATAATTAATGCTTGATAATTGATGTCGTTTTAACAGCACTAATTTACAGTCTACAAATAATTGTGACCCATTTGAAATTGTTTGACAAAGTTTCAATTGATCAAGTAGTATTTTTTTATTGTATGGCAGTATTTGACAACAAAACTACTGATTATTAATTTTCAAATCATTATTTTACATCATTATTATCATATGATTTTGACTGATTTTCCAAATATGACCTATAATGTGTTTTTCATTCAACACACTAGGCAAACTATACTACTACTCTATGTAATAATATGATTACTAACTAATTCATCTTTTCTTTTTTTGTTAAAGAAAAGTGCATAGGTTATAAGAAGTAGATGAAAATAAAAATCACCAATGAATGAACACAACAAAAGTAGTACACTTACAGCAAATTGATATTCAAGACTACTAATAATTTCAGATTGACGTTTTTCTTGTTGTAAACTTCTTGATAGTTCAGCTCTTACTTCGGACAAAGAAATAGACAATTCCTAAAAGAAAAAATTGTCAATTAAGTGAAATTCATTTGGTGTGTGTATGTGTGTGCGCGTTAAAAACAGTAATGTAACAACACCAATAGATATCTTTAATATTTATTTGTTTTCAATGATTCTTATTGGTAATGTCCTACAATCTGTAAAAACACAACGCACAATTGACTTTGTTACTGAAGGTTTGATTACAAGTTGAAATCATATTGGAGTTTTTTCTAAGAATATTTCGAATGATTGAATGTTGATTTCCTTAGCATGTTTAAGCTCGAATATAAAACGTCTCTTTTTTTCTAAAGAAAATAATTTTTATTATTATTTTTAACTAAATATTCTAGTGTCATTCAATTTCACTGTTGTGTAAAATGTTTTTAAAATTGACCCGAACCAAGAATTAGACAGTATTGTTAAGTTCAAGCATAATTTCAAAACACATAAAAGAATATTTTCTCTAATTGGTTAAAAACAACAAGTACTATTTTAAGTATAATGCTTTTTTTATCGGCTAGTTAGTTATCCAGATTACATCGAATAGAATATTTTTTTCTGTACAGTAAAAACCTACATACAATTTACAACTAGCCTAACAAAAACAATAATTATTCAAAATATCTTTCAAAAAAAAGGTGTTTGAAGTATGTAAGAGTTTTTGTTGTTTACGGAAAATGAAAATGAAATCAGTAAGACAGAGAGTAGTAAGTAGTTTGTATTAATTGTTGTCGGTGTTGTTGTTGTTGGCGAAATACACAACAACAATAATACAATATTGAAGAAAAAAACACACAAAAAGTACAAGTCTTGTTACTTATCAAAAAAAATCACTGATATATAATAGTCGTAATAATGTTCAGTATCAGTTCTCTTCTTTGTACGATGATCGTCAATTTGGTTTTTTATTCATCTGCATGCAATATTACAAATAGTCTACCGAAGACTGTGTGTATTAGATTGAGCAACTCCGTGAATTTGATCAAGTTAGACATTAACACCGTTAGATACCGGCTCAGTGGTCTAACGGTTAGGGCGTTCGCGCACATTACCGAAGGTCCTGTGTTCGAATCCTGCGGGGTGCAGGAGTCGTGGATGCGCACTACTGAGGAGTCCCATACCAGGACGAAACGGCCGTCCAGTGCTTCCAGGTTTCTACAGGTGGTCTAACATTGATCGATTCATGGTTTCAAAAATGTGTAACTTAACAATCTTCACAACCCCGCAATGCAAATAGTTTCATTAGTATGAAGTCGTTGACCTTATATACAATTTTTTAATTGTTGTAATAAAGTTAAGAAAAAAAATCAGTTCAGTCAATAAGGAAAAATAATCCGATAATTATAATTTAAATAAATAAATAAAATAAACTGACCTGATTTTTTTGTTTCTCCAATTCTAGTTCATGACACCGACGTTTTAACTCCATATGTGCAGCATCATTTTCTACTTGTCTGTAGTAGTAATAACAATAAGAAGAAAATATATATTGTAATTATATCAGTACTATATGGATGAAGATAATAAATCAGGCAGAAAGAAAACTAACTTATGAATATCACAAAAGTTAGTAAAACAATGTGGAAATATTCAATTTAAAACCATATTATTATTATTATTATTATTACTGTTACTATCACACAAATACATAATAACACAATTATTTATATTGCATCCAACTTTTTTTACAAGCAAAATGAATCTGAGAACAAGTCACCAATACTAAAAGACTTGTTAAATGTGTTTTTGGTTAAGAAGTGCAACATTATTTAGATAGCTTCTGAAGATTTAATTGAGGAAGTACGTTGGACAGAAGTTTTGTACCACTTTGAAATCTCTCAGTATTTCTCATCCATGACTCATAAGTCTTACGATTAGTGCAATAATTGTTGAGTCATTGAGTTAGAAATCGAACAAGCAAATTAACGATTATCCTCATCCCATCGATAAGTAACTTTATCTTACTCTTGACTTAGTTATTAATGAGGACAAGATAAGTTTTAGGCATATAGTTTGTAAAATTCAACTATTTTAATCAGTTGGCTTTTCACTTCAATAAACAGAACTATTTAACTAGTAGGTTTCGATGTATAAATTGATCGGAAACATTGTTCAGTTGCAATTAGTTTTCAAAATAAGCAGAGATAATGTTTTTCCAACCAGATTATATTTGTTGCACAGATTCAAACATTTAACTTCCTTATTTCACTTTGTTGTCTTTCGTAAATTAAAGAAAGGCAAACTATGAGGGTGAAAATTGCAACTACACTGAGACATGAAGTTGTTGTTAAGTCTTCTACTGGAAAAGCGAATAAAAAAATTTAATCTTTGACACTAGGACTAGTGGAACCGCCCCCAGATCGCAAAACAAAAACCGGAAGAGATAAGAGAAATATTTACTCTACTAAGTGTTAAAAATGTACAGAAAGACACGGGTGTATTTGTAGTTTTTTGTATGAAGTAAAAACAGCATATAGAACCATTCCAGTGTTCAATAAACCATGTTACGTCATTATTTAATCAAGTGTATGTAAAGAAAAATAAATAAGATTGTTGAAAACAAAGTGATATAAGACAACAGTAGTTAATGAAAGCTAAAAATGAACTTACTCTGCTTGCCGTTTAACACGTAATTCTTCTAAAGCAGTTTCTTTTTCTGAGCGTAATTTATGATTTTCAGCTCGGAAAACCTTTAGACGAACAATAAGGAAAACAAGTATGTATACTTACTTATTTAAACACGCAAACATTAGCATAAAGGAGTACCACCATAAAAATAAGTGAATTTGTGTGTAGGCTGGGATACTATTTGAGGCCATTCCCCGAGTATTTGACGTTCGGAGATGCAGTCACACGGTAGCCGTTGACCAACAATGGCTTCGTACGCTATTCACTCCATAAGGATTCTAGAGTCAATTTACACAACTGGTTTGGGATAAGAATTTTCCAACCCCCCTGGGTGGATCCCTCGTACCCACCAACCAGGTTAAAGCGCCAAATATTCGCTTTCTTTCCTCTCAATTTCGTAAACAATACCCTTGCCGCGAGAAGATAGCCAGTAGAACTTCTCTGGCAGTGGCTGCGTACGCGTGGTCATATGAAAGCACATTTAGAGAGAGAGAGAGAGAGAGCAACCCCTTTCAACTCTCAACCGTAACAGGGCATTTCGGAAGACGAGAATGTAATTTGAAAAAAAAGAGAAATTCGATGAATAATGCATAACAAGTAGTAAATACCTTATTTGATTGATTCAGTGCACTCTGAAATAAGGGGTTACCAAATATTTTTTCATAAAGCAGGAAACAAGAAGATTTATAGAAGGAGACAGTTTCATCACTACATTTAAACGTCATTTTTACAAATTAATATTTCAGCTTATGATAGGCGGGAAAGTGATAAAGCATGAATAATCTCACATATCAGTGAAATCGATTACTCTTATTATTAACTCTGCACTTCGAAAAATGAACAAACTAAAAATTGATTTAAAACAAAAGAATCCAATGATGACAATAGACTTTCAAGTAGATAGAAAATTGCAACTCCAAAGTTAAACACAAGATAATAAACAAAGACAACGAGGTTGATTAGTGATGCAATGAATATTTACCAAATGAGATGGTTGAGACATGGATAACATATACGCCGAACTGCTGTTTACTTCAACTGGCAATCGTAGAGAATGTAAGAAGAATAAGGTCAAACCGAAATTCAGTGCAATCCATGAAGCTAATGGCTATTAATCTTGGGTTAGGATTAGGACACACGGACTAATTCAATGTGATTCGAGTGATAAATGTGATAAATGGTTGAAGAGGTTAAGCGAAATGGCTGAGAATATGTCACAATGGTATAAATATATAGTCAGCCCTTATCTTCTTCAAAGTCTTGGATCCTAATATTCCTTCATTCATATTTTCTCATTGAAACTTCTCCAACCATATTCTTAATGTTTAATCTTTCTGACTATCATTACTGAGACATTATTTCGATTAGTCTTTTGCTAGTTTTTTTTTCTTCATTAAAATTGATCTCGTTTTATTAAAATGTGGAAAACATAAAATCAATCTGTAACTACTACCTGTAAATCTTGTTGTTGTCTCATATTTGTTTGACGTAATTGAGTCAATTCTGAATCCAATTGTTCAATACGTGATTTCAAAATGCAGTTGTCATTTGATACAACCTTTGAAATTTAAGAAAAAAAAACGTTATGATGCCGAACTAATGTAGTTGTTTTTTAAAAGACAATTTTATTATAAATTTTAGTTACTTTTATTTTACAACTATACTAATTATTTTAGCCTGAAAAATAACCAGAAACAACACAATAAATACTTTCTTTAGCGTTAACCGAATATGTTTTGTTGACTAGAATCATTTGTAAACAAAAATCTCCAGCTTGGTATACACACACACACACACACGAACGCACACACACATACAGACAATAAAGGCTCACAACAAAAAAGAGGAATATATGTTACTGAATAATTTGAGTGATAAACTACATTTTTCCAATGATAGTAGCTCTTTATTTTACATGATTGTGTTCTTATTATTACTTTTCTAATTTCATCAATGAATGTTGGCGTTAATTATTCAATGATTGCATAATCAGCATCAGTGACAATTTGTGGAAGTGAGACAGAGAGATAAACAATCAGGAATTGTATAATCCCCAGGTATGAATTGAAATTGGTTCTGGTGTTTCATTGATTCTTTGTTGTTAAGTTAGCAAACATGATGAAACAAATTAAGCAGTAATTAGATAAAGGAAATTAATTTTAATCATTACTTATTCTTGATAAGGTGTAAATTTTCTTTGTCAGCAAAAAAAATGCAATGATTCACAACATAACGAATCATTTTGTCAATAGAATATTTTGTAAAGATTTTCAAGCGACATAGTTTTTTTTTAAAACATGAATATCTTCTGAATGCGAGTTAAGTAATTTGAATGTAAAGAAAACTATTGTGGATGATTTAGAAGTAGAGATTACTACTCTACTGGTAATCTTTACTTAAAGGTAATATGAATTCTAGGTTCGATTCAGCCTACGCTGATATAATATTCTCATACTACACTGTCTGGAATGATAATATAAATCGGAAATGCTGACAACTTCAAATAAAAAAATATGTGAGCAAATATAAAAGAAGCCTACTTATTAGTAATAACGATACATATGACCATGTTAGAATGTTACTTGGAGTATTTTGTGATCATGAAATACCACAAACTAAAATAGTCGAATTACGTACGGTTTAACTGTAAGAAACTGCTGAATGAAGAAAATTATTATTCTTCAAAGGATATTACTTGTACACAGATGTCAATATTTCGAAAAACGGTTAGCTGTTACTCAGTGAAATCGAATATATCAATATATATCAAGCATAATTTCTGCCTATATTTAAATATCATATTTAGCGTAGATTTTGAGCGCATATGTGCACTGTAATCGGTATAGACTCTCTGAAGTTTATCAAAAGACTACAATACATCGGGTACGAGGGCGGATGTCACTTCCCCGCTGCCTAAACCGTGGAAGAATATTTCTTGATGAACCTGAAAAGGAAGTTGGTTACATAGTTTTAGACGAAAAATAAGTAGTTTGCCTAAAAGGAATTTCCATCAATTCAGTCTACAATCTTGATTTATAAAAACGAATCAAAATCAAAATGTAAAAACAAATGAATATATATCCATTAATTTACTAGGACGAAACGATAGTTCACTGCTTTCCAGTTTACAATGATGGTCTAACATTGATCATTTCATGATTTCAATGAAACTCAACAATCTCCACAACCATACAATGATAAATATTTATGTAGTATAGAAAATTATATGATTTAATGCAATAGAAAATATTAATAAGGATTAAGAAAGAATAGCTTTACTTGTGCTAATTCCTGAGCACGAACAATTTCTGGTATAGGACCAGTAGGAATCGATGGAGCAGATGCAGTCATAGCTTTAGCCATTGCAGTCAATTGAGTTTCTTGTTTGTTTAACTTTTCTCGTAAACTACACAATTCCAACTCAGCCTCTTTTTTTATCTTTAAAGCATCTGCATTTATCTGGTCTAGACGTTTGTGTAAATCACAGTTTTCAGTTTCAGTATTCTAAATAAAAAAACAATAGTAATTCAAAAGTAGAAATTGACAATTGTGAAATTGATTATTTACATTGATTCAATTCAATTTTATTTTAAAACTCAAAATAATAATGAATTTCAAATTGATATGATAAAAATGATAATAAAATAATATCCAATCATTGAGATTATTTAAATAATTAGTTATTACAAACACCTAATATTGAGTAAGATGTACGATAAGAGTTTGTAACAATTCAATCTATTCAACTAAGGATTTAAAATTGATATGAAGTGAAGGTGATAAAGAACCGGTAAATCACAAATTAGTTGCTTGTTTGCTGGTTCGAAAGTTTGAAATTCTTATCCTAGTATCTTTAAAGTTATACACGATGTATAGTCTCTATCATATGTCGAAGTGCATGTCAGTCTTAGGATGAAGACTTCCACTTACATCAAGTCATATAAATGAATGAATATCGAAAAGAAAAATGATAACTAAAGTCTTCTTGAATGCTTTTCCTCCTGAAATAAATTGAAATAATTCTTCGTTTCAGAGTTGTTTTTGATATCAAGAAGTATTTTTTCAAAAAAAATCAAGCTACCAGCAAAGAAATATATAAACCATAGAGCTTTAATAACTGGATAAGACAGTCAAGATTTTACTTGAAAGTGTGGTTGAAACTAGTCAACCCAACATTCCTGAACAAGGAAATTTCTTGTAAATGAAAGACACAATAGAAAAATTTTGTGGACATTCATAAAGTTGGTGTCTTAACTGTATGCTGGGGTTATTCATCTGACTGTTAATATGAACGGTAAATCTTGTTATTTTTTGTCGGTGTTCATGAAATTTCATTAATTATTAACTAAGGAATTAAAAAACTCAAAGACAGAGGACTTGCTTACAAAAACGTATCTACAACAGTTGGCGAATTAGTAACCACAATTATTGCTTGTTGAACAAGACCAAGAGAATATGTACGCAACACAACAAGTGCTTAGAATATCCAACACAGAAAAACGAGATTAAATATACAGCCGACCAGTCTACTCATCTAAAATATCAACAAAAGGATGTAGTATACCTTCCTGATTGCCCTAAAATAACATGAATATGTTGAAACAATTTTTATTCCTTTGGATAGTATACTAAAATACTTACTTTTAGCTTTACATTGAGTGAGTTTTTCTGCTGTTCAAGTGTTTTATTCGTTCTTAGAAGTTCATTGTATTGCATTTGCAGTACATTTAGACTTAGAGAAGTTTCGTCTTTCTTGGTACGAAAATGCTTGTTTTCTTCAGCAAGAGAATTTGCCCACTGGGAGGTTTCTGTCAATTTGGTTTCACTAATCTGTATGTTAAATGAAAATATCTCAGTATTCCTCATCATATAATCACACACGTATTTGTAAATGCTAAAATTTATTAACTAAGAAAGCATAATTTATTCTATAGATAGTTCAAGTTTGCAGTATACGTATTATAATAATAACCTATACGTAATAGAGTCATTTCAAGACCCATCAGAAAGCACAGCTTAAAAGTTCCGGAATGAATACTGTTATGTTATTTATGTAAAATAAAACATTATGTTAAACTCTTTGTCCTACAACAAATTTCAGAAATTTGTAAAATCAAACATAAGACACAAAAGGTCGGAGCCCTTTAGTATAAATTACAAGCTACCTTACCATTCCCATGGGTGCATTCGGTAAAGGTCTACGCTTTTCAATGTACTGAGAACTATACTTAGTTGTCGAGCTAGATGTAAACGGTTCACTCTCATTAATCTACAAAGATATGTTGGTAGACAACTGGAACACCATCATATTTTTTTACATCTACTAACATACACAAATATACGAGCACATCACTTTGACATAATATTGGCTTGAACATAGTGGCTGTTTGATATGTTCACTTATTCTCTTAAGAAGTGGCTTACACAAAGTCATGAAACACCAAAAAATTTTAATATTTCTATTCATTGTGATACCACAAATAATCTATTTGTACTATTGTTATCGTTACATAGCCTTTAAAACAAAATTGACTAAGTATGGATGTGATAAGAAGTGAGAATTAATAATTAGTGTCAAGAAAAGATTTGCAAATGAATTCACTAAGGCAAAACAAGATTGATAATCGAGACATTTTAGATCCATAAATTTGGGTTAGATCTTTTAGTGACAATTGTTTCAGTTAACTGTAGCAAATTAGATATCCACTGTTGATTAATTATCCTGAAGAATGTGGAGAGATCAAGATTATGGTAATTGTCAAGCAGATGACATGCAATCACACTGCTTAAAACATGTTGTCTTCCTACCCCAAGCTTCTGTGAAGTGTGCTCAAAGATGCAGGCACCAACTCTCCTTTTCGTTGGTCTAATTTATATGCTTTGGCGCGCACATGTAGACTGGTAGACATAACTGGAGGTAATATAAGGCAGGAATTTGTCTAAATATGACTGCCTTGATGATCTATTCGTTTGACGCAGAGACCAACTTGGTAGGTGGATATGTTCTTTTTAATCAGAATCATATTTTTCCAGCTATTTCGTCATCATCGAAGTCATGTCTTAGGAAGTGGGCTTCCTTTTAACTATAAAATACCCCATTTTCTTCGATTTAGTTGTGAATTTTTGAGGGTAACCATTATTATGTAAACAACGTTTGGCCACGGTTAGTTACAAATCAATTTTATATTCTGACATGATTGAAAGGTGTTTTAACCAAGGCTCTTTTGGACGGAACCTATTGAAATTTAAGTATAGTCTACTCTATGTGTCCTGTTGATAAATGTATCTTTTCAACTGACTGTTTGTATTATGCTGGGTATAGAAAATCAAACATATTTTCATATACATGTTCCTCTGTGAATCTAATACTTGCGTATACCATACTGAGAAGTTTCATTGTTGAGAGGCACGCTGATAACCAATACAGGCCACAGACGTATCATCAACATACCTGACGCACAGCATTGTATCATTAACAACCGATTTTATAACTGTTTGTTCTAGGTTTCCGATAAAGGTATTTGCCACGACCAGACTCTGTGGGTTACGCATAGTCAGTCTATCAATGTGACAGTGGGACACTTCACTGAATTGAATATATTTGATACATGTTCACAGAAGCTGCTTGAATTCATCTTTTTGTAGATGAAGAAGGTCAGCGTGTTGTGATATCATTTGTATGGCTTCTTCTAACGGGATTATGGTAAATAATGACTCATACAAAAACCATGAATTTATCAGGAATACTAACTTTTTCTAGCATTTGAGTAGATTGGAAGGCGTATTTTATACTATAGACAGATAATTTTGAATGAACCTATTTACCCGTTAACCAGCAGGCAAGATTGTAAACATGGAGTTAATCATTGTTGACAATGGTCCGATAGGAGCATCAGGTTTATGCGTTTAGGGTAGTCCAAACCAATTAGGTAATCTGGATCCTGGCGGTTTCAACTGGTTATCAGTAATATAATCAAACAGTTACTCTTTTAGGAGCTTTTTAAGAGTTGAGTAACTGCATCTCATTTCTAAATAATTCTGTTTTTATGCTTTCGTTTTTCATTCTAGAATATTTTTGTAATAGACCTATCAATATTCTTATTATTTAGCACATAAATATTTCTCATAGTTCTTCTACACCTATAGCCCTCTTAATTAATCTTCAGTGTTTAGAATCATCCCGATATTATATAAAGTGTGGACAGGCTGCTGTGCATTAAACTCATCCTTTAGTCGACAGATAAGTATCTCACCTACGCCAACCGAGTTTTCGAAATTCGTGCCGATCCCATTGAGGCTGGTCAGACTTGCAGGGTAAGAGAAAAGATCGATACGCTTAACTACTTTACCATTTATTATTAGCTTAAGTTTCAAGTTCTGAAACATCATTTTACATCTAGATGGAGAGAATCGCATAATAAACAACCGCACATTGTTCATCAAGGCACTCAAAAGGGTTTGCGTCTTGTCACAGTCTATATCAGAAGAAATCTTACAAACTCAGGGACTTTTGAGACTTGTCCCTTTGATAGGTCCGAAAAGTTATGTATTGTTACCTATCGCCTACACCTTTACCATCATCCTATTTTCGCTAGCCAACATTGCGCATGATCATTAAACAAACTTCTTTTCACTTAAGGTTTATACCACCTTCACTCCTCAGTAGACGTTACTAACATCCACTGGATCATCTGAAAATTCTGGTCATGGTCCCTTGTAGATATTATTGATGTTTTTAGAGCTGTCTGAATATTATGCAACTACGTCCCAGTGAACCGCTTCCCTAGTTGTTCCCTGAATATACCCTTGACTTTTTCGTCGTTCGGTTGAACTCCAAAAAGTCTTATGAACACGGTTTTCCCGTGTCCGGTAAGATACAAAGAGATGAATGCCCACACTAAAGCGTGACTAGGGTTTAGCCACTCCAATTATGACTGATCAATCATTCAATAGCACCGTATAACTTCGTACGTATGTACATCAGTTCAGGTTGCCATACCACATTAGCATAGAGATGTAATTGTCAATTCAAATCCCATAGTAGTAGAGGTAGTAAAGGTATTAACAGTAATCGGAGAGATAACGGTTCGAAGATATTATTCAAGAAGTAGAATCCAGTGAAATAAACTGCTCAACTGCTTCACTCCCTATCACTAGTTCAGGTGCCGGCGCAACCCGGTCTCGAAGCAACATTTTGCATTTCGAAGGGGAGAACCGTATCCCGAACATGCTTGCATTGTTACTTAGGATGGTCAGAAGACTGCAATTTGTCAGTTTCTTCACTAAATAGAACTATGTCATCGACATATTCTAAGTCAACAAGCGTGTATCTTGGTAGAAGAGTCAGATGAAGATAATGTTATATCTAGGAGCATGCCTATGAAAAAAGTAAACAAGAATGGAGAAAGTGGACATCCATGATGAACACCACCTGAAGTAACCGATTCCGATGACAGTTCTCCATAAGCTCTAACTCGACCTGTAGTTTTCCAGTAGAGAGCTTGTATAAGGTTAATGTACTTCTTTGGTACACCTTTCAATGACAGACACTGCCACAGAACCTCAAGATCAACTGAGTCAAATGGCGCCTTAAGGTCCAGGAAGACAACTATTGTCCGACGCTTATATGGTGTCTGTGTTCCAGGACCTACCACGCCCAGGTCGAAAACTGGCCTGGTTTTCTCTAGTCTGCTCTTTAAGAGCTTCAGTTAGGTATCGGAGTATTATTGAAGCTAATATTTTAGATACCATATCAGTCAGTCAGTCAATCAGATGCAACGTAGAACTTCGTACATCAGTTCATGTTGCCATACCACATCAGCACAGAGATGTAATTGTCAATTCAAATCCAATAGTAGAAGAGGTTGTAAAAGTATTAGAAGTAATCTGAGAGGTTAGGATTAGAAGATATTATTCAAGAAGTATGATTCAATGAGAAAAGTTTAGAAAGTCAAAACTAGAGGCGTTGAAGAATCCAGAAGATTACGATTTGAGAGAACACAAAGAATAAATGCACCGGCGCCATTGCGAACGATTTTGAGCCATGTCATTCAAGGTCTCTAACCATCGATTATTATCATCTCGCGGACCCCAACCAGGTAGTCGACAATTACCGACATGGCTAAGTCCACTTGCCAATGACTTCATGGATTTGTGCCATGTTTTCGTTTGGCCGCCCCTAACTTTCTTCCAACCTATTCCTACACCACAAAAAAAAAGCTTTTCGAGGCAGTCGGTGGTTAGGCATACGCAACACATGTCCCAACCACCTCAACTGATGAACTTTCAGTACTTCATCTATTGATCTACCATTCTTACCTAGCACCCGTGTCCTAATAACAGCGTTGCTCACTCGGGTGTCCCAGGATATACGAGCAATGCCTCGAAGACATCTATGATAGAAAACCAGCAACCTACGAATATCTTCTACTCTCACTGGCCATGTTTCATAGCCATAAAGTAAGACGGAGCGAACTACTGCGCAGTACACTCGTCCTTTAATCAGCAAACAGATATCTCGCCTACGCAGGTTGGCAAAAGCCAATCGAGCCTTCTGTATCCGAGATGAGATTTCGTCAGTTACCAGGCCATCGACACTGATGAGACTCAGAAGATAAGTGAAGCGGTCTACACGTTCGACTACTTCACTCACTATCACTAGTTCAGGTGCCGATGCAACCCAATCTTGAAGCAACATTTTGCATTTCGAGGGGGAAAACCGCATCCCGAACTTGCTTGCATTGTTGCTTAGGGTAGTCAGAAGACTCTTCATTTTGTCAACGTCTTCACCAAGTAGGACAATGTCATCGGCATATTCTAAGTCAATACGCGAGCCAGCAGGTATAAGGTCTACTCCTGAAAATTCAGACGAGGATAAGGTTATATCTAGGAGCATGTCTATGATAAAATTAAACAAGAATGGAGAAAGTGGACATCCCTGACGGACACCACTTGAAGTGAAGAATTCCGGTGACAGTTCGCCATAAGCTCTCACTCGACCAGTGGTGCTCGAGTAGAGAGCTTGTATGAGGTTAATGTACTTCTTTGGTACACCTTTCAATGACAGACACTGCCACAGAACCTCACGATCCACTGAGTCAAATGCCACTTTTAGGTCCAGGAAAACAACTATTGTCGGACGTCTAAATGTGTGTCTGTGTTCCAGGACCTGTCGTAGTGTGAAAATGTGGTCTATACAGCCACGTCCAGGTCTGAAACCAGACTGGTTTTCTCTAGTCTGCTCTTCACGAGCTTTCGTTAAGCGCCGAAGTATTATTGAGGCCAAAATTTTAGATACTATATTAGTAGTTAGACTTATTCCCCTGTGATTGTCACAAGAAGACTTCTGTCCTTTCTTATAGATTGGGACAATCAGTGATTGAGACCAGTCGGATGGGATTACGTCCAGTTCCCAGATTCTACCTAAGATCTCGTTCAACCTTGTTGCTAAAACTGGACCACCATCCTTAATTATCTCACGGGTCAGTCTATCAGGACCCGCAGCTCGCCCTCGCTTCAGATTTCCTAACGCATTTTCAATTTCATTAAGACTAGCGGGGTTACGTCGATTTGCCACTCAGGATGACTGAAGATCGTGGGTAACCGAAGAGTGGCTCGAGGCCAGTTGAACTGATCCCTAAAGTGTTCTGCCCATCGATCCAGTCTCGTGGATTGAGAATAAATAACAGTCCCGTCATTTTCTGAGATAGTCTCACTTACACTAGGATTCCTAATACCAGTTTGCTTGATAAGTCGGAAAAGTTGTCTACTGTTGCCGATCGCCGCTGCCTTTTCCATCGCTTTTGCTTTCGCCACCCACCACTGTTCGCGATCGTTACGTAGGCTTTTTATAAGTCTGCGCCTAAGTTGACTTCGTTCTTCATCATATTCAGAGCCAGGTGGGATGAGTTTCCGGGCATCCATCAGATCGGTGGATGCTACTGAGATCCACGGCTTCATTCTAGACTTATGGTCAACCTTACTAGCAGATATCACTGCTCTGGGATTTGGCCTGATAATTTCATTTCTCTGTGCTAATGAAGTAAAGCTATTTCGACTTACGTACGCACACACCAATTTCTACATTCTATCTGACTGCTAACTGACTTGATTTTTGAGCGACAGTACTGGACACCTAAGTGTTTTGTAACTGACCGAGATATGATATGGATCATATACATTTTTCTATTAGAAAGGATGATAAATATGATGAAAACGTGGTGGATTTTAAGCTCTCAATTTAAAGATACTGGCTCAGGCTTTACATTCTGAAAGCAACTGGCGATAACTGTGGGTACATCAACGAATTCATTTTCTTTACTATATTGGAATAAGGGTCTAGAAACTCCCTAGATGGGTCTTTCGAAATTGCCGGTTTGATTTAAGCTTTGAATAGCTATGTTTAATCTTTCACTGGTTAGAAATATTCTGGGACAAATATACCGCATGGTGGTAATATAGTGATCAGAACGACTCAGTGAACATAAAAGAACTGCTACTTCTTAAGATTTAAATTACTTTAGAGTATAACTGTCAAAAATTACATCTCCTTGCACAAGTCAGTGAATCTAAGAAGCATCAGTCACTAGTTTTATTGAGTTACTTGATCTATACGCTTGAAAACTAATTATATTTTCGAACCATCAAAAACTTTGTACCTAGTGAACAAAATTTAATGAACGCATCTTTTTGATCAGTTATGCTGTCTGTTACTGAATTTTTAATCTGCATTAATATGGGGAAACAATCACCCTAACAATACGTATAATTTAGCAAGATGGCTCACCTTCAATCGTCCTTCTAATTCTTTAATAAGCAACTTCATTGTTGATGTGGAGTCACTTAAGGATTCCTGTTTTTCATCCGCTTTGTATGGTTTAGTACAGTCAGTTTTTGATGTCTCTGGCGATTTTGAAGAAAATTCCATGTTATTAGGTTCAACAAATATAGCAGCTTCTTTATACGAATCCCCACATCTGACTGGACGTTTGCCTGCACGACGCTTTGACTTCTTAGACTTAACAAGAGAAGCTTTTGATTCATTTACAGGAGAGAGAATACTTGTGGTTGCATTGTGTTCTGAAGAACTTGGAGAAACGATTGAATCGGAGTCATCACTCTGGCTTCTATTTAATGTAGTTTGTAAGAAATCTAAATTAGAACTTTCGACATATGATCGTTCAGACTTATCAGCGGAAGTATTAATAGGTTCCGAATCGCCTTTAGCATAACTTTCTACTTCATATTTTACTGGTTGGATAGGTCGTTCAACTGATCGCCCACTGCTATTTGATGATTGATCATCAAGAGGCATATCTAATAAATGTTCATCCTCTTCACCAGTTGTGTCATCTGATGTTTGAGTTTTGTCTGTTTCTATTTCTCCAATTTGCTGGGAATCAACTAAGACTTTCCGTTTTTTAACTTTTTTGGACTTTTTCACGTCATTTTTCTTTTTCTTGCGTGCAAAGTTTTCTGAATCTTTATGGACACTATTACGATGAGCGAACAGAGTATTCCTGAACATGAAATAAAGCACACTGGATACGAGACAGACGATCACTGTTATGAAAACCCCCTGCAGTGCATTTTCGCTATCCCATTCCATTTTGAACTCTACATATCAAAAAAAAATATTTGGACAACTCACAAAATTTAGACAAGTGTGAAACCCCTTCTCGCAAAAAATATGAAACAGATAAAATGATTATTAAAGTTGCTTAGTATTAAAATTAGCTATAAATGTTATGAAGACAACCTAGTCGAAACTATTCATTCAATTTAGGGGAATGGATATTATCTAAATACTTGTAAATAATTAGGAATATAATATGATTTACGCCAGTGATAAACAAATAGCCTGCAATTTATTCCTAGAAAGGAAACGAGTAAAATATGTACACTAGCAAGAATCTGAAAGAATCTAACCATGCTAACAGAATATTCTGATGCTTGACAGTTGTAACCAAGGGCACAATGATGCATACTGGTCAGTAAGAAACAAAACATCAAATAACGCTAAATTACATACTTTACTGACAGTGATGTAGATAATATTATTGATACAGGACACGGATAGTCGGTCAGGCATAAGTAGCAGTAAACTTGGCAGATATTTTTGGTCACCGCAGGTTTACACAATATGTCAGCATAGTGCGATAAAATTATTAAGGCAAATATCACGCATATGTCACAGGATTCGGGAAAGAGTTCGTAGAAAAAAAGGCAAAAGGGATATTAAAACTGAGGATCTAATAAATAATACGGAGTGAACACACTTGAGCCTTGTCACCAAATATGTGTGAATGTTAGTCAGGACTCGAAGTAGGTAAGTGATGTCTTCACACATAAGAAATATGTTATGTTCGTTTACCTGGATATCAAAACATTTGTGACGTTCTAGTGATTTCTGACCTAAGATCCGAGCATTATGTGCAGGTAAATAGCGAGCTACTAGGACTGTGACTGAACCAACCCTTTAAACTTCTAAGCCGTCATATAACGACGAAGTAACGGATCTAAATCTATTACCCACAAACTTCTAAATACTTAGAGAGTTTATTATGATCCTCAAATTGTTTAACAGTGGTTTTGTATTTGACACGTCTATTCCTATTGTCTTTCAAAATGTCGAACTTTGTAGGGTGAAAATGTTGACATGAGGACCACTACTTATCCGTTGAATTATGCTCGGTGTCCCCGTCAACCGCAACCTACTGCATAAATGCATGGCGACAGCTGTTATCACATATGCATTCAAGTGAAGGTTTTATAAGCTAGGAGGCTTCTACACTAAGACTAGTCCAGACCGTTTGTCAGCAACCAGCTGGATAAAAAGACCACACAGTCAGAATGAAGCGGCGTCTGAAGTCAGAAAAAATATGATGCGGACATAACATGGCGCTGCGTGTAATGCAAGTTAAAACATTGTTAACTAGCTGAATAAGAAAATACATGCGGAAGCTTTTCGACTATTTTTCGGCGGGATAAACTTACGAACTAGTTATGAAAGAAATATGAGATTTTGGAGTGTTATAAGGTGCCACAATATATATGCCTTAAAAAAGCCAGTTTAATGGCAAACATTTAGGTTTCAAAGTCTTTGTGACTAGTAACCGTGAAAACCAAGGGATAAAATACTTCACTACAGAAAATTTTGGAGTTTAAACTGCACAGACAGTCCTGATAAGAATGATCTCTGTTCATTCGAATATTAATGTAAGAGAGCTCAGCATTACTCGAGTCGTTTAGTAGTATTAATTTAGTTACTCCAGTCAGTTTGTGAGCGGGAAGAATATGAATATGGATGTTCTAGGTGTAGGCCAGTCAAAAGCAGTTAGGATGGTTAAGAGATGTATCTTCCGATAAAAGTGAGTTTTACTTCACTAGAAATCATTATAGGGAATCGTAAGTATATAGAATCGCACAGAATGTCTTACTTAACAATGATAACAGAACAAAGATTTACACTAGGCGCCAATAATGAGCTAGTATCAATCGATCTATTTCTTTGCGCTCACTTCTTGTTTTTTCGCTACGGTCCCAGGTATCTGGTAATATCCGATCAGTGGTAATCTAGTCACTTGGCTGCGCTAAATCTAGTAATGTTGGTAGTGATCTATGAATTTTTATGTCCTGTGATTCGAGTGCGTTTGTTTCAGGACAACACGGTTTCTGGATATCACATTACTAGACTAGAGATCAGTCTGTTGCAAGATGATAATTTTAAATAGAGAACGGATGTTTCAGAGTGAAAATGTATGACCGTGTAAAGACAAAGGGGAGACAGATATCCAATATCCACTATCTTTTCCACGAGCCAGTTCAAACTAATTGATTACTTTGCTCTCGAGTCCTGTTCTTTGGGTACGGTTCCAGGTATTGTTTATATTCAATGGATGGGAGGGTTAGCCACTTCACCGCAACAGTGCTAGTCATTTGGCCGGTGTTTGTGCCAGATAGATTAGGTAAGTGACCTGGGGAGATGGCAAAAATAATAACTAGCAGGTCTCAAGACATGCATCAGGCACAGCTGATCCACGATCGAGATGATAATCTGTAGTTGAGTACGGCAGTCAGTGAGTCAGTTACAACGCCAAACTTCGTACGTGACATAAAAGATTTTACAACTTCAAAAGGGTTACATTAGCTTTTCAGCTCCCATTAGCTAGCCATCACTAACAAATTAGTCCTAAACAGTGATAGGTTGGCCATCCACTTTGCGGAACTTGAGCAATTTTTGAATAACCTTCCTGCCTTTCCAGTGACTTCAGATTAGGGCGATGGCCTAACTCTCATGCCCAACGCTCTGATGGGCCGAATGAGTTCGGGTTGTTGGTTAGGTTTTTGTATGTACAGGCATATTGTATTAAGTCTTGTGTATAATATTATCCAGTTAGGAGAGCAATGAGTGGATGCATTATAAGTGTCTCCACGTATCTAGAGGGATCGCGGTGACTATTCTGAAAATCCGTATGCAACTCTCGATTGGGCAGTGTTGTTATTTCTTCGCTCTTTGACCATTTTTTTATTGAACATTTCCTCAGGACTTCTGAAAACTTCCAAGTCACTAGTACTCAAGTTTATGTAACGCTTGCTTCTTTATTCCAACTACAACTGTTTATTACCGAGCCACTGATATTTAGGTTGCCCCTGAATACTCTTAAGGTTACGGCATCATCCTTTGAATGACTGTTTACCTACGAGTGCCTGCTGAAAATGGTTGCTCGAAACCATCTAGGTGGATATTTGAAACCGTCTTTTTAGGCAAACCTTTGTTGATTCTCAGGTACAGAACATTTTATAACTATTCCCTTCGCTGTTAAGTACGCTACTTGGGGAAACAGTGACTGTATTGCATAGGCTGTGCCGTTTGAAGTTTATTGTACTTTCAATATAATTTGGTTTCTTTATCACATAGAACCGTTTAGATGGGGCACATAGTTCGTCTCGCTATAATTTAATACGGTCACTCTAGACGCTTTGTTCGCTTTATAGAACAAGGTAGTTTAGCTTAATAAAATAAATCTTGTTTCTTTCAGATCAAATTGCCAGTATTTGGTCGTTACAATGGTGTTGGGTTATTTCCAAAACAACTAACACAATATTTGAGCACGAACTCTTAGGTTTAACCAATACTACCTTGTACAATTTCCGGACCTTTATTTTCTGGAGCCTGTGAGTGAAATTGTGACTGCCTCTCAAGCTCTTAAACGTAGGTGTAATTTGATTGGACTTGCTGGGTGGAAAACTTCTGTGACTAGTAAGATGGCCATGACAAGTGATACCACTGTGAGATCTGAGAACGTGCAACAGATTTTATTCGCAGTTCAAGAGCAGAACAGTTTCACTCAGTTGGGTCGTTTATAGAGTAACAAGATGCCATGTATTGATAATAATAAGATCTATTATCAAATAACAGTAGGTTACAAGAGGCATGCCAGTTTGCAGGCTAGATCGAACTGTCACAAATGATTACACATTTAATGCAAAAGTTGTCATAGTTAAAATAAGTATAACAGTCGGTTCTGATGGCACATTTACACAATTTCACTGACAGAAATAGTTTGATACGGCCAGATTTTCAATAGGGAACGTGCACAGTAGGAATTTTGGGCGGTTTGCTTAAATCAATAGTGAATTTGTTGAGAAAGGTCAAAAGGAACACGCTTGATACAAGCTGTGATCTAGACGAGCGTGTACTTAGGGTTCATGTTCCCTAGAGGCACCAGGGATTCTGTGCTGTGAATATGGTCCTGAAAAGGGAGAAAAGAGAATGAGAAAAAAGGCTAACCATTATGAACTGGTACTAGAGCCATTCTGTCTAGCCTGGCTTCATTTATGTCACACATGACTTTGATTAGAAATTTATCGAATAGTCCTTTCATGTGACCCGCACTAGCTGAAGGCGGAAAATGACATTTAGCTCAGGCTAAACATTTTGTTCCAGCACTCTGCTTGGCACAGGGCTTAGATAAAGAAGAAGACGTAAATGGTTCTGGTCGTGACCAGTACGCAGAGATACATCAGTCAAAGAATAACATAGTGGTGCCTCGAGGTAGACACATAACTGATCTTTTTCGGCAGAACTATGAAATATGGGTCTAGGCCGACTTTAATACATTTGTCTATGCAACTTGAATATACCAGATAATGTATTATGTACTTACCATGATATGACTATATAATAAGATATTACGTAGATTTCATATCATTGTATATACTGACTGTTTTTGTGATGATAGCAAGTCACTTACATTTTATGAGATTTTCAAGAACCATTTCGGAATAGGGATAAAATAATGTACTGAATATCAAAAGCAATAGGCTAATGAGAGTGATGATGTGTGTGTGATTGAGCCATTTTGTTTCGATTAAAAGTTCCCACGTTAATCTTCTGTGACCGCGTATAATTGTTCAGAGGCTAGTGTAGGTCTTAACGAATATTATATCTTTAGATTCAGGAATGATGAGCTTAGGATCTAAATGCCACTATAGTATCATTTTCGTCTGATAATTCCTGAAGTCACTTCTAACACCACATTTATAGATTTTTCCAGCAGTTTTGTATGAAGTTGGGTTCAAAGTGTGCTATGATTAAATTGCTGCAGAGACACTAGTGAAGAAGAAAGTAAGATAGTTTCTCAAAAATTATGTCACGTTTAAATATGACGTAAGCTGATATTAGACCTGAACCAAACTTGTTCTAACAACTAACTATTTATAGGTTTAGAATTGATGAGTATCGAGAAGAACAGCTTCTTCATAAATCTGCAGTGGGTTGCCAAAAACACAATATATATATATATATATATATATATATATATATATATATATATATATATACTAAATAACACGGAAACGTCACGGTGTAACAATGCCAAAGGAGTTACGACCCTCAGGAATGTTCTTGACGTTGTCAAGAATGGCAAGTTAAACAGATAACAATGTTTGAGCTTTGAACGTTTTAGGAAGTGTGTTCTCGCTGTAAAACTTTGATGTTCTGTGTTTGATGATGGATGATGTGCGAATGAAATAGAAAGATGGAAATATCATGAAGTATTCTTTACTCAGAATGTGTGCTTCATATTCAAGTAGTCAAGAATGGACCATTTTTGAAGATCTTGTACCGCTCGTTCAGTACACATTGAAATATGTTAAGGTGGTTAAATAGGCTTATAATCAAGAGTATGAACAAGTGGAGAGCTTGAGTCATACTTTTAAATAAGGTGTGGGATAATAAGTAACAGTATTAGTTAGTGCAGTCACTATAGCCTTTCCAACCAACTTAAGGTCGGGATATATGCATGAAATAGCATACTATGCCTGGAGTCTTATCTGACGTTTCTTGGCTTTATATTTAGTATAGAATTCGTTATATTTGGAGTGTTCTCATTAGCACTAGAATTAAAAAGCGGAACCACAACGGATTCAAGTGGTTTTTGGGAATGCATATACTTGATTCGTTGGACATGTTCACAAAGCATATTCGAACATAAGGATTGTTGGTTCAAAAGACTCTGTCACTGTTTATGCCATATGAGAGCTAATTTTCATTCACTCTTCCACTCACTTTTTGTTTATTTCTGAATTATAAATAACCACCAGATTCGAGTCTCTCAGTTATGAGTCTTTAAAATGAATTATCAGAATAGTCTTTAAAATTCTGTAGAAAAACTTTTACCTGAAAATTTTATAGATAGCTTTTTACTTTTTATTTTTATTTTACAGATTATGCGTTTATAGTAATTAAAAAGTAGCATGTAAGTAATGAGGCATTCTCATCAGTAATTAGCAAAGTGCAACATTCGACCAGTAATACCAAATATTTGGAAGTTGACAAGTTTGATGACAGCAAGAGAGCCCGATAACTGAACAAGTTGATGAACAAACTATTAGTAACACATAATCGTTTCTGAATGAAAAGCAAAAAAAGCATTCCTAAAACAGGCGTTTTTTTATTGATTTCGATCTCGTTATTTTTATAGGTTGCTTATCTAGGTGTGAACAACTTGACATGTGTCATTACCAAATCGCTTTTGTGAATGCTGCGCAGTGCATTTATTATGGCAGTCAGTAAGCTTACATTACATACACGTCAACATAAAAACTATTTTTAAATAATGTCTTCTCATTCCTGATATCTGGTTTAACTGGTTTTGAGATCTGTGAATAAGAATGAATCTCTAGCAGCAACATTGACAAAGGCTGCACAGTCGTGAGATATTTAAGTAAAATTCAGGTCGATAGTACTTAGAAGGACTAACTCAATTTTTAAAATGAAATAAAATTGTTTCTGATGACAACTCACCAAAACTATCATCCTTAGATGTGTCGCAGTTACTAACTAGAACTAAATTCAGCCCGAAATTTAAGGGTGATAAAAGTCATTCACTGTTTAAGTTGTTTAGGATTTGTCCATGATATAGTATTGGTCCTGTTGTTTCCCGATGAGGCATCCATCCCAACGTGAGCATCTTATCAGCGCATCACCACCACTACCCTCGAAGCAGTCCTAAAAAATTGCGCATCAAGGAGACAATACTCAGGTTCGTGCATACATCTTCTCATAGAGAGTCGTTGCAACTTGGAATGCTCTCCCAGCGGAGGTGACCACAGTCCCCTCAGTGGACAGCTTTAGGAAGAGATTTGATAAACACGTACTCACGCATAATCATCTCCGTCGTGGACAAGCTATGAATGATGCATGTCTTGAGACCTTCTAGTTGTTATTATTGCGATTTCCTCCCTAATCTATCTCGCCTATTGTCTTTGATTCCTCTCCCTTGCTTACAATCCTGTCCTCTCTTACGTTCTTCACTACCAGTTAATAAACTGAATTACCTAATTATTAACTTAGTTCTGAAATCCTCTTCTTATTAGCATTAGAATGTTCTCCTTATCATTCCTCACATTGCAACTAAGTGATATCCGTTCTGGCGATGTGATAGCTGCTGGTATCCAGAAACCCTACTGCCCTGAAACAAACGTTTTCATTAAAGTAATGGGACACAAAAACTCACAACCGACTGCTAAATGATTAGAATTAGACAGTCCAATGGCGAGACCCTTATTCATTAGAAACTACCAAAGACCTGTAACCGTACCGAAAGAACAAGAATCAAGCACAAAGAAATCAATTGGCTTACACTAGTTCGTGAAAAAGATATTGAATATTGGATCCAGGCCAAACCAATCAGATTGTCACATATCGAGGTGGTCGGTATGAATCTGGAGTTACACACATTGACGATTCTGTCGTTGTTTTTCAGTTCTATTTTTGTTTATTGTGGGTTAGTTGTGATGTTTTCGCAATTATCTTTTGTTTCATGTACAGGAGAGATTTTTACGCTATTTTAAATGTCCCTCGTACTGCAAGCAAAAGTGAAATTGGAAAAGCCTACAGATCTCTAGCTAGTAAACTTCATCCTGATCAAAACCGCGGTGATCCAAAAGCTGACCAAAAACTTCAAGACATTAATGAAGCTTACGAAGTGGGTTTTGTTAGGCTTTTGATTTTTTAAAGTGTTAAATATGTCATTCTCCGTATATAATGTTTACGGATATATAAAGATATATATATATATATATATATATATATATATATATTTGTTGTCACCGTAATCTGTTGAATTGTTCACTTTTTGAGGCTCAAATTTTTGGGTTTCGAACTTTTTTGTAAATATTTGTTTTTCTTGGGTGTTTTATTTCTCGAGATATAAAACTCCTAATTGGACAGTTTTTTGAAGTTTTCAGTCTCGTTTCCTTATTCAGGAAACTGGGCTATCTCTCACGTTGTCTCACTGTCACTGTTTTGTTCTATTTAGGTACTGCTAGTGTAAATACTTCTATGTTCCTGTTTCGTTACTTATTGTCGAACTTCACTAGACTTCTGCGAGAGCAGTGGAAGCACGATCATGCCCCTAATAGCTTGTGTCGTGTGTTCAATTTTTATCACTAAAAAGGGGAAAGTTGAACTTTGTCTACTGTTCATTTGCTGATGTGGCTAACGTAACAACGGAGAATAGCTATCCGGCGTAACTTTAAGATGGTTTAATGTAGTGACAAAAATTTACAGGCAGTTTCTCATTTGTAATTTTATACATGCTTAGATTTCAGGTTTTGGTAATTTATATATTCAGTCTCTTGAATACAAAGCAGACTGCTCAATATGTTCACATTCTCCTTAATGGTCGATTACAAATAAATCCGAATATCAATGTTACTGAATGCATTTTTAAACAATTAAACAAGTTGTCATGTACATCAATAAGTAATCAAAGTGAGGAAAGATAAGTGAACAACTAGGTTAAAGTCATATTAATGTCGAGTTAAATCGGGCATTAGAACTTTTCTTATTTGCACTATAATCTAAACCGCAGTGGTACCGGTATTCCAAGTATTTGTATTGAAAATTGAATTATACTGGCATTATAATATCCACCAGTTTTATTATAATTGAAACTATACCAAGACTAGTATAATCAGCAAATATCGTCTGACTATAAAAACAATTATTTCATACTGGTTGAATCTAAATCAAACCGAGATGAATCGCAATATGCTACTGCTGTTGTTGTGCATCCAGCTCCAATTATTAAGGTATATCCATCATTAATTAGTCGAATGACGAATAAAATAAGTTTTGCAGATAGGCGGGTAAGGTAAAAACATATACAGATCAAGGTTTGAAATTCATCTTGCGGCTGTAAATAAGATAGCCAGTAAAATAGAATTAATACATTTGAATGTCACATTCTTGATGAGATCTTGCGATGCAAAACGAGCATACAGTTGTATGAATATGACGCCTCTATGTTGGCCACACATGCTCTTCAGAATTAACCTGTTAGAGTTTTTTCATAGACGTAAATTTACTAAATGCATGTCCTTTATTTAGGTTCTTAGCAAAGAAGACAAACGCAAACTTTATGATCAGTATGGTGAAGAGGGTTTAAAAAGCCATGGAGAACATGACTTTAATCCGTTTGGTTTTGCTCGATCTCCGGAAGAGGCACCACGTGGAGGTGATATTGTTATGGACCTTTGGGTTACTCTGGAAGAACTCTATGTGGGACACTCTATCGAGGTGACTAGACGTAAACTGATCAAAATGCCTGCACCTGGAACTCGCAAGTGCAATTGTCGTATGGAGTTACGTACGACAGTCCTAGGCCCCGGTCGTTTTCAGATGCATCAAGAACAAGTCTGTAGCGACTGCCCAAACGTCCAGTAGGTACATTTTTGTCGTTCAATTTGTTAAGAAATAAGATCTGTTTTACCGATCATACTACGGGGTATACTTCAAACATTAAGGTTCAATACTTCTCTTTTATAGCAGAAAATGCCTAGCTGATCTAAAATAAAAAAATAATTATTGTCTTATTAGTTCACGATTGTTCATTCTTAGAGACAACATTCAACTGTAAGGCACCCCAGCCATTCTTAGGTTGTTGTAACGTCATACCATTTATTTGAAGTTTTGACCCCTTACACAGCTGTTACCTTCGTGTCAGCTGTTTAACAGGTATATGATACATTCAACAAATATATTATCTTACGGCGATTTTGTAATCTGCCTGTGATAGAGTAAGTTAATATACATTGACTGGCTAATAAGTTTCGTCAGATTGGAACGATTGAAACCACAACAGCACGACACTTCTAAATTCACAAAACACTCGCTGACGAAATAAATTATTTGGCAGTAAAATTCTCCAGTAAGTATTTTTCTTTTCACATTTCTTATTTGTATACTTGGAGGGTTGAAGTATTAGCGTTTCAGTAAAATATAATAGGTGGTACTTCAGTGTATTTGACTAACAATTAATTTGAAAATACTTTGAAGACAAATATGAAAATAAAGAGTTGGTTAAGTTCTTATTTAGTTTGAGGATGAATCCCTTCTTTACAAATACTTGATGCGTGAGCGATGTCAGTATTTCATACTAACAATCATAGTTGTTGATTAATAACTACCTTCTATTTGATGAACATGAGTGCGTCTTCAAAGTTACTTATGTATGAGCGTTCGAAAATATCTCGTGCAAAGGACATTCAAGTTTCAGCCACCAAGTCTCGGGTTCGAGCCTAGCTCCATCTACCTCAGTCTAAGCAACTGTGTAATTTCAGTAACTCACTACAATTAGAGTATGGATTGGAGCCAAGTAGACTAATCTATCTCTGGTAAACGAGTTGAATCACTAAATAAGATAGCATGTACTTGGTCATGACCGATATGCTTTTCAGGTTAAATTAGGATATTCTGAAATGTCTTCTTTTGTGATTTTACATACGACATTTAAATTGCTTCTATACCGACCTGATCAGTTAATGATGTACTACCATGAAGTAAATAATACTTGTATTGGACTATTTTTAAACGTTAATTATTCCAGTGATTGTTAATAAAATATGCTCTTTCCACTTCTCTGTATGATTTTCATTTCGTTTCGTTTTATACATTCTTTTTCGGGTACTCCATTTTATCACTCGTGTTAAAACTGGATAAATGAATTAACTCCATAAGGTTTGTACCTGAAGAACGCAATCTATATGTAGAAATTGAACCAGGGATGAGTGATGGGTATATTTATCCGTTTGTTGGTGAAGGAGAACCTCATTCTGATGGTGAATCAGGTGATTTAAAATTTCGTATTAGACAAAAAAAGTATGTGAACCATTTTCTTTTGTTCCTTTGTTATTTGTAAATCGTATTTTACAACATTGTATGTGATTAGTAACCGTATTTAAGTCTTTTTTACAGTACCAATAATTAAGAAAGTGTTTTGCTTTAATTTTCTATTGAATGTTTATAAATTGATTCAATAATGCAGCTATGAGCACCAAACAATTACTATGCACATTAACATTTTAACATCATTCCACTGTATTGAATTGTCAATCGATTTCATAAATTTTCATTTGACTTTATTTCAAAAACTTATTTTAATGAACTGGGCTTGGCTCGCTCCTTGTCGGTTTTAAAATTCCGCTCCATCATAATGAGTCTTAAAAGCGGATGATGAAATTAGTTGTTCTGTGTTTCTTAATAGAGTCTTGTTAACTAATCAGTATTATTCACTAACCAAACTTTTGCAATTGAACTTGAACCACGATTAATGGGGTCAAATCGAAGTAGGCTGAAAAGATGTTCTAATTGTAATCAACCTCTTAGTGAACCACTCCATAATTTTATCCGTGACAATTTGTTTTCAGTATACAATTAGTATATACCATAGGTCTTTAGTTAGTTTTTAAATGTTATTTATCTTTTAGACATAATATATTTCATCGACGAGGTGATGATCTGTACACAAACGTCACTTTAACTCTGGTTCAATCCCTAAACGGATATCAACTGACTTTTCCACATCTAGATGGTCATCAAGTAAGTAGTCTTTCATTGTATTTATACACTTTCACTAAATGTTTTAACATTTTGTTCGCTTTTATTCTTTAGCATAAGATTCGTGAAACTTCAAGCACTAAATAAAGTTGATTAAATGTAACGAGTAAATTGTTCAAAGTAACTAAAAAATTTATTTCGAAATGTACAAGTGTAAACTAATTTATGGCTTATAATATTGGCAAAGAAAGTCATTTAACCATAATAGTTGGAAGATGGTATTTTTTCATCGAATTTATCTATAACTTTGGTATCGAGCTATTTATCTCAATAATTTGAGAAAACAACAGGATATAAAAGACCGCTTTATCATATTGTTTATATACTATACTCCAAAAACTACTATTTGCGTAAAGTTTTAGCCACAAGTTTATTTTTTTCTTAATAGGTTGTTATCTCAAGTGATTATGTAACCGCTCCTGGGACAATTATTCATAAACCAAATGAAGGAATGCCTCATTTGAATAACAACAAACGCCGTGGTTCTCTTTACATTACAATCGATATTCAATTTCCTGAAAACTTTAGGGTTCCTGATGATAAACGTCAAATGATTAGAGAACTTTTTGATTCATCCAGCACAAGCAATGCACCTCCTTCATCACCTCCACTTGATCAACCAACATCAGCACAGGTTTACAATGGTCTAGATAGAGGTAGTAAGAAGATATCTGTAAAAAGTTAATCAAATCGATTAGCTTTTAGTTGTTTTCCTGTATTTAGGAATTTTTCTGTTTATTTATACAACCTACTGTGTACAGATTGTCTTCTTCTATCTGTTTATTTGTAATTTTATAATGTTTGATAATGTTGCTGGTTAATTCATGGACATGTTTTTGATTTTCATAAAATTTTCCTAACTTTACGAAAATATAAGTGCAAATGAATTCTGTTTTTTTTGAAGTTGTGGTAAATAAAAGTCTTGAGTAGACGGAATTGATAGTTGATGTTTTGCTTGGTATAATATGCCAACATTATTTATTGCAACGAGTTATTTTTTTTCAATGTATGTAAATCAAAATGACAATGGAAAATGATCTATTGTATACTTTCTGATTTTATGTTTGTATTTGTGATTAAACTACAGAGTGAATTGTTTTATAAGAATTGAATTACACATATTTCATCAGAAACTGTCTGTGTATGTAGTTTTTTTTTGTTGATAATAAAAATAGTAGGAGATCAATATGATATGGAATATTTGTCGTTATTTACACTTCATTTCAATTAAATACCCTGGCATAGTTACATCTTTTGTTCCTGTTTTTTATGTTCACAGGAATAACTCATCCGTCGTCAATTAAAACCAGAAAATCTTCTTGATTCCTAAATGTACATGCATAGTAGGCTGTATAACAAAGAATAATTAGCCCTAATTAAAAGCATTGCTGGTCGATGCGACAAACTTAGCCAGTTAGCTTTTAACACAGATAAGTAATAAGTTGTTTTTTTCAATAGACCGGGCGAATGAAGTGTGTATCAACAAATAAGATAATAGTTCGTTCACGATTAGTCAATGAAATACAGGAAAGAAATTATTCACTTGCTGCTTATGGAAAATACAATTATAATAGATGAGTCTCACACCTATCTTATGCAATAAGAAGTTGTCGTCATACATTTATTCAGATTAGAGACAGTTGTATTGTATAGTTTTTATGAATTATTTGGTTAATATGTTCGCCTGGACTCTCATCTCACGGTTGCGTTTCCTACTGTCTTCGTAGGTTGTTTGGAAGTCGTAAAGCTGGCCAACAAATATAACTACCCGTTTAAAAAATCAGGTCATAATTACTTGTTTGCTAATGAGTTTCTGTCATAATTAAAGCTAAAAAGCTTCACATGGTGATGGGAAATAACTGGTTACAATACTGTCGATTTTCATCATAAATTCTTGTATCTCGTGATCATTTTAGGGTGTTTCTTTGAACTTTAATCTTGTGAATGAGTTATAGCTGTACGCTCATATCTTAACCAATGACGTGCAATTAACATTTAGCTGATGTCCACGGTATCGGAAATACACCGACGGCTTAGCGACCGTAAACGTATAGAGTTTACGAAGATACCAATGGGGTTAAAAGACCTGAATAGTGAAGGTTAGCTTATTGGTTCGTCGAATTGGATGCGCACAAATAAAATTTCTAGTGATTTGAAGGGTCATCCTCAATGAGAGTGATAGTTTCTTGAATTTTTATTCAGAAAGTAGCTCAATAGATTGTTTGATAAGTGTAGTGAAAGGAAGACCCCTTCTCATCGTCTATTGTTTTTATGGCATCAAAATAACGGGCTGGATAGAGACCTAAATATTTTTTAGAGTCAATCATTTTGAAATATGAATAAAGTTTTTGGTAAAGTATCAGCAATATGACGTAGTTTTTAAAGCAGAGGTTAACATTTAGTCCAAAAAGAGGTCTTACTTCCTGTCGAGATATTAATCTCTCAGGAAATATCTCAATAGTTAGCCAACACTTAATTCTTTTCACTGATAGGCTTCGTGATTTATAAATCATGTATGCAACTAACAAAATCTGTTGTGGATATTTCGCAATTTCATATAACTCCATAACCTTTCATCCTATTACTTAGCTTATTCGTGAGTCTATTTTTAAAAGGATTACTCAATTAGCTCCCAAAAAAATAATAAGTCATGAACACTAAGAAAATTACTGTAAACAAATACAAGTTAGGAAAAAAACTCTCCGTAAACTTATTCACATGATGTTAACACCTATAATTGAGACAAATAATAAAAAAATATCTCCCTGAACTGTCTCAGAAGCAGACTGACTGACATTCCCTTCATTGATCTCAGTAATAGAAAGCTAGACACTTCAACATCGCCAATAGTATTATGTTGATACATCCTACTGACGAGTTTCAAAATGTTCGTCCTTCATTACTACACTACTAGTGATTATCCAACTTTGATATTATTAACATTTCTTCATGAAAAATTTATGAACATGCTGTATAAGTTAAAAGTTAAGTTAAATTTTGAGTGTATACTGTAATAATATGAATTGTCATCATTAAAATAATGAACAAGTATGTATAAATTATTATGTTATATATATATATATATAAAGTATGTTTCTAAGATATGAATACAATAAAAGTATGGTTGTTTTTGTGCATTAGCAATTGTGTATCAAGCATTCAGAACTTAAATTTCTTATATTATCACTGCATTTAGTCATCTAATTGACATAATAAAGCAACTCCTCTCATAATCCAATGACTTTCCGGTTTATCTGATGTTAATAGAATCGGTAACACAAAATTTGTAGAATGTCCAGTTGTGGATAGAACACCTCGACGTTCACTTGTTTTATAAACTGGTGCTGTATAACTGGGTCTTGGTTGAATATCACTGCGTTTCTTTGGTAATAACCAAATCTGTAAAATATTTTTTTTAAAAAAAAATCATCTTTAGTATAAGACTAATAAGCAGATGAAAGTTTAGCTGACTAGTATTCACTTTGAGTTGTTTTCCCATTACGAAAATAAATTTCAGCTATATACAATCATTATAGCAGTTGTGGGGAATTAATTACTAAGAATATTCTTAGCACATATAGTTCTTTATCTTTCAAGTTTACATATAAGATATTACCTGAAAGTTCTGAATGAATAAACTAGTTACAGTTATTATATGCGTGATTGCTCTGGCCGGTCATTGGTTTCATTGGCTTTAAACAAACTCTCCATTGGAAAACTGTATATTCTAATGATTAAATTATGTTGGGATATTTAATAGATATAGAAGTTGAGTTCATAATGATAACATATTGTTGCATGAAGATATCTATCTTTGTTCAATATTCAATAGAAGTGTGATATGGTGCATTTTTCCATTCATTTACTGAAATAATACTCCTACATACAATAGTGTAAATTTGCATGGGGGACTTCATTTTAATCAATCAAAAGCTACTTATGTGTGTCTTTTGTGAACATACTGTAGTGTATTCCAAATTACAGAATAAAAAAATGCCTAGAAAATAAAAGTTAAAGCTTGAAATGAAATACTCAATGAAAATTATGCTCCTTTTGTTCACCAAAGAAATTAAAAAAAAATTTGCAATATACTGAATGCTGAGAAGTAGATGCTTTACAAATTCACAGATGCGGATAATTTAACCTAGAAGTGCTTAATTTTAGTTTCGTTTCGATTACTTTGTGTTTAAATAAACAATTGATTGACAATATTTTATGTACAACACTTACAGGTGGCATAGTATCTTGTAAAACTTTTGGTAAAGCTTCTGCTAATTTTTTTGTATTCCTATCCCATCTTGCACCATCTACGAATAGACCAGATATGTAAGCGCCTATTAGGTGGAAAAAAAGACGAAATGATTAACAGGAAAATTTAACAAGATGAATGAGTGATAGATACGTCGAAAATTATCCTTTTGGAAAAGAAAACAGTACTAATAAAAATAATAAACTCATTTATTTATAAAGAATAGATAAAGTATGACTCGTCGGATCATTCTCAAACAGGAAGAAACATGCGTCTAGTATTTCAATATGAGCCACATTATGTTTATTCTAGATCGACTTGTGTCGTAATGTCAATATCAAGGCAATCTGTACAGAATGCCCAATCAAGACTAATCAAATTTCAGTTGAAAACATCAACAACTGGTTGATCTGAACAGTTTCGAATCGAATTGAATACTCATTTATGGTTGTGTCGTAGTACATAGGTTTCTCAAAGTTTAAAAATCAATCAAATTATAATTCAGTTAAAATATTCTAACTTTTTCTGTTATTTAAAATAAATGAATAACCATGGCTTAGTATTATTTTAAAATTACAATCGAGATACGAAAAGTTTAAGAGTGATTACAAAGGGAATCAGTCAAAATGAAGATAACCATTTATTGACTATTTGCATAGCATGACTGAATATGATCTTTTCATAAGTGTTTTATTGTATATATATTGTCTAAATGAAGTAAATTATTGTTAAAAACACAAAATAATTATGTAAATGTGATATTCTTCTAATGATTGTTGTTTTATTTGATAAGAATAGAGAGAGAGAGAGTATTGTACTGTTGTCATTTTGTAGGAAACATTTGTGAAGTAAAGAAATAATTTATCGTTAATGAATCTTTTTCATCAGATTTCAAATGATATGAATTTCATTGAATAATTGACACGTTATTAAATAAGTACAGTTACAATACTAGGTTTGTTAAGTAATAATCATAGGAGTGTTAAGGAGTTTTAAGTTATAAAATTTATGATTAGATAAAATTTTAATACTTTACGAAGTTTTTTTGTAAGTGATTCCATGCTTAAATATATCTTTGATTGGTTGTTCAAAGTCATGTAATTGTTCAGTGACGACAATTGATTTTTCGGTCTCACTGTAATGAATCATTTTTTTAAAAATATTACTAAATGTACTCTGTTCAATTCTCTTTCTTGTTCTAGTTCAGTGTTTATTTGTGAGTACTTGAAATGAGTAAAATTAGTCTACAGTTCATGTATATATGTTATTTTGGTGATCATTCAATGTATAAAATTACTGGGTGGTTGAAGGAAGGTTTGTAGTCAATATTCATAGGTAAGAAAAAACTGTCTTCATATCTACACAGTTTATTCAGTAATTTCTCTAAATTCTTTTTAGAAATGTAAATACACTTGCAATTGTAACTGGAAAATAATTTCACTGATATTAGAAATTCAGTGAAAATGCATTAAACACAAAATTTCTATACTTCCTACAAGTAATTAGTTCATATTTGCTATTTTCCTTAAGTTTGGTTAGTCTCTTGTGCGAAAGATTCATTTGGTGTTATTGATGTTGATTACTGAGTATGCTACTTTGACTAAAATCGCTCTACTGAATTAGACATAATTGTACACACGCTGTGAAAATATGAAAACATTAACATTCTATACATTCTAAAATATATGCTAGCTACAAGTTACTCACCTTCGGATGGAGCATCTGTATGCTTAATGTCGTCTAATACTTCAAATTCAAAAGACAACAAATCAATTGGTATTGTATGCTTTCGTGCATAATTTTGTTGTACACCAGTAAGAAAAGCTTGAGTGAAAAAGAAGCCGGATAACCAAAATACCGGTGGAGGTCCTTGTTCATACCATACCTAATATATATATAGAATATTATTCTGAATAGAAGAAATATCTTTTTATATCTATAGTAATGGTCACTTTTTCTGTTTAAATGAGCTGTATTAAAATTGCATATATGTTATGTTCGTCACTAGGTACGCTTGAAGCTATTACGAGTTCACCTTAGTCGATAAACGCGAACGAGACAATTACCAGCTTCCAGATAGGCTACCTTCAATCCCAAACTGAAGACAGAAGGCTTTGTAAGCGTAGGAAGTATATTCTACAAACACCGAGGAATCACAATACAATCAAGCGTACAACTCTCGTTTATTTATACATCATAGAAACGTCCTTCGGACAGTTACGAAAATAGCACACTAAAATACACAGCAGCCAATCACAGCCATGGATTTTCTTGGTGGGAAATGAAATCTCAAGGTCAACTGATCAGCCCATGCTCGCAAACATGAAATCCAAAATAAGGCATTTATCAAGCGAGTTCTGAGGATCTGACATCCCCAACAATACCTATTCGTACAATGAATCTAAAACGAAAGCAGAAATTTAGATGTTCAGACTCTAATTGCCGAGTTAGAAGAGTAGCGTTATGGTTGCTTTACAAAGCTGAAATATAAGTTTGGTTGAGTGTTTAGTAGTGTTTAGTTTTCATTGATTGCTCCTCCGAAGTTATCATGTCTAAAACAACAATGAATGCAGATAGGTTTTTTGCTGACTGTTCAAAATTCTATTCAAACAATTGACATGAAAATGAACTTATGTTCATTAATTCACTCATGTAACCGCGTATTTCAAACAACGTACCGATATGTGTTTGCTTACATTTGTGGTTTCAGTCAATGAGATGATAAAGGTAGTAATCAACTAATTAGTACTTAATATATATCTGATAAAGTCATATCATTTATTGTTCCTACTTTACTCAAGTTATACCTAATGATTAAAAAAAATACATTTTGGTGTTTCACTAGTGAGTGAATATTGTTTTTATTTTCATTTTAAGTGATGAGATTTTTGTTTGTTTAGAACTTTCTGACTGCATTACTACTGCTCGATAAAATCAACGCGTAACTTTGAACAACAGTCATCTCAAACTACTCATATTCATCAGTAGTATGTATTGACCAAGCTGGCAATTTCACCAATAACATGATAATACAAGAAGAAAATATGGATACTTTCCAAACAAAAAAAATTTTTTACCTGAAGAAATTTCAAACGTGCTAGAAAATCATTTACATAAGAACCAAGTGGTTTTAAGGATGGATATGATTTTTTCATCCATAATTTGGGAATTTTCGAAGCAAGTATTGCTGCTACTACATCTTCTAAATCCGATGACATCACTACTAGACCTTTAATAGCTAATCGAATATTTTTCAAACTTGAACGTATTATACTTAAGAGTGCATTGAAACGAACCATTTCTTGTACTAATACTGTATTCATACTTTGTTCATAACATGTTGGATATTTTCTTAATACTATTTCTGTATCAAAATTAGACGGTAGACGAGATAAAACATCAGCAGCAACTCCATCAACTATTTCATCAAGTGATTTCCCAGATGATGAAGTCCCTTTTGACTGTCAGAAAGAAAAGACATAATTAAATTGACATTAAATTGATATTTTTGAAGTTTTTTAAGTTATAAAAATATTTCATTGTATTATCACAATAGAGTAGATACTTGATTAAATTACTAGACACCATAAATAAGAAATATAATGAAAAATCTATTATGAACATTCATATTGCTTAAACAATAACTAGAGATCAACTGTACTTTAGTTTAGAATTTAAGAGAGGTCATTTCAAATTTACTGCAAATTTATTGTTCAAATCTTTATCATTCATCTGAACTTAAGATACATGCACATTGACAAATTAATCTATCTTGGTTGTTTCGTTTACTCTGATGGGTTATAGACTATGGAAATCTCAACAGCAAGACATAGTGCTTTTATTATTTCTAGCAACTTTTATCTTTTAAGACTTGGGAAAGAATCCAGTCTTTTTTCGAGGTTAGGTATACTTATAACCTAGAGTTTTAAGCCGAAGTGGTAGTTTGATGGACAATCTTTCAATGCCTGTAGACTGATTGGGGAGGCAAATTTTGTCTTTGTATGTTTGAATGTTTAATCGTGGTTTGTATTGCTGTAAATTTTGAGAACGTCTAAAGGGGGATAAAAGATGTGGCATTGGTTCATATATTGATTGACGGTTGGACCGAGTCGTATTGAGAGGTTAGAGATCTTGGTTGGGATGGATCCAAATCACCGGTAGTTGTGCGTTTGTCCAAACTCAGTGAACAGTCGAATTTACTCTCACTATCAAACATCATGATGAACATTAATGCTCCAGCTCGTGTTATTATGATATTTGTAAGCTTTAAAGATTCTAGTTTGTTTCAGATTCTACAGTATTTATGAATGACTAACTGGTTTCCACATTTTGATTAAAAAGATAGCCTATCGACTGATAAAAACTATGAAAAGTTACCAGAAATCAGCACATAATTTAATTATAGTTTAGTTCATTTCATTGAAATGATATTATCTAATTTGTCAAATTATATCACACTCTTATCCAACTTATTCAAATAAGAGAATATAATCAGCTAAATATAAATAGTTTCAAAAGAAATGGTCTTATTGATGAGATTCAGTCATTCTTTCAAATGCCGATAAATTATGAATATCATACTCCATATTAAATTGTTTAATAATCAGTATTACAGTAAAGCATTTTGTTATGAAGTTTAACATGACAATGAAGATTTAGTTACTCAAAATTAAAGGTTTCAAAACAAACCAGTTTGAAACTTTAAACAATCAATCAATGACTCATTTAGGTTATACAGTGTACAATTTCCAATAGTTAGTTTAATACGAATAATATAACTGTGATGGCTCTTTGAAAGGGATTTCCAGTTACCAAAAGGGGATTTAACATCAATGAGTAGTGATGAATTTCCAAAGTAAATATGTTGAAACGTGTAAAACAGCTTTCAATTGACGAAAATTCCTCACTATTAAAAGACGAAACCCATTAACAATATGAACTGGGCCCGTTTGTGAAATGGTAATTTAAATACTGTTATCACACAGTCTTATATAAACTTTTCTTGATGAATGATTTAGATTCGAAACAAAAACCATAACGTCGTAGTATTATATCATGTGACATTAGAATAAAATAAGTTAACTGTGGTTCAGTTTGACGAAGGATGTTTATAATCTTCAAAACTGACTGAAAGCAATCAACATCTAATAATCTATTAACAGACCAGTGGTGAGTCAAAATAAAAGACGTCGAAAATGGAAAAGAATAATCAATATTCAGCACTGTATAAAGTTATAGATTTGACAGAGATCCATATGTGAGCTATAAAATTGGATGAACTGGATAATGTCCGAGTAATTCAGTGTGCTCTTCTCTAAACATAACAATTTCCACATTTAATTAGTTTGTTGGGGAAATCATTTCCTAAGTTAAAGAAGCTTATATGTGTGAAGTGATTGATTGCAGCCTGTTCAGATACCAAAAGCCTTTCTGTCATGATTCAATGTACTCAGGGAAAAAAATTCTTCAGTCAGTGAATGAATGAATAAATCAGAAAAATCTACCGTTTTAGGAATATTTGGTTATTGAATAAACAAGACTGCAACCGTTATCATTGAAATGTTGTTATAATTTTAAACAAAACGCATATTTTGTCAGCTTACTTGAGTTAAAAGTATATTAACAAATGTTAAATTAGTTTCTTGTTGATCTTTAGTAATATCAGCATTTTGATGCATACCAAAAATTTCTGGATCAGGATTCAATGGAAGTGTTTTTATGTATTCAATATAATTTTCATACTGAAAATAATGAAAGAAGTTAATCAAAATAGATAAATGATTTTCACGGATCGATTGAAATGGTCAAAATGAATACTTTCTTAATAGGGACTCAATATTTTCCTGAAGGTAGAATCACTGACCAATTGTATGAATATATTCATAATAGCTGGTTTCAACCTATTGTGTATAACAGATGGTAGTTGGGGTGGTGTAACAAATCCTTTAACCCTTGCATTTTAACCATGAGTCAATTCTTTAAGCTTAGCACTATTGTTATTCACTCTGTGACTGCATTATACAGTATCATACACTTATGATTAGATGCAATCAATCTACACCTATTCTCAACTTCTCAGGATTAAGTAATAGACAATTTTAGGAGTAACCACTGAGAGTTTGAATGGCAGAGAAAGTATTAGTTTCTTAAGGACTGAAAGTGGACATGCCGAAAATTTTCGAGTCAGCGTTGAACGTTAGTCCACGAGTTGCATCCACTAACTCCAACCATATGATATCACGAAATAATTATCATTTAAGATAATCCCATGAAATACAGCAAAGTATCCTGAAATAATGCTGTACAAGTATTCGATCATTTATTAAAGCAAAATAATTTGGCATTCATTTTAGTATTATTATATTTTCTCACTAATTTTTTTGCAAAAATATATAATTAGTTTTAACATACACTAAGTATTGGACAGTTAACGTTAATTGACAAGAAACTCTGCACACTCTTTACACTCTAAGTCAGTTTTTTTCCCCTATTAGAATAAAGTTGAAAACACAAGTTCAGTGAAAATAATACACAACTCACATCTGTATCTTCAGGTGCATAATAGATTCCGCTTGAATCGAATGGATGTTTTACTTGATCAACAACTTCTGGACAATAGAAACGCATTAAAACATTTTTTAAAGTACGCCTATCCCATTCATCAGTAACTCGACCACCATAATTACATTCACCAGTTAAATAACGCAATGCTTCATATTGAACGTCCTAGTAATGTGAAGTATGAATAATAAAGCCATCGGCTATAATGTGAAAATAATAGACTAGGAAAGCTGTCAATACAACTTCTAGAAAAGACTTTCTACTTTGGAAATTAAAGGTACACCTAGTATTGATTTATTCACAATATAATTAGGTTCCTGCAGACCACTGAAATGATGTTTTAGTATATTTGTGTGTATATTTAACGTGTGTGTGTTCAAAATTAAATATACTTTACATGTATTTATTAAAGCTAAAAGCAAATCAAGATAATGGAAGGTATTGATTGCTTTGCTACCGATGAATGCATAACCTGAAGTTCAAGTAAAATCATTATTTAATAAGGATAAGAATAGAGTTTAATTTCCCGATTAATTATCTCATACAGGAGGAATTCAACAACGGTTTATTTCTTTACAATCTTTGATAATATTCAGTAAAATGTTACCAGTTAATTTGTTTTTTTTTAAAGACCATTGAACTTATTGTTTTGAGGCAAAGCTTATTAGAAAAATTTTTAAATTTACTATGGAGATGAAAAATTGTGACTATTTATTTAAATTACTCTAAGTAATTAACAGGTGTTATTTTGTATGAACTATTCACCTCATATGTAACTTTATTTTAGTATACATGTATGTAAAAAGAAATACAAAAGTTCTTCAGTACCTTATCTAACATGCATAGTATATATGAACTGACTAGAATATGATAGAATATCTGCCTATTGGTTGAACTTTACCAACTAACATACAATTATTTTCCACCTGTAGTGCGTTCTTTCTACTCTTATGTGACTTGAAACATGTTTGTCTATTAGTAACGCTACACTAAGTAAATAAACGTATATGAACCAGAATGTATTTTATGGCATAAATAATTGTATCCTCTTGTAGATATTGGCATAATTTAACTTCCATTTTACTAATCATTGCAACATAAATCTCATTTTAATCAGCTTATCAAATAGAATCATCAATATTTTAAAATAAGACTATTTATTTTAAGTTAGAAGACTCAATGGATGATTTAGTCGAGATAATGGTCAAACAAGATGGGTCAGTTATTTCAATTCTATAAATTCATTTAAGTGGTCTAAATCCATATGCTTAACTTTGAAACTCACTGTAACCGTTAGGGTTCGCAGTTCTAATTTGTTTCTCAAAGCGGATTTTAAAGTTGCGACTTTATGAAAAGAAATTTGGATTTCTTAATCACTGAGCCAACGCTCTATATTGATTTTTTGGCAAATGTATAACATTTACTATGTTAAAATCGGTATGCGTAAATTGACGTAAGCGTAACAATGAAAGTGTAATGTTGTTTAAACTGTTCAGGTTAATCAAACTCAGTAGTTTTAGGTACAATGTATATAATTTTAGAAATATATTCTTGACAAATCAATGTCACCTGAACGAGTTATCACGCTTGTTCGTTTACAGTAATTATTACTGATGAAGTGAGCATATCTTAAATTTTATATAACCAATTATGATGTGTACAAAAATAACTAGAAACTCACGGTATACTGTCCAAGAAACATATGTAACTGTTGAACCGATATACGTAAATCTGTTTCGTTAAATTCATACGGTGTATTCCAACCGAGCGGTCCAAATTTACGTCTTTCTTGCACAATAGCATGAAAGAATACTAATCCAAATAACAACTTCTTCCAAGCATGTTGATTTGGACATGACTGGAAGAATTCTTGATCAGAAATAGGATCGCTTAAATAAGATCTCCATAGATTAAAACGTAAACCTTTCGGTGGTTCATTGGTCATTTTGACACCATTTTGTAAAATGGACACAGGAAAATCATTACTAGGATAACTTGTCAACCATAAACGGAAATCTGGATGTGTTGTGTCCGGATTAAATTCTTCCACAGTTTTCTCTAATATACCCATCCAACTTGGTGCTAGATGACAATTTTGCAATAATACCCATGTACCATCTTTTATACCACGTTCGATCATTTTTAAAGCTATCGGACCTTGACCTTGACCAAGTGATAAAGATTCAAATTTTGAACCACCAAATCCCATATCTTCAGCAAATTTCAACAATGCAACCATAGGATCAGCACCAGGTGATAAAACAAATAATAAGGGAACTGTAGATGAAGAATCACCAAATGCACCTGGTAAGTCAAAAGGTGGCGGTTCAATATATTTTTTGCCTAAATTTGTTAAAACAAAATTTTGTATAGCTGGTACAATTTTATCCGGTCGTAGAACACGTAGTATACAAAGAAATTGCATTTGTGTTTTAATCTGTGTTAAATCAGCTGGTAATTTTTCATTATGCGGTTCAACACTATCATATATATGTTTCCATGCATTAAGATTACTTGCAAAATGTTCACGTATACCAGCAAAAGCAGTGATCTCATTGAGTCGACATAATTCATCCCATGATTTATTCTGTAACCAACTAGATGGATTTGAATGTGGATTATCTAAACCAACACCACCGGTTAATAAAAATCTCCATTCTTCTTCAACTAATTTACCTTCGTGTCGAAGCATATTGATAGAAAGTAAGAATGAAAATAGTAGTTTGTCTTTTTCAAATAATGATCGACATACATTACAATATAACGAATATGTTAAATAATTTCGTAGATTAGTCAAACGTTCTTCTAGATTATCGGATTTCTCAGAATTATCAATACCCATGATGAATAGATTAATAAACCAGGTTAAGGAATATTGATACATTGGATCAATATTAGCTAGATCAGATATGGAAAAGAATAAAATAGCTGTATGCACAGAAATTGGTACATAACCTAAACGGGCTATATCGATTTTTTGTTCAGTTTCTTCAAAATATGCTTGTTTCTCTGCTATTTCATTGGATAATTCTTTCGATGAATTCAGCACTTTAATTGCACTTTCATCTTCTAAAATATTGCCTTCTGAGGAGGATAGTACACCAAGAATTTGATCTTCCAGTTCTTTTAATTTTTTCTTATTTGCAGCACCTTGTAATATGAGTTTATTCTTTTCTTCTTCCAACTCTGGTCTTTCACGTGCTACTACAATACCCAATAATTGATCTTGTAAACCTTCTTCAGTAATCATAAAATTAACTAAAGTTACTTTGACTGAAGTTTCTGGTAAGTAATGCGGATTTCGGAACTGAAACACAATGAGAGAGATAGAGAGAATAAAAAAAAGAATTATGAAAATAATTCACTACTGAGAAGAATTTGAAATGCAGTTTGTTAAATGATTTCACTGATTTTCTTTGTGTTATCAATTATTGTTCAGCTATTTTTAAGTAGTATAAAGAAAGCAAGCAAAATACCATCAGCTTCTGAATGACACTTCATTGAATAATATTTACTAACTAGTTTTTTAAAGCCTATATATCTCTTAAAAACGTTCGAAGATTATTGTGAATAGCTTTTCAGATCCGTATGATTTATGCCTCACTGTTAACGTTTTCTAGCTTGGTACTTGAAAAACCTTGCACATAAATATGTGTCTAAGAAGGAACCATAAATTTACTGATAAAAAATACTTAATGTTTAAGTAGCAATTTATATTTCAGATAATGATTCGAAGAGAAATTTAGGATTTATACCATCATTATTTGAGATTGCGGAAATTTTATATACACCTACATCCCAATGAAAATTTAACGCAATACCATTAAATCAAATACTGTTGTGTTATCAACCACACAGTTCTGGATGTAAACAGAAAGAAACAATTTTGCTATAAAATTGTGTCATGCTCAATAAACAAACTGTGGGTAGTCATTATTAATACAGAAGTCTAGTTGATACTGTTTTGTATATGAAGCCACATGTACTAAGTTCGAATCTCAGCATCAGCACTAGAATGCACGTATGTCAGATGGCGATTCACAAATAGAAAATATGTGTTCAGAATTATACTACAATACCAAACATTAATAAACTTTATAATGTATGTGATAAGAAGGTGATAGTGCGAGGAGCATAATTGCCGAAATAGAGGTTAATCACTTGAATTCCCAACGATTACGAACATGGAGATATGAAAAGCATTCACGGCAAACATCACTCAAAAATCAGTGTACAGTAAAAAAAGAAACATTTCACATAAAACACAATCATCACCTTTGTTGTCATATAAAAACGAAATTCCGGTGAATATTCAACAATAGAATCACCAATTTTAATACACAATGCACCTCCTTGTTTAAATGTTTGTTTTAATAATAATGGTTCTAATGTTGGATCTAATTCTTCACCAATATTTTCTAGTAATACCGGTGTACCGAATTGTATACAATTTTCTAATGTGCGAACAAAATCAGTATCAGTTAGTTTAATAATTTGTAAATTATTCTTTTTCTCCATATTTTTTATCCATTTATTCGCTTGGCTAGTTGGATCAATCATTAATGGCCAACGTCTTGCATTGCTAGTTAGTAATAAAATATAAAGAATGAAAGAAAGAATTACATAGCTAAATAATTTAATGATTGATTAAAACAAGAGAATTGTGCAGACTGCTCCAACTGAAGTTGGCTCTCATCACTAATTAAAAACCCGTGAGCATTGAAAAGCTCGCTACTAATTATTGGTATATAAGTAAGAGAATAAAGACTGTATGGTGTTTACTGGGTTTTAGCAGCATATATATATATATATATATATATATATATATACTGTTATCAACTTCTGAAAGACAAACCTGTTACTATAGTCATGTTGGGGACGTTAGTTCCCCAGAACTCACGTGATGTCTTAATTTTGGATTTATTGTTTCCGAGCATGGGCTGATGAGTTGACCTTGAGATCACATTTCCAACCAGCAAAACCCTTGGCTGTGATTGGTTGATGTATTATTTTAGTACGCTATTTTTGTGACGCTACCAAGGACGTTTCTATGATGTGTAAATTAACTCGATTTGTGTGCTTGAGATTATTGTGTTTTTGCTGGGTGTTTGTAAAATACATTACTACGCTATATTAAGACTTTTCCTTCAGTTAGTTTGGGTCAACGGATCAGAGTAGCCTACCTGGACACTGGTTGATTGTCTTGTTCTCGTTTATCGGCTAAGGTGAACCCGTAAAAGTTTCAAGCATTTCAAGTGATGAGCGTAACACGTATAAAGGAGTCGGAAAGTGAGTAATGATGTGGTTAGGTTGTAAATACTGACCAAATATGAAAGAGTGATCTCTCTAAGTGATTGATTATATGGAGTGCATTATATTACAGACAAAATCTTCAGCATGACTGAAGACTTGAAATTCAAGTACACTAATGTGTATGCATTCAACTCATCTAAGAATGGATAAATGGTACAACTTGGGCCTAAGAATTTATCAGAGATATAAATCAATTTTACAAAACTACTGTCCAAATGACAGAGAGAGTTTTTACATGAAAATCAATCAGATTGATAATCAACCAAAACAAACGAGTTTACGTTGAATGTCTGTAGAGTCTTTTATCTGAGATAATTGATTAGTTATTACTCGTAACTCTGATCGGTGAGTGATATCATATTTCATGTACTTTTTTTTCTGACATCTAGTTTCAACATCAAAACTAATAATATTTTTTTCTAAAATTTGACCTACTAATTTGTCCATTTTAAAATTTGATTATAAGTATATTGCATTACGGGATTGTGAAGATTGTTAAGTTACGCATTTTTGAAACCATGAATCGAACAATGTTAGACTACCATTAGAAACCTGGAAGTACTGGACGGTAGATACCGGCTCAGTGGTCCAGTGGTTAGGCGTTCGCGCACAGTACCGAAGGTCCTGGGTTCGAATCCTTAGGGGTGCAGGAGTCTTGGATGCGCACTGCTGATGAGTCCCATGTCAGGACGAAACGGCCATTCAGTGTTTCCAGGTTTCTAATGATGGTCTAAAATTAATCGATTCATGGTTTCAAAAATGTATAAGTAAATTGTTTACGAGAGGTTAAAATTTTTGAATGTAATATCCAAAAATTTTTATTCAGATAATCTTATAAATGTAATAATTGATAGAAGCTGGAAATATTCGCATTATTTTCAAACAGTTTTTCCAATGACCGATAAAAAAACTTATTGGTTTAGTATAAGTTTCTACGAATAAACGGAAATCAAATTTCATGGCATAAATCTAATTATAGGTTTTAATTTAAAGAACAAAACACTCAGTTCAGTTACTGTGTCTACTTTTCAAACTTGATTAGTTAAATTTAATTGGATGAGAAACTGTTCAGCATCAATATACCCATAACTCTTCTGTATGTATATAAGTAGACGGATCAACTTTTGATAGTGGGTGAACAAATTTTGATTATACTATAAGAAGTGAGCCATCATAATAACTTGTTTGCCTTACTAACTATATATTAGATTAGACATTTAAAACACATGCTTTAAATTGCTTAAGATGATGACTAAAAATAATATTTGAATTAAAAGTGAATTTGAGAAGGATAAGAATAGTTACAAATAAAACCGAGCATAAACTTACGCAATAATTATTCCATTTTCAATGGAAAAATCATCTGTCGGTAAACCAGCAATATTCCATGCTCTAATGTCAACTGGATTACCCAGTGTATGCACTAAACTAAATGTTTCTGAACATGGAATTGAATATTTCATAATTTCATCTAACCAAATTTTCACTTGTATTTGACGAAATGTTGATGTGAATGCACCTAAATACGCGACTAATCCACTAGAAATTAATATATCTCCAGTAAGATTGGTATATTGTATACCAAGTGATTTAGCTGCTTCAATCCAACGTGATTTTTCACCGCCCAAACCACCGATCAATTGTTCAGCACGTTCTAATTTCTTTGTACATAAATCAACTTTATTTTCCAAGTCGATTTTTTTACGTTTATTCATTTCTAAATCATCTGTTAATAATTTTAAACGATCTTGTACTTCTTTGAGTGCTGCACGTTTTATATTTAGCGCATTCATTGCTGTATCATATTCTGCCATAGCTTTAGCTAATGCTTCTTTTTTTGGCGCGACAATTTTTGCCACGACATCATAACGTTCTATGGCGATCACCCATTTACAAAGACCTTCAGCGGCGGTTGAAGCAACAGCAACACGTTCTGGTTTAAAATCAGGATTTGGTATATATCGATCACGAACTGTTTTCATTATCGCTGTTGGTATATTGTCTTTGTCGAAATTTTTTAAACTTTCTAAAAATTTCATATCACCGAGTAGTTTTTTTGATGGACCCCAATAATCTTCAATTTTTCTACCGGTTCCAGCAGGATCATTGATACGGTCGGGTTTAATGCCTTTCACAACACAAACAGCTTCCATAACTAAACGTACACCGGCTGGTGGTGATTTCATTGTTTTAACAATTGTAATATCCTGTTAAAATTAAATTAAAGATGTACAGTTCGAAATTTCAGATAATCACCTGATAATGAATAGTAGTATGATAGGTGTCAGACTAAAAATACCCAGTGTAACTCGTAGTAATCATTCAATCCCATTAAATAGTTCACATCGTACTACAACAAAGAATATTAGTATTTTTCGAAATCAGGTATATATATATATATATATATATATATATATATATACTTGTTCGTTTGTGGATTTTCTTTTGTAGATTATTGGAAACAAAAATGCCACATTCACAGCAGGTCTAATATTTATGTGAATCTGAGTGCACTTTGACTATGAATCCCAACCAATACATTATGTTGTGAATACTACACGTACCTATTAACATACTGTATATGGCTTTAATTCACCTAACTATCCTCACTTAATAGGGTTTATATTAGGTATTACAAAGGCTGACATCTATTAAGAAGTAATGTTGAAGAAGAAGTAATGATGACAGATATAAGACCACTGTGCTTGAGAGAAACAACACCTTGTTATGCTAGATTACTGAGTTGACTTCTGACCAATTAGATTTCATTTAAGTTGTTATGCAGATTGTGCATGCTTCATCTCTGGTCATGGACAACAAACAACTAATATAATTATAATCTTTGGATTAAAGTCAAACGTCCGACAGATGAGGCAGTTCAGGAGTTTGTTCAACTACTTAACCGAGTTGTAAAAATTTGTTCCGAATCTGATATGCATCTCTAAATGAACTTAGAAATGGCATTTTTTGATCCTTGATTATCTTCATAATAAAGTGCATAAGTAGCATATTTAAAGTAGTAAAACAAATTGGTTTAGTTTAATCTAAGTTCCGTAGGACGTTTTGCAGTCTCCGAAGATGGATGGTTTGGTTATCAGGCTTTAACTGTTCTTCTGAACAAAGTTATCGCCATACATTTCAAAGAGAAGTAAATTATTCAAGTTTCTCCACATTTGACTAAGAGATTATTTTGATGAAATAAAGTTTGATAAACTGCTATCTACAATTTTGTGATCGTTGTTTGTATGCTTGTTTCGGCTGTTTCCTTTCACGACCTTGATTCTGAGCATACAGTTGTTAGTGTTTTTCCCTGTTGACCGATAGATTTTGATGTGTCGATTAACTTATGTTTGACTAGATTTGCAGGTTTCTAGAAATCATTTATTTTCTTTCGTGTCTCCTTCATCCAACATTTAGAGGTTCGAACTCTTGTTTACAGTTCTCCACATGCATTGTTATGAACAAAGTCGTTTATAAAGCAAATTGGTGTTTATATGAAGACGTAAACGAAGAGCATAGCCATTCAGCAGATATTCTTCATGTTTTCCATGAGTGTACACTTCTAAGTGATCATCTCAAACTAAAACGAAACAATCGTTCAATGTCTTAATAGTGCCCAAAAGTTCTCTAACTGATATCTATTCCATGATAAATAATAAGCACAAATCATCGTAAATAAATATTTTAAACAATATTAAACTTACAGCTGGTGTCAATGTTTCTAAAGCTTTCAAAGCTGACTCTAATATTGGTATTGCTTCAGCTAAATCACTATCACATTCTTCTTTCATTTTTTCCGCAGCTCTTGCTTGTTCACCAGCTACCGCTTCATCAACACGTACAACTTTTTCTTGTTTCGCTGCTTCAGCACTTTGTTGTTCCACAACAACCATAACTTCATCCACTTCTTTACTGGCTTGTACAAGTTTCGGTTGAAGTGACTGTAATTCCACTGACATGATACTAATTTCACTAGCTGCACTACCTAATTTTTCCAAACCAACTTCATAACGACTTTTTTGAGTTAATACTTCCCTTAAAGCAACAAAAAAAAACAGTAAATGTTTTCCATAATCCAATGATTCACATGTTAGCTGTCGGGGCGTATCACATCAATATGAAACATAAACAATTACTTGATAGGTGTGTCTAGTTTGAGACATGTTCTGTCTCAGCAGTGCGCATCCACGACTCCTGCACCCCACAGGATTCGAACCCAGGACCTTCGGTATTGTGCGCGAACGCCCTAATTGTTAGACCAGTGAGCCAGTATCTAACGGTGCTAATGTCTAACTTGATCAAATCCGAAGGTCCTGGGTTCGAATCCTGCGGGGTGCAGGAGTCGTGGGTACACACTGCTGAGGAGTCCCATACCAGGACGAAACGGCCGTCCAGTGCTTCCAGGTTTCTAATGGTGGTCCAACACTGATCGATTCATGGTTTCAAAAAATGTGTAACTTAACAATCTTCACAACCCCGTAATGCACATGTTCTATCTATCTAGCGGCTCATGACTGGACTCCAGTGTGGACGAATAATCGAGTGTGTAATGAATTAAATCCTCCTGTCCATTTCCCTGTATCATACCTAGGCAAACCCTGTACGTGATACGGCGGTAGTAAGAAGTTGAATACGGTGTTGCAGAAAATAATTTATTTTATGCATTCATCTATGCAGACAAACATGAGAATAGGATGCGTACAAGCATGTTCCATCCATTTTGGCTTGACGAAACTTACAATTAATCAATCAATTATTCGTACAACGCTAACCCTAATCAACTAAGTCAGTCTTGAGTAATATTTAACATACTATTTTCAAACTTTACATTCATTTTAAGCAAACATTCAAATGAATTTGAAATGTTATCTTGTTGAGAAAATGTTATTTCAGCGTATTAAGCGTAATTTTGAATCAACCGTTGCCTAATAAACTTGATCTCTATGAATGAACTGAAAAAATGATGAAAATGATTGACCACAATCGATAAATAATCCTTTAAATTAATTATATGTTAATCGAAAAGCAACAGCCAACAAAGAGAGAGAAAAAACTCTTGAATAAAAGATAAGCCTTCCTACTTCAAAATTCATCAGTTATATGCAAATCAAAACTTAGCATAAAGTGGACATTCAAATTAATAGCTTGAACTGTTAACCTTTAAGTTATATAGTTTTATATTTTCACAAAAAATAAAAAAAAAACACTCCCATCAAACTTACGTTCGTTTTTTTGATAATAATGTTATAAATGTAGTGATTAATTCAAGATATGATGTAGGTGTCACATAATTATGTCGATCTAATTCAAGTAAGAATCGATTTGATAGAGTACATGTACTAGTATGAAAAAATTTACACAAATCAATGCAACCTTTACGAATATCATCAGCCATTTCAATATCTTTCAATGAACGTGTAGCAACAGCTGTTAAAGCATCTTCTGGCCATGCCTATTATAAAATGGTAATGAAACAAATTGGTGATAGTTAAACCATAATAATAATTAAGTTTTTTTTAAAAAAAAGTTTTACAATTTTTTTCATAAAATATCCAAGATTAACATGAAGTGAAGTTGGTTATTTTTTAAATTGAATTCATTCCTGACGTAGAGCAGTTTGGATGCATAAAAACTATTGACCAAACCAAGATGGCATTGGAATTCGAATAGTAATTGAAACTAGGGGTATTTAAATTACACATTTTTGAAACCGTGAACCGATCAATGTTAGACCATCATTAGAAACCTGGAAGCACTGGATGGCCGTTTCCTCATGGTATGGAACTCATCAGCAGTGCGCATCCACGACCTCTGCACCCCACAGGATTTGAACCCAGGATCTTCGGTATTGTGCACGAACGTCTAACTATCGGACCACTGAGACAGTATCTAACGGTGTTAATGTCTAACTTGATCAATGCACGGAGTTGTGCAACCTCATACATAGTCTTCGGTAGTTACTGTCTACACCCGAACAGGTTAAACTTCACTGGTCACGTCTTCCCACTAGAACTCGGAGAATATTCCTAACAATCTTCACAACCCCGTAATTCATATTTAAATTACTCTACACAAAATAACAGATAATTAGTAGTAGTTGCCTATTGCTTAACTAATTTGTCAGTTAAAGTGATATGTATGTAGTAGGTTCAAATTTCAATGAAACAGTAAACATTAGGATAAAAATTGCACCCATTTAAATTGTTCCACAAAAAAATAAATAATTTATTTTGAAATCCACATTTTGTGAATAATGTAATGTCTAATCAACTTGTTAATACATCTAATATAGGTGCGTTCTTTGAAACAGCATAAGGGAATATCAGTGGCGGAAAAGTGTTAATTATCACAGTTAACGATTATCTGTTCAGAGTAGATAAATTGTGACTAGTAATGGAATTCAGGAAGCATATTTACTTCTGTTTGGAATTTATTAGTTGGCTGTAGGTGCAGCCATGTTGATGTTCAACATTTGAACTTTAATCTAGTAGTGACTTTTGCTTTAAACCCAACTGAGTTCGATGAGTATAATGATCGGATCATGATTTTGTTTTAGTTTCTACTATTAGTCACATTAGCGTCATCCTAACCTGGAAGCAAGGAACATTTACTTTGTTACATTATGATGGAGCCTCTCAACAGTCGATATCTATGACCTTACTGACGGTTGAAACAGAAACTTTCATATCATGGAATCGGAATTCAGTCGTTTGAAACTCTAACTTCTGATGGCTAGTCTTGTTGCGCGGCTAAATATGGTGTGTGCGATATGGTTGAACTCCAGTGGTTACAACTTAACATTAGAATTCTAAAAATTACGTCTAGAAGTTAACCACCATTCAGCTCCACTGATTCTAACTAAAATAAACTAACAGAAAACGTTCCGTAACAAGAATGTGTATCAAATCTGATACATCAGGCAAACTTCTAAATCAAACTAAAATCTTTAGAAAACCAGTTTGAGTTTAAGGAGTTTTAAGTTTGATCGCAGAGTGTTCTAACGGTTCACCATTCTCCGTTATCCAGAACAACGAGTAATAGGTGGCCACTTAGTCTTTTGTGATCTATAACGTGATTCATATATCATAATATTTGTTTTTTAATGGAATTGGTTTTATAACTGGTAAAAATCTGTAAGAGAATTTTGCGCACATTTATAAATAGATAAAGAGATGATGATCCCTAGAATATTGGCTGAAAATTGCAAACGGAACTTACGCAACTTAAATGGATGATGTTCGGGTCATTTTAAGTTAAAACAAGTTAAGTTCAAACAAGAAATGTTAAAATACATAGTTTTTAGTCAGTAGTCTGTCACTAACATGCAATAAATGACAAGCTTTCAGCCAGTCAAATATTAACTGAAATTAGATAGCTAAGTGTAGATTGCTTAAGAGCCTACAGTCAGCACAAATTGTCTTTTTCTGTAGGACAGATGAACTGTGGCTACCAGTGGAATCTAGGATGGTCTTTTCAACATTTTTGTGACTCGTCAATTGTAAAGAAGTTCCATTAGGTTTGGTGAACTGTTTTAAATTATTCTAATGATAATATTCATTTCACGGACTGTAATTGAAGACTTTCACAGTGGTCAATGTATTAATTGTTTGCTTTTTTGTGCATAACTATATGTAGCAGTATTTATAAAAGTCCGAATCAAACAACAGGTAAGCCTATCACATAATTTGAACGCTGGATAGAGGTTAGATCAAGTATTATTCATCTAGTAACTTTCTTTTCTTTCTGTTCACACTACGTAATTCAATACTTAACTTGCAAACAGTACAATCCACAGCTAACTTTTAAACGCCTTTCAGTAAGACAAAGAATGACGAACAATCAGAATGACAGTGGTTATTCTGACCACTTCAGTGATATTACAACTGCAAGTGTTTATTTAGCTCAACAATACTTGCATACATACTTCCTTACTGATGTTTAACAACAAATTCGAAATGTTGATAGAAAGGTTTCTATCATAAGTAATTTGTGAACATCTATTAAATTCATTTTTATGTATACAGACAATATTGAAACAGACATACATAATTTGTTTATATAACGAGATGGATATGAAACTAAGAAAGATCACTAGTTACCACGTGATTTTTGTTTATAGCCAAAAATATAAATATATTTTTATTCAGTCGGCTGACCACTTCATCATCATTTTGAAATCTATATTCCAGTTACCTATTAATTAAGAGGGGTTGATTATTTGAATGAATAAATTATCAATTCAGCTAGTATGAGAAAGAATTCCAGTAGTTTTGATCAATCAATACATATCAAAAATAAAAGAAGTGATAAATGATGGTTTAAATCATTCACCTCAGTCATCCATACTAGTACTAATTCGGTAGATTCAAAAGGAACAAAAAGGCTCATTTTTTTAAAATTTACCTGGAACCAATCAATGGTGCAACAATTAACTAACGAGGGAAATTTTCTCAAACGATTACGAAACGAGTCGCCGATTGGACTTAATGCCAGAACAACATGTAATTGTTCACGAACACGTTGTATGAAATAATTAAACAATGCTGTTGGTGAACCATCGGTCTGTTTATTTCTATCTCTGGTTCGATCGAGTTGACGCATTTTTTCGCATAATTCAGTTTTTTCATCAGTTGCATAAAGATTTGGCACTTCACCAGCATTTAATAAATTATTAATATCTTCTAGAAAACTTTCTTGTTTAATTTGTACATCAGTGAATAGGAAAACTGCGTGATTGTCAGTTTCACTGGATTTTTTCAATATATGCTTTAAATCTTCTTTCCATTCATTGACACCGTAATTTTTAGAGATTTCAACCTGAAAAGAAATGGGAAAGAAACCAATGGTAATTAAAGATGAATAAAGAAATATTACTGATGTTATAATATAAGTATTAGTAATGCATATTGTTACTTATAGTACAGAAATAATAAGCTAGGTGAAGCATTGGAAAATCAATAAAACTTGTTGAAAATTAGTTTCAGTGTTTAGTCATTTATGCAAATAAATAATTATCAAAGTAGTTTAATTAGCTGATATGTTCGTCACTCGATATGCTTGAAACTATTACGAGTTCACCTCATTCGGTAAATAAGAGCGAAGACAAATGATCCAGTGACACGACAGGCTACTCTAATCTGAGCGTCCCAAAGCCCCACTAAGTAGGGGAAGAAGTCTTGATAGGGCGTAGAAAGTGTATCTTACGGGCATTTAGAAAAAATGAGGTTCACAAGAGCACAAATGGAGTTTATTTATATATGAGAGAAGAGTCCTTCGGAGGGCAATGAGAATAGCGTACTAAAATAATCCATTAACCAATGACAGTCAAGGATTTTCCTGGTGGGTAATGTAATCTCAAGGTCAGCTTAGTAGCTTATGCGCGAAAACATCTAAAATCCGAAATTAGAACATTTTCCAAGTGAGTTCTAGGGATCTAACATCCCCAACATAGTGATATGTTGAAGAAACTTGTATCAACAAAATAATAACATCTTGTATGCTTGATGAAACAATAATGAAGAAACTACTTCAATAACTGCATTGATTTGCGTTTAAATAAATTATCACTTAATTGAATATCACGAATGTATTTAGTTATTAGTTAGTTGAATTGTATTTGGTCATTTTAAACAATCTACGTATTAAGGCATTATGCTTCTATATTCTGATATCCTAGCCTCAGATTCTTATTAGAACCAGGAGTAAGCTAATGTAATTGATTTTCAAATAAACGTATTAAACTCCATATTCAGACGACTCTTGATCTAATCCTCGGCAAGTGAGAAGTCAAAGAATGATAAGAGTTTTTCAATGAGAATGGAGACAAAAATTTTTGGTGTATATAAAAATTTTCAGGCTGTTCGTGATAATCAACAACTAAGGATGGTAGTTTTATAGAATCGAAATCAAATGAACAAGTAGACTCTAAAAATCCGAAAGTAGTGCTGCTTTAGTTCAAGCAGAATTTCCAACACTTCTGTCACAATAAGATCCGAGTTATTATCTACTTTTAAGTGATATTGTATTGTGATATTGAGATTGTAATCATGTGATTTGAGTAGTATTATGATTAGATGTTGAAATGTCTAAGTCAAGTTCATTCAGTTTTTGACTGATCACCTCTAGTTGTAATATTCGATAAGAAATTAAAGGCTCTATGTTTGGAATTACCAAGTCTATCTATCAAAGTTTATATTCATCAAGAACGAAAAGTAAAAAGAGTAATTGATGAATAAAGTAAATATCAGAACAAGCACATCGTTTAAGTTGACAAAGTAATCAGAATACTGTTCATGAATCATGAATATACTTTAATCAGAATAGCCGAAAGTCAATTTATCGGTGATACTCAGTGTGGATACAAGGTTAAGCGATTCAGAGTCACATCAGTAACGGAAAACAATATCACACTTCATGTTTATACTTTGCCAAAAAATCCATGTTGAGAATACATTTCAGCAGAACCAGTAACAATAAAAATAGAACAATAACAGTATCACCATTTGGACTGCTACGTATTGCACTTTTTTCAAACAAATCAACATGAGCTAAAGGTCACTCTTCCCTGCATCTGGGACTATAGTGAGTATTAGAAACAACGTGTGAAACCTAATAGTTAGCTGAAAAATCTGTTGAGATGGTTATCTCGAAATTTTGTCTGGCTAATATACAGCTTTTACCGCTTTTACTACAAGATCTTAATGATCTGTTTAACAATCATAGAATTGTTAAAACGGGATGTTTTGCCAGTACAAATTTATTGGACTGCATATATACAAACAGTTTAGATAATACTGAACCTACTTGAAATAAGTCGAACTCTAACAAATGAGCAGCTAATCGAGTAAGTGATTGACGTCCTGAACCTCCGATACCAACAAGTAATGCATGAGATTTTGGTTGTTTTAATATGCGTGCAATACGACATACATGTTCTATGGCAAAACGGAAAAGTACTAAATTCATAGGTTTCTTGCTTAATTGATTGTACTCGTCTAAATAAGTTTCAGTTACTTTACGTAATTGTTCAACATCTTGTACTTCAGAATAATTACGTCTTCCTTTAGGATCAGCAAAATCACAAAACATGAGAGATCGAAGATGATCTTCTGTGACCTAAATGAATTGTATGCGAGAAAAGGAAACATTAGTTTGTTAATCAAAATAGAAATAAAACAGAACAAACGAAGTGAAAAGCACTTCTTGAAAAGACTGCTACCTCTTGACAAATGATGATGAAAACTATCTTCTTCTAAACCGTCACTTTCGCGTTTCTATGAGTAAATAATTAGTTTGTTGTTCTCATGCAATGTTAGATTATCACTCTATGCGATGGGCCTACTCAAGTATTTGAAAATACAATAGAACCTCTTATTGGTGTGCACCTGTGACGCTAGGGTTCGTAACTAATATCCTGAGATTTTGTAGTGTGCAATTAACTATTGGACCGGCGGACTAACATTCAATGATCCATACTTCTAACTCCAATAGATTTAAGATATGAAATAAGGATTATTCAATAACACTGATGATGGCTTTCACTTAAAACACGTCTGAATTCATACTGAAAATTTAGAAACCTATCTCGAAGTCATTACTATACAAATGACTGTAATACTGCTGGAAAGTTTATGTGGTGATTAACTTTGGTCCTGGATCCATGATTTCAGTTTCATCTGTGCATACTATTGAAGTGTCCCGTACGAGGACAAAACAGCGGTCCGGCATCTCTTAGTTTTCTACAAGTTAGATCAAATATTGTCAAGATTTAAAAAGTAAACATGTAAACAAATGCACTGAGCTTCATGATTTCATTACACATAATCAAACATCTTTACCTCAGTTTCATTATCACCAGTTAAGTGTTGAAATAATGTATTGAATTCCACTTCCAAATGTGTTTTGACACATTGTCGTATAAAAGTGAATAACCATTCACGATCAGCATCATCGACTAAACGATCATAATAAACACGAAATACTTCATGAACCCATAAACGTTTCATAGAGTCTAAGGTTTCAGCTGATTCAGGAACCGATAGTAGAATACCTTGAATAACACGACTGAAATCACGTAAGTTAAATAGATAATGAGATTTGGTTGGCGTTGGCAACAGGTTTTGTAATGCACCTTTATATACTTCAAGTGTTGCCTCCACTATTTGTTTTGGCATTGTAGTAAAATCTTGACTAAAGCCTCTGTAGAGAGAAAAGTCGAGTGAAAAGTGTTGTCATTAGTTCGTTATCACTTTTTAGTCATATCAATAATAAACAGTAGGTTGATAACGTTGATATTGATAAGCATTATACAAGCAGCTAAATTTACTTCGATAGGATTTATTCATTGTGATATAGAAATGTTAACTGTTCGAAAAAAAGTCTATTTAAATTTTTAATTAGTCTTTTTTGATGTCCTCTATGATCAGATGTAGTCTTTGATGTGAAAACCGAAGTAAACTTTTCTTGGCAAGAAGTAAATCTGTTTATCATTTATTAACCGAGTAATGAACACATTCTACTTCAAGTCTTATTTATTCTGTACAAGTTTTAGTATCAACTGATTACTCCCTCGAGTCGAGTACACAGTCTTCACAGTTACCTGCTTAAAAGATCAATTACTAGATCTAATCCATTAAAAAAGAACCCTTAAATTACAAAAAAGAAAGCATAAACCTACACGATATCAGCTTAATCATTATTAATCGAATGACTTTCACGGTATGACCGAAAAATATTTACAATAAGATCTGGAAGCATTGATTTCGTCAGCAAAGTTCAACTAGTATATATAACTATTTATTATTTTCAATTAGAGTTATAGAGGTTAGTGTTTTACACATTTGAAATCATCAATCAATCATTGTTAGACCACCATTAGAAACATGGAAGCAATGGACGGCCGTTTCGTCCTGGTATGGGACTTATCAGCAGTACGCATCCACGACTCTTACATCTCGCAGGATTCGAACCCAGGACCTTCGATATTGTACGCTAACGCCTAACCATTATTATTGCTATTATTAACACTATTATTATTTTGGATATCTTAAGAGATCTTAACAAATCAAGATACAGTATATTTTTTAAGTGTTATGATATGTTCGATACTAAGTGTGAACAATAATCAAAGATCAATAAGATTTATGCACCTAGTCACCATTGATATGTACCATTTATTTCAAGAATTTGAATAACTCATTCGATAAAACTGAGTATACTTTCTAATTTCTTGCTTCATTTAGTTAAGTTGGTCAGACGACAAACAAAAAAAACACAACCTTAGATAACATTGATTGAAGTGTTAGCTTATACAAATTTATTCATATCAATAATTAAGTTCGTCAAAATAGTGTGACTACTTACTTTACACCGATATGCCAATCCATAATTCTTGTAAATATTGTTTTCATTGTATGATCATCAAATTCATTAACAGTGACAATATTTAAATGACGTAAAAATCTTGGTGTAATCACATTACGTCCTCCTCCTGGTGGACCCATAGAACCAATGAAAAGTAAATCAATTAATCGAATTGATTCATTTGTTTTTAAATCATACCTTAATATAATACAAATAAATAGAATAATAATCATTCATTATAAAACAACAACAAAAATAAATATGGTTTATACAGTGGGCTTGTGAAGATAATTCAAATTTGTGTGGATGATCATCTTTAGTTTATAAGGCTGGGTAGGATCGATGGAGGGATAATTTTGGAAACACGAAACTGTGTGTGTGTGTGTATGTGAAAAGTTGTTTTGTCTCATCAATTGTATGGTATGCTCTTTCGAACTCAAGACTTTATTTCTCTACCTATCTATGTCTTCTCCTTTTCAATATGTTTTTTTAAAACTCAGTCTATTCATGAGACTGTTGTTGTAGGTAGGTATTATTATTTGAATTCCTAACAGAAAAGGTTACAAATAAAAGTACTAGATATTTTTTATTTACTGAATGTTAGATAAACCTACCAATTCCAATGATCTAACCATTGACGTAATAATTCAATTGGAGGTTGTGCACCATAAATTTCTCTGATTGGCATATTTAAATCATCGACAAATACAATAAGTTTTTTACCCATCGGTGGTCCAAATACACCTTTACGTCGACGATCTAATTTTGATAAAATAATATTTTGTGTTTGATTTGCACTAGTTTGTGCGGAAAAATTCAATGTATGCGGTTTGTAGATGTCTTTTTCCACTCTGTTCATAAGAAAATCCTATGTGTGAAGAAGAAAGATAAATCAAAAAGGATCAATATAAATAGTGTTAAGCACTATCGAATTATGAAGTAATTATTTCTCTTACTTAACGTATTTCATAATTAACTCCGGGCCTAAATATTTCGAAATCACTGGTTCAAACTTTGACGCAAGTTCTAATGAAATAATGTTGATTCTGAAAATTTATTCAGATTCACAAAGGAGATATACTTGATAATTGTTTATGTTTAATTTCCAGTTGTGTAACATCAAGTTAACTTACAACTGATGGATTATAGAGTAGTGATCAATGCCACGTCAATCAGATCTTTCTTAGTGCTGATGAATTTGTAATGTAACACTTAAAATCAAGTGACTTAACATCATGTACCTGATGTTGAGTTATAAGGTCGTGGTCGGAAGTAGTCTACAAGAAATCTTGAACATAGATTTCGAGTTGTTCAGCAACCGTTAGAAAGGTGTTCCAGTATTCTCTGAAAAAAACTAGTGCTTCCTGAGCAATTCGATTTCTCTTCACCCTGCTTCACAGTTAGGGATGTCACCACTGAACTGTTTCAGTCATGGATGAACTCCTGTAGGGATCGAATGAGCCAGGTAACATCGGTTTCCTCAAAGTCACAAGCATATCTGACTGGCGAGTTCCAAAGGGTGTGAAGCCAAAGTTTCCTACTAATTAACTTCACCCATCATCCTGTAATAAACAAATTTTTATTTTATTTTTATTGTTGCACATTTGCTTATAACGTAATGTTTTTGATGTTTTTTGATGATTATTTGATTTCTATTCATCCACCTTTGACCTACTTTAGTTATCATATTTTGTAAATTTTCCTACTACTATCTGTTCACCTATCTTCCTACTATCCACTTGTACTTTTGCCTTTTTCATTTCATTGTGATTATCACTCAAATTGCCTTGATTGGTTTAACATTTTCATATAAATATTCATGTATATTAGAGTATAAAGCCTGATGACGATCTAATCGAAAACAATAATGTTCGCTTATGTGTGTTGTTCTAAATTGTGCTCAACCTGAAATTAATCCTTAGTATCAAACGTAACACTTCCTTGCAAAGAACGGAAACAATCAGAATTTCGTACTATAGATTAAAAGTGGATACTGATTGAATACATAAGTTACAATGAGAAATTTAAAACACATTATTCTATATGAGCTTCAATGCTATGTAGACATCTAGTCACATTTCTCATTTCTCATGCATGCATGTATGCCTATATACAGACAAGATTAATTTAAATATGTAGTCGGTATTGACGAAGCATTCTATTGTATAGTCTAGATATCATAAGAAATCATAGACAACGAATTTGCTCTATGATCAAAGATAATTAGACCAGGTTGAATGATCGACATCAAAATAACTTTTAAATCCTTGCATAAACACAGAGTCATACATACATTTTTAGATTACTCTTGTATGAATAAAATTTGTTTGAATGGATAACTACATACAATTGTATTATTTATTTTGGTGAATTTTAAATTGATCTTCGAATTAAATAATTTACTTAAAAAACAAATAAAAACTGACTAAATTTGATTAGAAATCATTTTTCTCAACAAGTTTTAGTTTAGTTCAGTTAAAATTTCAATAAAATAAATCCTGTAATATGTAACTGTAGTTAAAATGTGAAGAGATAGGAGTTGATTGAAGTCATTCCTATTTTTCTCAATATCTAATAAATATATTATAGCAAGCATCTTCAATAATATATCCGTTCATTTAGTGGATGAATACTACATGTCAGAGTGTAATTTATATTAGATATTTCATTTTTGGATGCCCAACTTCTATATGCTTGTATTTTTGATCAGATATTTTCAACACCGTTACACTAATATGTATACAGCAAACGGTTGCATATAACTCAAGAGGCTTGAAATAAAATCTCTGACGATAATTACATCACATATCCACTAAACGTACTGGTAAAAAATGGCTTGTAGTGTGTACTCTATCAAAGCCTATATTAATTATTCTGGCTTTTGGACAGACCAATTAATTTATTCACCTCAAGATACTGTTCATATTTAAACTTATTTTGTCCGATTATGTATAGTTAGCCCTGCCTTATACAATGGAGTCAGCGCGTCCGTCTTCTCCGCTTCGTTTCGTTTTCCTGCTTCTCATTCTGAGTATCTGTCTGCATAAACAAGTGCACCAAATAGATTCATCCTTCTTTGATCTGTATTTCACTTCTCATTACCACCGTCGCCACTAAAAGCTGAAGGTTCTGAAGAAAACACACTTGTTAAACATTGAAACTATTGTAGACGACATTTAGGTATGAAACTAAAAGCAATTTGGAAACAATTTGATACTCAAAAGTGACTTACCATTATATAACATGATTTCCCAGTACCAGTTGGACCGATAAATAATGATGGTTTATCATTCAAAACAAATAACTTTAATAAATGATTACATCGAACAGTTTCTTCTGTTGGTACGATTATTTCATTGAAAGTAGCATCTGCAGGTATTGGTGGCGCCAGCTTTACAGTTTCACTCCATAACTCCCAATTAATTGGGATCTTTATTCAAAAAAACAACAAAATAACATTGAAAGTACAAGGACAGTTATCACTGTCTTTTGGTTAATAAAATACAACTAAGTAAAGGTCATTTGCAGATCTTTGTTAATTCTGATCAGGCACTGACACTAGAAGCGTTGAAAATATAGAAGTAGTAGTTAAAAGTTGAATTCTTAAGTTCAACGGCTTATCAGACGTTCAAGATTTCCAAATAATCTTCCTTCACAAACTGAAATTGAAATAATTGCCAAGTTATGGAAGAATTAGTACGCTGGAAAGTAGTCCGTTCTGCTTTATTTTAGAGGAAGTAAAGCGTGATTCCGATAGTGGAGGATGTTTATAGGTTAACCAAACGTTCCTTGGAAGGATGGCCTATGCTCTCTGGAACTAACAAATGAGTAACGCTGAAATCACATAAAAGTGGTAGGGAGAATTGGAAAATCAGTCTAAAAGGTTATAAATTCCTAACACCTTAGGTGACTGGGACATATGTTAAATATGCCTCATCATGGCATATTTTGACATACAATGCTAGTCGGTACAGAAGTAGTAGCTAGTAGTGAAGAAACAAATAAGTTGTATCATTCAACAAAGCCACTGATTCTTGATCTGAACTTTTTTGATAGTAATCGACAACCGATCATGATTCGCTCGATAACTGTGATCTTAGTTGAAATGGATAAAAATCGGTCATAGTGATGTATATGTATCCATTCTTTGTTTTTTCGAACAGTTTTAATTTCTATATTATTTTATACCTTTAGTTTTTTTTCATTTCCTACACATTTTTCAAACCATATTCTTGAGGTTATTTTATTTTGTCACTAATACTATTATTAATCTCAAATCCTTTGTTGTACATTTCGTTAAATTTATCTCACTATGAGGAAACTCGTGTTATAACAAAAGCTGATTCATGGTCTGTTTGCAGAATCTGCATTGACTGTGACTGACTGGAAACTCCCTAGATAGCAGCTGAAAGCTGAGTTAAACACTGAACAGTTGTTTTGTCTCAGTTTGGAAACCCTCAGCATTTCAATGTGTACCTATAGCTTTATCCGAAAATATGTATCATCAGATTATATTTCGTTAAAACAAAGGTAATGAGGTCACCGAAACCTAGGTCTTATTTTTTGTGGGCAACTAGTGGACCTGTCTTATCAAACATGAACTACAACGATTTAGATTCACAATGCTTCTTGGTCAAATCATATGAAAACTATCTTAACGCTGAATTAATGGCTTCATTTCATTCAAACAAACAAGAGCCAAGTCCTGGATAGCTCTTTTATTGAATCGATATCATCGTTAGAATAAACACAAGTCTATCAGGGAGTGAAGGATTGTTTGCATTAATAACTAATTTAAATCTAGATAAAAATAATAAAGTGATGATTTAGAAACAATGTATTTCCGGTTTCACCCATTTAGTGAAAGACAAGCTGGAAATAATCAGAGTGAATATCATTTCGAAGGTAATAGTTTCATCAAAGTATGAACAGGAAAAATGACTGATCCATTGACCAAATTATTCTCTTTGTATCAAACAAATAGTTTATTTAGAGACAATCATATGTGGAAAAGTTCTCGCCTTATGTTACCTTCAATTATGTCTACCAGTTTACATGCACGTGCCAAAGCATATAAATTGGACTAAGAAAAAGGAGAGTTAGTGTTCGCATCTCTGAGCACATTACACAGAAACCTGCGCCGAGAGGACATGCGGTTGCATGTCATCTGCTTGAAAATGACCATAATGTTGATGTCTCAAAGGCCTTCCAGAAATTTATCAACGATGATCATCGACTTTAGTACAGTAAACTGAACCAATTGTCATAAATGGATTTCAACCAAATTTATCGATCCAAAAGGTCTCAATTATGAATCTTGCTTTGTTGTGGTGAATTTTGTTTGTAAATCTTTGTGAATGTCCCACTTCTGTTTCTGTGTTCTTAGTTATTCATTCTAGAATATTCTTATATGCAACAAATAATATTCACACTATTCAATTCCTTCATTCTTATTCTTCTTCTTTTGTTCATTCATCTTCATTGATGAAAAAACTTTCTGATATTTTGATGTAAAGTTCATGTGACTGATTTTTAATGAGTCATATTATAATTATTGTATAGATTGTAAATAGTTGATGAAAAACTGTGACAGCAAAATGAATTCATTTATATTTTCCTATGTTAATTGTTCTTGTTTCGGTTAAATGAATGAATCAAGCATACTAATCAATAGTACCAAACTCCATGTTCAAGCAAATCAAACATACTGGAAACACTTATCCACAAATGATTTGAATTGATTAGGAGTGCTGAACTAAATTATTATTATTACTATTGCTATTCAATGTATAAATAATAACTTACTAATGTATGTGAAAGAAAACAAAATTGAGTTAACCTACCTCATCTTCCGTTCCTTCTGTATTAGTGGTCTGTCAAAAATTAGAAAAAAAGCCAAGAACATTTTTCATAAACTTTATTCAGTATTGTAAATTATCATTTAAAAAAACTACTGTTCCATAAAAAAAATGTAAATTACTCAATCACGCCATAATATAATGATTGTTACGTTATCAACAGTCTAACATTCTCTAAATTAATGTTACAGCTTGTTGCGTTCATTTTTTCCCGTTTAATTGTTCAAGTGTCAATGTATAAATGTAGTATTAATTGAATATTTGTTTGTGGTATTTTGATTATTCAGCTCATTGTGAGATTTTCACATGATCAAAATGCAGTAAAAGACATAAACAGCATTCACCGGCTAAATGACCACAGTATAGCCAAGTCCCTATTAATTCACATGGGCAACTATGAATATGAGTTCAGTTGGACAGAAGTAATAAATAGAAAGAAAGCTAAGTGACTATTAGAAACGTGGCACTTTTAATCAAGCATAAGAGAAAAAAATCAAAACGAACTAAAAAAAAATGACCCTAGAGTAACAAATGGTAGCCAACTAAATTTTGTTTCAATAGAACAAACCGTTCGATAATTGTGAACAAACTCGTTTTGTGTTGGGGACGTAAGATCACCAGAACTCACTTGAAAAAGGTCCTAATTTTTGATTTTTTAGGTTGTCGCGCATAAGTTGCCTAGTTGACCTTCATTTTACATTTCCCACTGGGAAAATCCTTGACTGTTATTGGTTGATGGATTATTTTAGTAAGCTACTTTTGTGGCTCTCCCAAGGACATTTCTGTCATGTTAATACATTTTGTGTGCTTGTTGACCTCGTATTTTCTGGGTGTTTGTAAAATACGCTTTCGACACATCAAAACTTACTGATACAGTTAGCTGGGCCGGGGACAAACGCATTAAAATAGCCTATCGTGTCACTGCATCATTTGTCTTCGCTCCGTTTACCGAGTAAGGTGAACTCGTAATAGTTTCAAGCATATCAATTTGCTTACTTCTCTTTGAATTATGTAGTGACTACAATACCAGTATTCTTATCCGGAGCTATAAATATTCTCCGTGATCTCAGAGTACAAGTCAGTATAGATTCTTGCGTTATTCTTGATTTTAGGCTTTTTTTTCTTTTTACAATGAGACATTGAAAATCATTAGAGAAAAATGATAGTTCCTATAGTGAATTCATTTTTAAATAGTGTGATAAACTAATAAAGTTTTCATCCATCATTGAATTTTTGTAAGTAAGACTACATGTTTGTGGCATATCTTTATCGTCTTTTATTGTCATAAATATATATACAATTGGGAATGTTTTTACCCTTAGTTTGGTTATGTATTATTATTGGTCTTTTAATAACCAGTAAACCTGCGTAACTTTGACTGACCGGATATTCATAGAAAATCTGATTTAGTGTCCTGAAGTTATGCCTACAAACAACATAGTTTCTATCATCTTCTTGATGTCTCCATGAAAATAACCACTGAATATCCAAAGATCTACGTCTCAATATTATTCAAGTAAAAGGTTCAGATTTACAGGTCAAAACTTATCAACTTTAGTCTATTAATTGCTGTCATCCCATGCCATTCAGTTAGTACTCATTGTAAATGAGAAGTACTTTCATAATGTTCGAAAGTCTCTTATGTATAGTAAAATAATTAGAAAAAATCTCAGGGATTGAATTCCTGTCAGGAGATTCACAATTATGATAAAGTCCTGCTGGGTATAAACGGTGATAGGATGAGAAGTTTAAATGGCCTTTTGTAATAGTGCAAGAAATAAGTAAGACAATTTTCTTTCTCTGTAGATTCAAAAGTTTGCTGCATGTCTGTCTTGTATTATCGCCCAGACTGGTTCCACCGGGTTAGTCAGTTAAATGTGTTGACTGGTTCCCCTATGTTCAACATTTCAACAATTCTGATAGTATTGGGGACGTCAGATCCCCAGAACTCGCTTGGGGATGGGCTGATCAGTTGACTTTGAGATTACATTTCCCACTAGGAAACTCCTTGGCTGTGATTGGTTGATGTGTTATTGTATTATGCTATTTTTGTGACTCTCCCATGGACGTTTCTATGATGTATAAATTAACTCGATTTGTGTGCTTGAGATTATTGTGTTTTAGCTGGGTGTTTGCAGAATACACTTTCTACGCCATATCAAGACTTTTTCTTCAGTTAGTTGGGGCAACGGATCAGAGTAGCCTACCATGTCACTAGGTCATTATCGTGCTCTCGTTTACCGAGTAAGGTGGAATCGTAATAGTTTCAAGCATATCAAGTGACGAACATAGTTTAGTGTCTGACAGAATCTCAGCATGGATTTAGAAAGCCCAGTTGAATTTCGTTAGCTTGCTTCACCTGTGGTGTAAGTGAGCTGTTCGTTTGCCAATCAAAATAATAGTATATTTCGCACTAGCTCTTTCCGTTCTACTTTGTAGACATAAAACTTAGTCATGCGTTTACAGATAAAATTGTCTAGTAGGAAAGAACAACTGACAATACTCCCCATCTCAGTTATTCTAATCAATTAATGAATAAAACTAACTTTCATTACTAATTTATAATCGTAAACTGTTTTCTTTATTGGGAATGGACGTTTATAATCTTCAATCGGTGGTGGAACTGGTTCAATTAATGCCAGTCGTTGTCTTGTCTCTTCCATCATACCACCATTCATTAATTCACGTGTTAATTTATCAAATTTCAATCGACCATCTTTATCGGTAGTTGCACCGATTGACCAAACATAAGCAAAAAAGAATATACACTGAAAGAAAAGCAGAGAATAAAGTCAATGCATACTGTATCTCATCATAATGTGAAACAATAATTTTTAAATATTTACCAAAAATATACAAAGTTTAAAATATTTGGAGGCTAAATGTTATCATGTTATGTCATCTCTATATCTTTATCATCTGACAAAACTTTTCGTTGTCCATTGTAGCTGTTCACTAAGACATCGAATTGTTCTGTCATCTGTCTATTTGTCAGTAATATGTCTTAATGGTTCAGAAATATGGATTAGTTTCAAAAGCACAAAGTTTATCTCATATAACAAGATCAAATTAAAAATCTCACATCACATGTAAAAAGTAATCTGTAAATGCATATCAATTAGATAATATTATCTAGTAAATTTAGAAGAATTTTTCAACAGTTTAAAATATAATTATTACAAAAGTTATATTTATAGATAGATTGTTAGACCACCATTAGAAACCTTAAAAAACTAGACAGCCGTTTCGTCCTGGTCTAGGGCTCATTAGCAGTGCTCATCCACAACTCCTGCAATTCGCAGGAGTCTAACTGTGTCTAACTCTGATTGACCTTGAGATTTTGTGCCACCGCACTCATTTGTCTTTAGTAGTTACTGCCGACACTCAACAGGGTTGAACTCTACTGGTCACGTCTTCTCACTAGAATTCCGAGAATTTCTTCACGAAGCTAGTCATGAGTGAGCACATTCTACGATTTTTCAATTAGAGTTATGGAGATTAGTGTTTGTTACACATTGAAATCACTCATGGTTAGACCACCACCATTGTTAGAAT